CACCGACAGGGAGAGCCTCGCGTTCCATGTGGACGGTATGTGGGCGTCGTGCGGCCTGCTCATATTCCTGCGCTGGCGGGTATGGCCGACCGTCCACCAGTTCTTCGCACACCATTTCGTAGACGAGAAATCGGAGATGCACTACAGGAAGGAGAACTGGTTCCTCGGAAAGGTATGTTGTCCGTGGTCTTTCCCCTCGCTAGCTCACCCGCTCGTAGAATCTGGCACTGTGGTCCACCGCATTCTTGATTGTGAACTGGGTTCTGGCATTAGGGTTCATTCAGCGACCCGTCGTTCTCCCAGACAAGATCTTCTACTATGCGGTGAGTCCCGGGTGCATAGATGGGTCAACCGGCTGAACCTAGCGCACAGGTGTCCCCTGCCATCACATTTCCGGTGGTCATATTCGTGATGTGGGACTTCCCCCGGGATCGCCAGCTACTCTATCAATGCTGGCTGGTGGTCGCCTGTTGGATGTGGTCGCTATACCAGATTATCTTCATGTAAGCTCTTTCTGCCCTGCAATCGTCGTGTACCCCTCATGGACCCTCCATACCAGGCATTGGTGCGCGTACTACAGTCAAAACCCGCATTGCGGGAGCAAGGACTTTCTTACTCTGTTCTAGTGCGTCCGTGTGCCGGCCTCAGTCTTCGCTGCTAATCCCCCATCTTAGCTACACGTCTGCGATGCAAACGATTGGCTTGTTCGGTCTGCGGCTGCATAGACTCCCGGCCCTTCTCGCGGCGGCCGTCTTCTTTACACTGTAAGCGCTGTCTTCGACGACCGCGTTCCAGGCGTCGCTCACCATTCGTGTCTGCAGTTCCTGCGGTCTTATCTTGCCGATGCGTGCGCCATTTGTCCGAAGTATGGCTGGTCTGCGGTTGTCTGCGTCCGAGTCTAACACGATTTTGCAGATCTCATCAACTTCCTGTTGTTCCAGGCGTTTATTCTGTACATCCACTACATGCGCGAAAACGTGAGTGTCTGCCGGCCGGTGCCAGCGCGCGCTGATGGGCCGATTGGGCAGGCTGAGCGACGACTATACACACTTCGAGATCAGCTAAAAATCCAGTTCCGAGCGATGCAAAAGGCGCAGGTGAACGAGCGAAAGGCGGCGGACTCGAAGCGGCGGCTCACCTGAGGCGCACGGCTATGGCGCGGTGCTGACGTTTGACGCTGATGCACGCGCAGTACGCGGTCCATGCGCGTGTGTTGATCGTGGGCGATGCGCACGGCCTGCCGAATGCTGCTGCGATTGCTGACGCACCCGAGGCGAGGGCGGAGGACGGGAATAGGCAGCATGTAAACAGCAGACCAAATATATTTTATATGGCAAAGTCCAGACGCTGCTGTGACCGTCCTTATATCAAGAGTTGCCTCTCCCCCTTGTCTTGTTTCCTACAGCGAGAGCTGTTCTCTGCATTTGCGCAAAGAACAGCCCTCTCCCCCTTGTCTTGTTTCCTATAGTGAGAGCTGTTCTCTGCATTTGCGCAAAGAACAGCCCTCTCCCCCTTGTCTTGTTTCCTACAGCGAGAGCTGTTCTCTGCATTTGCGCAAAGAACAGCCCTCTCCCCCTTGTCTTGTTTCCTATAGCGAGAGCTGTTCTCTGCATTTGCGCAAAGAACAGCCCTCTCCCCTTTGTTCTGTTTCCTGCAATAAGGGCTGTCCATTGCGCAAATGCAACAAACAGCCCTCTCCCTCAGGCTCGTCAGTACACAATCAGGCCTCACTGCGGTCCCGCAAATCACTAATGCAGCGGCTTACCTTCCCGGTAGCCATTTCCTAAGCTGGTAATTCCGCTTTTGCTCAATTTCCGTGTCGCTGCGCAAGCACGTCAGAATGTACCATCCATACACGCACAGGCATGACCTCGTGTTACGATGTCGGGAGCAGCTCGACATAGAGGTGCGCCCGGTCATGTTCATATTCCTGATGTATTAGTTCCTGCTGCTTGTTGTAGATAGAGATGACTCACACTTTGCTATATACCTGCTGACACCTCGCAGAACGAGAGCTTCAGCTGTCTGCCCCCATTGTTTTCATGTGTATTGTACTGTCTGCTCGTACTACCTAATCCCGGTCAGCACAATCTCGAGCATACCCTCCATCCCGGTCAGCAACCTATAGCCATCAGGCATGAGTACTCGATGTCCGAGTCGTCAGCGACAGCAGATCTAGATCCGACATTGATCAATCATCGACATTCCTCGGGCCACTGAACACTCACCTTTTGACAACCAATGGTTTGCATAAGTGCCTCACGGTCAGCCAAAGTCGGTGACAGCCCATTTGATAAGTCGCAGTAGGGTCAACAGAGTGTATGTGGTAGCGGCAGTACTTACGAGCATAAAGACAGCATGGTCACTACACCGACAGACAATTGGATACAAATATATATGATCGGGATTCGGCGGTAATGGTCAAAACAAATTTGTACAGCTTTGTGTTTCCAGAAAGGAAATGCTTCTGATCGAATCATCCAAAACAAGTTATTGCTGTTTCATCAAATGTGGACAACCACCGATAAATTCACGGAGATTGAACTATCTCCCCATGATGGAAATCAAACTATCTCCGGCATAGGGAAATATCACGGCATGCACCCACACGACCAACAGCGCAATCCCGATGCTCGGCTCGTATGCTCGCTACGGTGCAGTCTATACATGCATTGCCCTGGTCCCTCGCGCTCCTTTGTCAGCAAACATTGTGCGCCAACATCTTGCTCTTCACATGGTGCGTCTGCGGCATCTGTCCTCTCTGCACAAGACATACCGACCGGGCCCGTGCTTGCCACTGTGGCCGGTCAACAGTTGGTCATCCGCGTCGCCAGAGCATAAATCACGGAGGATGCTGCTCACGCATCGTGCGCTGCGTGCCTGCACATGGTACATGTCTGGGCTCCCATCTTTGGCAGCACTACAGCTGACCGCCCGTGCCACAGCATTGCCATGTCAAAAGCCTGTAGCCTTTGCGCGTGAGGCACCCGACATGACGCAACGTTGGACATGCCCTCACTGCTCATCTGGCAAGTCCCGCCCGCGTTGTGTGTGGACGCTAGCAGCCGCTTGGGGCGTGCTACCGAGATGGTGCGGAATACACAGTGCGCGCGCAGAGACTTACACTTGGTAGATTCCAGGCTTCAGGCTCCTCGCGGTGGCGCATTCCGGTCAGACTAGGTGTCCACGCAATGATTGAGATGCCGCTGCAGCGATACCCACCGCATGAAGCTGGAAGAAGACGAGTCGGTGGGGTGTGTGTGCATTGCTGCTTGCATCCCGCAACCACGCTGAGTATGGTGGATTCAGGTCTGTGCATAGCACTCCTGGCGGGAACCGAACACATCCGCATGAGCGCCACGGTCTTCCGCTGACTGACATTGGCGCAGGGACAGGCGAATTTGCGCTGTCCAGGTATCAGGCGGATAGTTGCGTGTGGCCTTACGCCATCAATTTAGCGGCCGCGCGATTGTTGAGGGACCACCGTGAAGATACCCGCCGCGCGATGTGATCGGGAGAGGTCGAAGCGGCGCGCGGGTGTGAATGATAATTCCGCACGCCTCGAAAGAACCATCTTGGCGCTACGTCTGTGCGAGCGTGCCCGGTCTGACGCACATTGAGGCTGGCGCGGGCAAAGCTGCCATACGCCGTCCGGACATCGGGCGCGCGGTTGCATGCAGCTTTAGGACGCCGCCATTTCCGCCTTGATTGTGCCTGGGGATGTGTGAGGGAGCGCTTGTCAGTGCGAGCAAGTAAAGCACCAGTGGTGGCGTACACAAAGTCCGCCCGCATCTGGCATAAGCGTACGGTGGCGTGCTCTGCGCAAGTTGCTGGGTATGCGAGTGCACTCGAGCGCGCGAGAGGCGTGTGGTAAGAGTAGACAGACACAAGCTATGTACATACAAAGCTTATGGAAGATGTCCAGCGCAACCAAAGTGCTGGATTGCGAGTACGCCACCGTCGAGCACCAGCGACTGGAACTGGCCATAGACATCGCGGAGGCGCATCGCGTGCAATGGGGCGGCGAGCGCGCGGTAGCAGAGTCGAGGCACGATCGGGTCGGGTGCGCCAGCTTAGACAGCACAGCCGGTGTGAAGAGGACGTGCTCTGACGAAAGAACGCCCGCAAAAGAAAGAGCACCCCGCGGGGCAAGCTCCGGACACCGGCGGCCGACCGACTCCTTGAGCGCGGCGCGGTCGCCCCTGCCCAGCACGCTGAACTGCCGCACCCCGCGCGCCGGTACGCGCCCAAGCGCAGGCCAATCGAGCGCACACAAGTCGCAGAAGCGCACGGGCGACAGCGCGCGGACGCGGCACTCCGAGTCGAGCGTGCGCACGTCCGCGGTGTCGACGCGGAGCGTGAGGGTGAGGGGCGAGCTGCGTGGGGCGCGGGAGGACCGCGAGGAGCGCAGGGAGGCTGCGGACGCACTCTGCGGTAGGGGCATCCGCGACTGGCGGGCTTCCCGTCTTGGCCCTGGTTGCATGGCGCTGCCGCTGTGGACATGCGGGCGCTCGGATCTCCGCGCGCGGACTATGCGAGTGCCGGGGGCGAGCCCTCGGTTGATTAGCGATGTAGCGGCGGGGGGACGCGAACCGTCTCCGTGCGTCTGGTGTCTTTCCGCGGCGTGCGACAACCGAGCGGTGCATTATTGATCCGCAAGTCTGCTGTGGGTCTTTCACTGCACACTTTGAGTATTGTGCGGCACCGGAGCGCGTTGCACGGGCGGGCAGCGCGCAAGCTCTGGTGCGTGCGCGACGCCGTCCTTCTCGCGTTGCATGCCGAGGGTGCGGTGCACGAAGTCGGGAGAGGACGGGGGATGACCGGGGAGCGGTGGAGTGACCGGGCTGCGGGAGACCGAAGGGACAGACGACAGCGCGCCATCCGTCTGCTTCAGCACTGCGCGCGGGGTCATGGCGTGCGGAGGTGGGGGCAACAACTCACGCGATAGTGTCGTCCTGCCGCCGCTCGGCAGGCGTCGTGCAGAGCGAGTTGTCGCCGTCGCACGCGGGAGAACTGGCGTGGCCGCGTCAGGAGGATCGGGTGGATCGCTGGGCAGCGGGATAGTTAGAAATCATAAGTCAGAGAGCGCGCGTGCAGAGGCCTCACCAACAGCAAGCACACGAAAGCGCAGGGCGAGACGGCGGTATACAAAGATCGACCATTGGCGGTGGACCAGGGAGGTCGGAGGGCATGTCAAGCGGCGCGGCCGGCCGCGAAGACAGCATTGTTGGCTGTGCAAGAGAGTCGAGGAGGCCGTCGTTCGAGAGCGACGCGCGGGTGCCCGCACCCAGGGTCACAAGCACGAGCACCCCACTCTAGAGAGCATGAGAAATGTATTATGCACTACAATCTACAAATGCCTGAGCTACGAAAGCGAAATATGCAAGACGACCCAAGGATACAGGACAGCTACCGTTGCATTCTAGCGCGTCGTCCGTGTCTCGCAGCGGAACAGCGCACTGACCGTCTCCAGAACCTACCACTACCAACGCCGCCGCGGGGAGTGCCAGGCGTCGGATCGACTGACCATGAGGCGGGCCACTCAGATCTCCACACGCCGAGGATGCAAGCCCTTGGCTGATTGGCGATGTAACGAGGGAGACGCGGACCGTCTCCGCACGCCGCGCGTCTGGAGACTTGATTCCGTGCGGGCGACACGCATGGACATGGGGCGTGCGGCGTGCGGCGTGCGGCGCGCTACAGACCGGGGTGGGCGCGGTGGAATACCGAGCTCGGCAGGCGTCGCCGCGCACAGATGGAAGATGGCAGACACGACAACCAGGGCCGTTCAGAAGGCGCTGCACGCGCGGTCGCCGCGCGACGACGCACCGCGACGGAACGCAACACACGCCGGGTGCCTTCTGGCCGCAGCCCGTCAGCCTCCCGGTGTCGCAACAGAGCACGGCGAAGCTAGTAATCAAAGCGTCGATGTGGGCAGGGTGCGCGTCGTGAACACCCGCGTACGGTCGCGTGATGCCGCAGCTTGGGCGGGCATAATGGTCGTACTCTGTGCGCAAGCGGGGCACCGCATGCGGGCCCGCACTCGTCGTCCTGTTGACCGACGGACACGGTGTGTGCACACTCTGCCCGGCTCGCCCAAACACCTCTCTCCTCGTCTGCTGCTTACACTGCGCGGCGGAGCAGCCCCGCCTATCTGCACACTCCCGGCGCCCTGTCATTCTGCATACCGGGGCGGCGCGCTGTCGGCTCACGCCATCAGAGTTCCCCGTGCCGACCGTGACCAACGCGCTTGCCGTCATGGCATCGCGCAAACGCCGCGGAAAGCAGCCCCGGCGCGCAGGCGGACATGACGTCCCGTGGGTGGACGCACAAGCCTTGCCCTGCGCATGCAAGATCTCCCGGGAGCGACGCCGGCGCGCGTGCTGCCCTGCGGGTGGGTTGCCAGGCGGACGACTGCCCGCGGCGCGCGTACGGAACACACGACAGGACGCGGACATGGGCGCCGCACGCGCGCGTCCTGCCATTGACGCACTGTCTGTGCAGGGATGCATGTCTGGTCCGCTCGCGGCGACACGCGAGAAGCCCAGGCGGGCGCCCCGGCGGAGATGCGCGTAGTTCGGGTGCGGGTGTTGCGTTAGGTACGCGGCGGGGCTGGGCGCCGTGACGCGGGAGAGGAAGTGTCCGTGCGTGGGATCGTGCTGTAGGAAGGAAGGATATAAAGAGGGCCGTCGATGGGTGGGGGGCTGTCATCTCCTGAGCGTGAATTGGTTGCTGCTGACTGCTATCTGTGTCGATGGTCTCTGCATACGGTACGTGCGCATGCTGTGTGTAGCGTGGTGTCTGTACTGACCTTTGTGTGTTGCAGGTACCATGGGCCGACGTTGAAGGGCTCTGAAGAGCGACAGCGGTGAGCACGGTCACAGGTGGATGTTGCTCTGATTGACGGTGTGCGTACGGCGTGAATATGATGGATGGGAGCGCAGGCGCAGGCGTTATGGACGGAGTAGTGCGGGAGCGGAATCTGGTGCGGCGGCGAGCGTGACGTAGAGGTGCTGGATGTGTGGGTCGTATTCCGTTGGCTATGGTGATGGGCGCGTGAGCGAGCGGGTGGTCTGTCTATGAATGTGCTTACGAGATGCGGGCGCGGGTGCAGGCTGCAGGTCGTGGACTTGTTGCGCTGAGATGGGGCTGTGGTGAGACGACGGTGGCAAGAAGAGAGAATATGAACAAGCGTGCGCGACTGCAGCAGCGCCGTGAGCGGGCGTGTGTGGTGTACAGGTTGCAGACGGCCCGGGCTGGAATGCGCGAGAAGTGGAGGCTGCGGCTGTGTGAGGGGGACACCGTGATGCGGGGAATCTGTACGCGCGCGCGAGTGTTTAGAAAGCTGACATGTGCGAGCGGCAGACACAGCGTCTGCAGCGTGTGGGAGTTGGCTGCGATGCGGCGTGCGCGTGGCCTCGTTCGCGGGGGCGGGGAGAGCGATCGGCGAGCGGACGCCAGTGAGAGACGCAGCCGCAGCGATCGAGCGTGCGAGATCGACGATGACGACGCAGGGGCGGGGAGGCGGGACGACGGCGCGCCGAGAGACGTGAATGGAGGGCGGGTGGATGCAGTGACAGCACAGCGCGTCCCCTCTACGGCGTCAGGGGATGTTGGATTTGCAGGTGGAGCGAGAGCGGGCAGGCGTGGGTGACAGAGACGGCCGTAGAATGACGAGATAGAGACGGGGGCGGGACTATGAACGATGCGCAAACAGAATCAAATACTTGGCGCGCTGATGTGTTTTCCTGAGGCCTGTTGAATGACCGGGCTGTGCGATCGCGCTTGGCAGCGACGCCGCGCGACGACGAGTGTGTGTCGCGGGTACTCGGGCTGCAGGCGTTCGAGGGTGCGCCTTTGGTGACGCTGCCCTGGCCGCGCGCGCGGGCGTGTGCTCACAACGCACACGGAGACGCGGCCGAGAACGGCTGGCTGGCGCGATGAGAGCGCGTCGATGGAGCATGCGCTGACCGCGCGTTGTGCGGTGCCGCTGGATATGGGGCACGACGACAGCGAGAGCGCGCGATAGTCAGTAGGACATGTATGAGTAGCTTACCTTTGCATGTAGCTGGGACGACGGGCGCGGGCGCGCTGGGCGGGGATGCGGCCGAGTGTGTGAGGAGGGGCCGGTATGCGTGCGACGGCGGGATGCGAGCGGGGCGAGGGGAACAGCGTGCTGCGCCATGGGGACCGGGATGCATGCGCGAGGGGTCTGCCTTGACGCGGCCAGTGAGAGACGCGCCGGAGCACGGATGGAAGCGATCGAGGGACGTGCAGACGCTGGCAGACAGAGACAGAGAGTGATCGAGGGACAGCGCTGCCGGTTGCTTGCGAAGGAGGATGGACGCCGATACATGTCGAGTCGACGTCATGAACATGTCAAGATCGCCGGCGGTTAGATAAGGGTTATTTGAGATATGTGATCAATTCCCGTGCGGGAGTATCCATATGCGGGCATAGCAGCACCGGGCCATGCACTGGGCCGGTTCGGCTTTGGAGAGTGATGGCTGGGGACAGACGCCGGTCATGCCAATTCCACCAGGAATTGGTCCTCATCCTGTTAAACATCTTTCTCACCGTCGCGCGCGGCGACAGCGCCCTCCCTCATGCCTCTGCTCTCCCGCACCTCGCTCATCACCGCCAACGGCAGCACAGATGCCCTCGACGTCGAGCTCCCCATGGCCGCCATCCCCGCCAAGAATGCGGACAAGCACCCGCACACCGCTGTGACCGCCCCCGTGAGCTCGACGACGCTCCACGCCACCCTGAGCCTGCCGCCCCCGGTCGTCCAGGGCTCTGTGTCCTCAGGCCGACGGGGCAAGAAAAAGTCGGCCCGGGTCGACGGCGGGCTGCGGGTGCACTGGGCACAGTTCAAACGCCGGATAGGGACCGGCACGGCGCCCTCGACGTCCTCTGCGCTCGAGCCCGACGACAGCGGGGACAGCTCCAGCAATGCGCAGATGCGCCAGGACGCACAGCACGAGGTCGAGGACGACGGCGTCGACGAGGTCGTCGTCGACCGCGAATGGTCCGACGAGATCAAGAGCTCCTCGATCACCCACTCTGAGCATGGGGGGACTCCTGAGAAGTCATGCAACCAGCTCGGGACGAGCACCGACAGGGAGAGTCTTGCGTTTCATGTGGACGGTATGTGGGCGTCGTGCGGCCTGCTCATATTCCTGCGCTGGCGGGTATGGCCGACCGTCCACCAGTTCTTCGCACACCATTTCGTAGACGAGAAATCGGAGATGCACTACAGGAAGGAGAACTGGTTCCTCGGAAAGGTATGTTGTCCGTGGTCTTTCCCCTCGCTAGCTCACCCGCTCGTAGAATCTGGCACTGTGGTCCACCGCATTCTTGATTGTGAACTGGGTTCTGGCATTAGGGTTCATTCAGCGACCCGTCGTTCTCCCAGACAAGATCTTCTACTATGCGGTGAGTCCCGGGTGCATAGATGGGTCAACCGGCTGAACCTAGCGCACAGGTGTCCCCTGCCATCACATTTCCGGTGGTCATATTCGTGATGTGGGACTTCCCCCGGGATCGCCAGCTACTTTATCAATGCTGGCTGGTGGTCGCCTGTTGGATGTGGTCGCTATACCAGATTATCTTCATGTAAGCTCTTTCTGCCCTGCAATCGTCGTGTACCCCTCATGGAGCCTCCATACCAGGCATTGGTGCGCGTACTACAGTCAAAACCCGCATTGCGGGAGCAAGGACTTTCTTACTCTGTTCTAGTGCGTCCGTGTGCCGGCCTCAGTCTTCGCTGCTAATCCCCCATCTTAGCTACACGTCTGCGATGCAAACGATTGGCTTGTTCGGTCTGCGGCTGCATAGACTCCCGGCGCTTCTCGCGGCGGCCGTCTTCTTTACACTGTAAGCGCTGTCTTCGACGACCGCGTTCCAGGCGTCGCTCACCATTCGTGTCTGCAGCTCCTGCGGTCTTATCTTGCCGATGCGTGCGCCATTTGTCCGAAGTATGGCTGGTCTGCGGTGGTCTGCGTCCGAGTCTAACACGATTTTGCAGATCTCATCAACTTCCTGTTGTTCCAGGCGTTTATTCTGTACATCCACTACATGCGCGAAAACGTGAGTGTCTGCCGGCCGGTGCCAGCGCGCGCTGATGGGCCGATTGGGCAGGCTGAGCGACGACTATACACACTTCGAGATCAGCTAAAAATCCAGTTCCGAGCGACGCAAAAGGCGCAGGTGAACGAGCGAAAGGCGGCGGACTCAAAGCGGCGGCTCACGTCGTACGTACCTGCCTTCTCCCGATATCTCGCCGCATGCTGAGAATACCCGCCGTCGCTTTTAGCTATGTCTTCCATGATAAGTCTCCACGTTCGATGCTTCTATATGAATTGGTCTGGTTCTCATTGGCTCTGCACAGGTCCGAGTGCCGCTGAATACAGCATGTGAGTCCGGGGCCGCGGCTGCATGATGTTCGCTGAGTTCGCTTGCTGATGGATGTCAGTGCTCGCGGTGCAGAACATGGAGGCGCACGGCTCCGTGCCCAAGGCGCAGGAAATTGAGTTCAAGGCGCTCGAGGGAAGTCTAAGCATGATGTCCAAAGGTGAGCCTCCTTCTGTGATGCTCCATGTTTTCGTTTGCTGACGTGTCGTGGCGCAGTGCTGAATGACGTGCTTGATTTGTGAGTGGCATCGCTCTCATGAGGGGACAGGTGCTGAGGCTGCCACCAGCAACCGGATGGACAGCGGACGCTTCGAGTCTGTACATAAGGTACGCCGTGTGATTTCGAACCTATCAACAGTTGCGAACTCAGATCGTGTGGTCCAGCCCTATGCGTTCCACCAAGTCATGCAATCGATGTTTGTCCCGCTGCAGATGGCCACGAACGCACGCGGGTTGGAGTTTGCACAAGATTTAGACAAGCGTATCGACGAGGTAGGATTGGTCTCACAAGATTAGTCCACTCCACAAATCCTAACGAGCATTGCCACGAATAGGTCACCCGGCGGGCTTTGTATGAAGCGCTCGGCGAGAGTCAGTCCGTCATTGACAGGCGAATGACGGAAGAGCCAGATGGAGATGGCATCGTTGTTGGCGACGAGACGCGCCTCCGGCAGATCATTACCAATCTCGCAAGGTGGGTGCCCCGCCGGCGTCACGCTTTGACATTGCCGCTGAGCTTTTGTTTCCAATTAGCAACGCCTGCAAGTTCACCCCCGCCGGCGGGAAGCTCACGATATCCACAAAGCTGATTATCCCGCAATTGCCTCCCGGCCCTGACGGCTCTGACACGAGCGAGACGGCTGGCGAAGACGGCAGAGATTCAAGACCACAATCAGTCGCGTCGCTGCATGTGCCCCCGCCCCAGGGCGCCGATCGTGAGTGCAGCAACCGTCATCTTGGGCTGCAGTGATTGACTATACGGGCAGCAGAGAAGCAGACTAACGATGACGAGCTATCACCGCCGTTCCCACACCGCCTCTCAGCCACGCAGCTCACACGGCACAATACAATGCACAACAAGCCGCCGCCAGTGGAGTGGATTGTCGTTCGAATTGAGGTGTCGGACACCGGATATGGTATCAGGCCGAAGGACATGGTTCAGAGCAAGCTATTTTGTATGTGCGCTCGCGAGCCTCTTTTCTGCCCTGGCTGACCTCGCATAGCTGCATTCAACCAGACCGAACAGGGTCGACTACAAGGTAAGCTGCCTTTGTTATTGGAGGGGGCCCCCTTCACTCAACATGCGCAAGGTGGAAAAGGCACAGGTCTCGGTCTAGCGCTTGTGCGACAGATCGTCAAGCTCAGTGGCGGTCGCCTCGGTGTCAAGTCGAAGGTTGGAGAAGGATCGACGTTCTGGGTGGAGCTTCGTCAGTAATTATATCGTATGATCTTGGGCCACAACTGATGATGCATCCATCCACAGCGCTGGGCGTCGGGATCAAGGCCACACCGGCGTTGCTGATGCCTCGAGAAGCCCGTGAATTTATCTTCGATACTACTAGCAGCGTCACGAAGACCATGAAGACGGGATCGAGCAGTAAGATTGAGCTACTAGGGGATGATCTTGATACCAGATTGCCATTACAATCTGACCCGCCTCGTCAGGCGTCAGCGCTGCATAGTATCATGGAGCAAGGTACGCTCTCTATGTTTTCTCTTAGTGATCGATATCCTGAAAGGTGCTTTCAGGCGGTCTTGTGGAGATTTCGACTAGGCGAGGAGAGCGGTCGCCAGTCCTGACACGGACACTAGGAGACGTTTCAACCGGGACGCAACCTCTCGCGGAAGATATCACGCCACCATGTGCCACAGAACCTCTTCCGCCCGTCTCCAGCGAAAGCTCGTCATCTACGATCAGGCCACGATTAACGCAGCTGCCGAAGCCAAGAACATTCTTGATCGAGCCGCCATTATCCCCGGCAGGCTCCGCCACCACCGCCTCCACGCGTAACGGCAGCACAACAAGCGGATCCACGCAGGACGGGCCGCTGCGGGTCCTCGTTGTTGATGACGACCTACTTACGCGCAGGCTCATGTCCCGCATGTTGACGCGGATAGGCTGCAAAGTGGCAACTGCGGAGAACGGGGAGATAGCGCTCGAGATGATACTCGGGTCACATGCCACGCCGTCATCTGAAGACACCGGAAGCGCCGGCTTGTCGACAGAGGGCACAACGGCGTCGTCGGCGGTGGCGGATTCGAGCGAGGAGTACCGCTATGCGGTGATATTCCTTGACAACCAGATGCCCATACTATCGGGGCTGGACGTGGTCACGAAGCTGCGGGAAATGGGCCGAAGCGATTTCGTCGTTGGTGTTACCGGTGAGCGTCTCCTTACTCGTTCCGCTGGGTGGGCGCTGAATTGCGCCATCCACGTGTAGGGAACGCACTTCTGACAGACCAGCGGGAGTATCTAGAAGCTGGGGCGGATCAGTACGTGTTTCATGTTGGCGTTCACCCTCATTATGCTCACCTGCGTCCCTCTAGTGTTTTGACGAAACCTGTCCTCGAAAAAAGCCTGAAGAGCATGCTTGTTATTGCGGACGAGCGTCGCAAAGAGCGGATACTCTCCACTGCAGAGCCGCCACAACTAGCAGCAGCACCGTCACCGTCACCGTCACCGTCACCGCCATCATCGCCATCATAGCATATTGTCTAGGGTTTGAGTTCCCGTCTATTTCTTTTGCTTTCTGATGTCCATATACGCTTTTGTGTTTTCCTGGGTCTATTTGTTATCTGCTGTCGAGACGGACTGGCATCATCACAAGCATACGAACTGACGATACTGCATAGCATCAGCACATATATAATGACGTGTATCAATGTTGTATCATCTCACATATATCATAGTTTGCTCCCGCTTCTCTAGTACTGTGGCGTATTCGTACACACTCCATTGCTTACATCCCGACGATATTTCTCAAATCGATACAAGGATTCTGAGCGCTTGACGAGCGGAGGAGGGTCTTCTCGTTAATTTCCGAGATAGTGCCGCGGTAGATGGAGCCAGGCCGTGATAGGCATCTTCTCATACTTTACTTACCTACGCCGAGACGTAATCCAATCCGTCTGCTCGTTTGACATGGTTGTTGCACTGTCATCAAGCTCAAGCTCTGCTAGATGCCGCCGAGCCGTGTACTTCTCTCTCCCGGAGCCCGGTTGGGTGTTTGATAAGACCGACGTCTGCCGCCACCGGGTTTCAGGGCTCGAGGGAGCGCTTGCGTGCGGGCGACAATGGAGACTCGCATTAGAGGGGAATACGCATGCCTGAAGACATACAGAGATTAATGCCATCGCACTACATGATATGTCTGAGCCGACAAGCCAGAGTGCATCTGCCAATCAATCGGGATGCACCTCGGGTAATGCCGGATTTGGACTTGTATGGTTTGCGTTGCCGCCTGCGCCGCTCCGTCCGACCCCCTCGAACGCGGCGCCTCATCACCGCCGTCAGAATGGTTCGAGTTTGCGTGCATTGCACATGTGGTTTTTTTGCACTGTTTTTAACGGCTGTAGACAGGGATTGAACTGTTGCTGCATCAAAAGCCGTAGGGGGCTGTGCAAGCTGGGGGGCGCGACAAATCACTGCAGAACAAGAAAGGCAACCGTCAATATGACCCGAGATGGGACTGGCCCCTGGTGCTGTGGTGGCCGTATGTGGCACAGCATATAAGCATCTCTCCAGACTGGGGGTGTGCAGCGACGTGTGCTTTTTAGGAGCGCGGGGGGGGGCAGCAAAAGACGGGGCTGGCGAAAGAAAAAAAAAGGCAGATGGAGAAGAGAAAGCGTCGAGGACGTTGCGCGTTGAAGAGAGATCGTCGGAGTTGAATCACGTTAGGTTCAGTAAACAGAGATCCGGCGCCCTCCCTTACACAGTAGTCTGTATTTACGCTCCTTCCTCTCATCCCCCACCACCAGGCCTCCCGTCGTCCCCCACAAATTATCTGCGCGCTCTCGCACCCGCGCCTCAGCTGACACACGGCACTCTGTACTATTTTATTTCGCGGGGACTGCGCATTTTCGCCTTTCCACCCACTTTTGTCCATCACCACGAGCGCTAGCGATGCCAGCTTCCCCCTCGCCTTTCCACATCACCCTCAAGAATGGCGAGCAGGTAAAAGTCAATGGTAATTCACCTCTCCGAGCTCTATCCAGCGGGTATGGCGGCTGATTTTTACGCAGACCATGTCTACTGCTCACCCAGTTGGGCCGTTCGTGACGGCACCCCGTATTCTGTGGCTCGTATAATGGAGTTTCTCCCAGCGCAGGGTCCGCCTGCCAGCGACAAAGGGGGTAAAAGCAAAGAGCCATTTACTCGTGTCCGTCTCGCCTGGTACTATCGCCCTAGCGACGTAAGCGATCGTGCGTCGGCGGACTGTCGTCTCCTGCTCGCCGCAATATATTCCGAAGTATGCGACCTCAGCCAAGTACGCTCTAAGTGCTATGTAATACATAGGGACAAGATTTCCGACCTCGCTGGGTGGAAAAAACGCCCTGATCGGTTTTATTTCACCCGTCTATTCGACCCGTGGATTAGGAAGGAATTCGAGGTTATTCCAGCAGTGACCATTCGAAATCGTGGGTTGGCTATATCTCGTCGGATGGGGCTTTTCCTGATGTACTATGACAGTTCCTTCCGAGATCAAAGATATTTTGATCTCACGTTACGAATATGTCGTAGCTGAGAAGGAAGTTGTCCCTGATCTCACTGACGCACTCAGACATTGCGAAACATGCACGAACTGGTGCCCACCGTGAGTAACGGTAATTTTCGCCTCATCCCCCGCCTTCTCAACGTGTCCACGCCCACAGAGCCGAGACGGTGCAATGCGACCGGTGCAAGAAGTACTTCCATATGGCTTGCGTCAATCCCCCCCTTCTTGCGAAGCCCAGCCGCGGATACGGGTGGACATGGGCCCCCTGTTCGCGCAGGCACGAAGAAGAAGTCGACAACCACGAGGGAATCCGCCAACTGACACCTGCTGCAGCGCCGAAGCCGCCGAAGACAAATGCACCCGCGCCGAGAGGCCGCGGGCGGCCGCGGAAGGATCGCGTGCAGGCAGAGAAGGAGGAGAACCTAGAGATCAAGCACTTCAGGATGTGGCCGTTTCGGTACTTTGGGTGAGAACGAGGAGCGGAGATGCGAAGCGTATAGTGCTGACGGTGGGATGCCCACAGACTGCACACCGTTGCAGAAGACACGCTTGGTCAGTGCACCCATCACGGCAGCAATTGCCTCTGCGAGAAGCCCTAATCTTGGTATATCAGACCCCGACGACTTTATCTTCCCACGGGCGGCAACCCGCGTTGGCTCGAAATACCAAGCCAATGTCCCGCTCGCGCCAGGCACAGAGGGTGCCTACTCTCAGCCTGGTAAGTACGACAGCCTGCGAAGGAACAGTAGCTGATGCGCCGCAGATCTGGAAGAGAGGGGAGGAGACTCGACAATTGAAGTCCTCTGCCTGGCCAACGAAATGCGACCAGAAGAAGGTGCGTGGGGACCTGCCTCTTTGGGCAGATTCACAGAATGTTGACGCTTGTTTGTTCACACAGTCGGCGCTTGTGAGTAACGTCATCATATAGCCGAGGACAGATGATGATGACGCCCACATATCGCAGTGGAAACGCACAGGAATACTCTCACAAGAAACGAAGACATTAAATGCAACGTGGACTGGCTAACCGAGGTCATGCGCCGCTACACAGAGGCCCGCCTTGCCGTCCGCGACTTCGGCACAGTGAGCATGAAGAACCCCCTTCGCCTGGAGAAGGTTTGTCTATTTCAATTGCTCGTAAAATGTGGCTGAGACGGGTGCATTCAGTGGAAGAAACGGGAAACGAGGTGCATAGATAGGGACTGGACAGATGGCGAGATAGCCGCCTTCGAAGATGCTATCGCCGTCCACGGGGCTGAACTACGCCCAGTCCGGGACGAGGTCGGGACCAAGACAATGCCAGAAGTCGTGCGATTCTACGCCCATTGGAAGAAGTACATACACTTTTTGTTTGCCGCTTGTGTACGCTAACAAACGGCCTAGTTCGAAACTACGCGAGGAGAACGCCAGGATCAAGGCGGCACGCGAGAGTGGGTTAGACGCAATAGAATTGCCATCACGTGCTGTGTCCCCGGACGACGAGGGCTCGATCGTCAAGGAGCTCACCCGAGGTAACACCAGTTGTGGCTGCTGCCGCACTCGAGAATCGACCGTGTGGTGGAGGGCGCCGAAAGGCCTGCCTACCAACGTCCTCTGCGACAATTGCGGCTTGAGCTGGCGCAAGTACGCGGATCTCAACGTCAGACCATATCGCGAGGACGCTATGGCAAAGAATAAGCTGGAAAACAAGCGTGAAGGGACGCCTCTCAGCGGACCTGCGAACAAGCGTGCCAAGGTTAGTCCATATGTCCTACTGAATCCCGTAAACGGGTATTAAGCGGGGCATAGACCACGCCGTCGGGTACATCTACGCCCCCACCAGCTGGGCCTGTACCTGCGGCACCCCAGCACCGTTGTCTCGCATGTCACAAGAGTGGCTCCATTGGCAAGGTGCTACGATGTAGACAGTGTCAGTTCCGCGCGCATGCAGGTATGTACTGGTATTCCCCATATCCCCTACACGTTCTGAGGGGCACAATAGGTGTCTGTGGTGTGGTAGTCGACGCAGCCGCCGTAGAGTCCTGGGTATGCGAACTCTGCGCGAACGAGAAAACATTAGAGGCCTTATTGGTGCGTCCAGCGAACATCGTGCCGGGTGATCTTGAACTCGGCTGATTGACATGACTTCAGAACCCTGACTGTCTCTTATGTCCCCGATCGACGCGCGACCCAAAGAGGAAGTCACTTTATCCCCCTCCTGATTCCTTCCTCCGAGCGTGCAAACCTACCGAGGGCCAAGCCTGGGTCCACGTCCTCTGCTCCGCCTTCATTCCCGAGGTCTCATACTCAGACGCGTCGCGCCTCCGTCTCGTCGAGGGCATCAGCACGATTCCGCAGTACCGATGGCAGAATGTGGGTCATCATTTCCCTTCTGTTCCTCGTCCGTCTGTTCACAGTGCACACCCGCAGGAATGTACGATATGCAGCCAGAACGGCGGCGCCGTGGTTCGCTGTGCCGAGTGCCCAGCTGAATACCACGTGTCATGTGCGTGGAAGCAGGGCTACAAGTTCGGATTTGAGATGCAACCGGTACGTTTGGATTGTGCTCACGTATTATATCACCCCCTGAACAAGAACACTTCGCTCCAGGTGAGGCAAAGCAGACGCGATACGACGACCATCGTGGAGTTTAACGATATTTCGGGGTGTATGACGCCTGTTGTAATATGTAAGGGCCATATCGGCCACAAGCGCGAGCTGTTTGATATTTGCGCAACTAACGAGCTGGGCGAGGTGGGCATCACAGGTTTTATTGGCATTCATGGGCGCTTACTGCTGATCTAGACTGCACTGCAAGTGTATTGCAAGAATTATAAGCAGGTTTCCACGGAGCATACGCATGGTTTGCTTCGAAAGGCCCGACGCCTAGACAACATCATCACAATCAACGGTGACCACTCGTCTGTGGGCGACGATGCCACCTCCGACCCCAAATGCTTCCGCTGTCGCAGCGAGTTCTCTCCATTCTTCCATCCAGTACCCCATACCAACGGGATGTCAACATGTTCTGCGGCTGATACACGGACGTTCTTATGCCATAGATGCTTCATTGATACCCGGGAAAACCATGTAGTCACTAATGGAACCGCGTCCTCATGATCTTTGCCGCTGCCTATATGATTACATGTACTGTACTATTGTTATAGAAAGGATTATCCAATGCAAATGGGGCGAGGAGTACAATTTGAAAAGCGAACTGATAACTCAAATGAAAATATGCAACGCGTAAATATGAGTATGTACTTCAGGCTTTGGTCCTCTTGTAAAACAGCATATAGGCTGGTTTGCCCTGTATCGAGTTCAGAACATAATGCGACATTGATCAACTAAGGTGGACTTACAACGACGTCCTTGGTGTCGGCTTGAGATATACGACTATCGTCACAGTATAGCCAACCTCCCCGTGAAGATATGAACGCGGTATCTGTAAGGAAGATCAATGAATATCACGACTGCGAACGAAAGTTTTGTGCGACGCTTACAATGCCCACTGCTCAATGTGCCGAAGTGGTTCGTTACCCCATACAAGTCGTATCTGTATGGCGGTATCTGTGCTCGAGGATCGTCTCGCGACAGCTGCAGTCCCATATCGACGCCAGGCGGCAATGGCGGAGGCATATAGTTGGTCAGATCGAGACTCCGTATTGGGTAGTCGACAAATGTCTCAATCTTGTCTGTAAAGTGGCCCTTCGACGAGAATCGCTTCAGGTGTATGAGGAGGACTGGCGGGAGACGAGACAAAGACAAGTTCTTGGTTGCCTTCCGAAGAGTCTTGCAATGCGGGCAGTTCCTATTGTCGCGTTAGGAAGTACGTCGGGTAACTCATCGTCACAACTCACCAAGCATCTGACTTCTCCATTACTTCCTCCTTGACGAAAGCATCCAAACACTGATATAGGGAGACCTTTGATCCGCGGCCAATGGGAATGGGTAAGGTCAGATACATGAATGTGTTGTACGTTGTTGACGTCTGAACGCCCGGCGAATTAGCTTCTTTCCACGACGACGCCGCGCGCCAATGATTCTTTCCATACCTTATGACACGTAAGACATTCGAGGCGATTGCGAAACTGACCCTGAAAGAAGTCGACAACCAGACTATCGTTGCGCATGCGCCAGATCTGCCATTCCTGCTCGCTGGCGATCTGAGTCGGAAGCCTTTCGAGCTCGGCTTCGCGTTCCGGCGTAGTCTCTATCTGTGGCTTCTGAAGGACCCTGTTGAGGTCCTCGTGTAGACCATCCAGAAGGAAATTGAGGAACTCTTGTGAATCGTGCTGCTCAGTGCCTCCAAACTGGGGCGCGTACATGCATAGAGACCGCTGATCGCAATGCAGTCAGCGTAAAGCCGCACAGACAATAATGTATGTACATACCCTGAATGTTACAGGGGACAGACATTGCATTTCGCCTTGCCACATATCTCGCAAAATATTCGCAAATGCATTTGCTAGATTTCCTTTTGTACCCATCGGATTCATCATGTTAACCGCGCTCTTCCATCGCCCATCTGTGAATATATATGAGTTCATGCTCTCTGCGACCATCCAGTGAATGTACCTGTGAAGAACCTTGAAAAAGGTACCGTCGCACTCAAGCACTGTATCGTTGAGTTCATGTAGCAGGTGTTGCCGAGATTCTTGAGACCTGAGGTACCAATCTGGATATCGGCCCAATATGTGACAGGATAGTCGGACTGTATAGTCGGGGGCTTAGGACCTGTCGGCTGTATCGAGTACGATTGGCTTTGCAGGAGGCGAGGCCGGTTATCCTGTCTCTCCATTCCGGAGGCGGCGGCGGCAGGTGGTGGTCTTAGTACGTGCTGCGACGAGAGATCAGGATAGTCTATAGACGGGCGTGCAACTAGACCAGATAGGGCTTCTTGTGACTGGTCAACGTAATCACTCCGGCGTCGCGAGAGCGGAGACGGGTTGATAGACGCTTGAGGAGGCATCGACACAATGCCATTGAGTGCAGGGGAAGAAGAAAAGGACGATCCGGAGATTTGTGGGGATATATGGCGGGTAACGCTGGGGTATTGGATAGTCGCTCCGTTGATCAGAGCTGGAGATACATATTGTGCGGTTGCCTGAGAGGGTGTGAGCCAGGCTAGACTGGGGATAACGAATACCTCACTCACGTTTTCCGGTATTGAGGGCGAGGAGTAGGATATCGAGTTTGACGTTGGCCGGGTAATCGCATGTTTGCGTACCAAGCGCTTCGCCTGATCTAGCGGCGGGGACAGAGGGGAATCTGGGCCAGAACTGTAGAAATACATGTCAATAGTAAGAATTTGTATATCGCGAACATACTGACCGGAAGGACGCTGGCGACTGTTCGGGCGAGAACGGCGGAGTGGGCTGGGGCGGTATCCAGGGTCTATGAGCGTCGACAGAGGACTCTGTGCCTGCTCGATGGCGACCGCCTGTCGACTGCTCATAACTGGGGGTCGATGCAAAAGCAGGCGGCGGAGCTACCTCGGCCGGCGCACGGACATGCCCTAATGGAGACCCCCGTGCTTCGTGATAAGTGGTGGGAGGTGTGCTCACACCGTTTATCTTCAGCGATGCCATACCATTGACCGGACCTGGTACATCCCCAACGTCAGAGCCAGTACTCGATCCGCCGCGGACCAGCTCGGTCTCTCCGAATTCCCGTTTCCACGCCTGCAGGCCGCCTACCAATAGCATTGGTGGGTGCTTCAGGATTTTGCGGAATGCACGCTCGTAGACGGCTCGGACGAAGATAGCCAAAGGCGAATTCGCATCGCCAAAGGTCTCGGACGACTCATCGTACACCGCAATAAGATCGAACTTGTCGCGATTTGCGAAGAGCATAGACTCATTCCGAGGCGCGACTACAAGCGAGTCTTCGATGGTCTGCGCGGTGACGCTGTCGCACATCGTCAATAGGACTTTGTGATGCAGTTCGAGATGTGCTTACTCGTTGCGCAGCAAGACGCTTGGCTCGATGCATACGATAGCATCTGCCTTAATATGCTCCTTCTCAAAATCCCCACGCGTCCGCACGTCCAATACCAGTACCTTGAAATTATGCCGCCGGTTGTAGTCCAGCAGCGCCTTCGGGAACAATGTTGTGGACACCGGGATCTCCGGCGGCTTCTCCGTGATCGGGGTCGGCGCAGCGGGCAAAACCGGCGATCGCGATGCTGACGACCTCAATGACAGTCCCGACGGCTTGCGCGGGACAGTGGGTGACAACGGCGAGCGGGCGGGAGAGGCAGGCCGGCTCGCGAAAGTGTTGATCGTCGGTGGAATAGGCGTGCTGGATGGCCGGGGACCGGGGTCCATGGGAAGAGCAGGGAACGGCTTCGGATGTGCAAACAGCTGCGGCGGGAATCCATCCTGTCTGCCTATGCTCGAACCGGTGGGCAGGGACGGCAGCTTCAACCCGTCCGCCTCATCCAGCTCGTCTATTGATGGAAAGGCCTTACCGAACTCTGACAAGCTGAGGTGAGACAGGTGGGGCGAAGACGATGCCGAGGACGATGGAGACGGGGGGCCGAAGCTCGACGTTGGCACCAGTGCGTGGGGCGACGCGACTGTGGACGAACTGGCGACTACTGGCGACGCTAACATTGGGAAACTCGAGGATGGCGGGGGAGGTAGATTCTGAAGCGAAATCCGATTCAGGCGAGCCGGAGGACCGTCTGGAAGTGATGAGGGGACCTCTCGAGAAAGACGTTTTGTCGACGAAACAGCGAGACCCGCGTTCTGTAGTGAGCGCATTCTGTCTGCAATGCTGACGACGCCTGTCGATCTTAATACAGGGGACTCCTCCTCATCTCTAGTCAATCATAACAGTCAGATTTTATCCCTCTAGCGACGAACATTTCAGAGTGACAAATGAAGAAGCTGATTCGCCTGGTCACAGAAGACGCCCACTGTGTTCTGGGAGACGTTCCGCAGGCGTACACCGTGGACATCGGCCGGGATCTCCCAGAGAAGAGCTAGTCTCATGAGATGGGCGACAAAACAGATAAAGGATGCCCGGTACTGAATGCGACATGTCCGGGAGACACATGGTGGATATCCAACATGCGGAACAGAGAGCGGTGTTCCACAGAGCACCAATGCCCGTAAAGAACATCAGGGCGCTATTACGACTCAAAGGGTCCGCAGTGCACACAGCTGCGCCGGGGATGATAGCTCTTCTGCGTAGAGATTCTGAAGAAATACTCACTGTATAGACAGCTGCTCACTGTTAAGCCTCTCTTCTGCCCTCTGTGTCTTACCCATCAGGTCACGTCCTTCGTGCTGCGTGTGTTCAGCGAGTGCTGCGTAAGAAGGCATCGTGTAGCATACCTGCTGAAAGTCGAAAAAGTCTTTCATTAGCACACCCCTGCGTCCCGGCTGCGTCTCCTGCTTGAACTCTGCAGAGTCCATGAACATCTGTACGAGAGACGCAGCCTTGGTGAGCGCGCTGAGCGCGCCCTTGGTGTTCCCCTCTAGTTCGCATTCCTCCGCAACGCGGCACTGTGCCCGTGCGCTCTTCAGCAGGGAAATGGCCGATGCCCCGCGGACCTTGAGGACCTGTTCCTTTGCTGTATCCTTGATATCTGCCACTGTTCCGCCATGCGAAGTGCTGGCTCCATTTTGCATCCTGAAGATCGGTGATCCGAGACCTGCAGCTGGTGTAGGTGGTAAGACTGTTATCCCGGGCATGTGCCCTGTAGAACAAGCAAGAATAAAGATAGGGCAGGGGGTCAACGGAGCAGACTCATGAGTCCAGCATACAAGCGAGTTATTATTCGTATGCGGGTGTCGCGGGAGGGAGTGTGTTTGATTATGTAACTTCCTATAATAGGTTACCTCTATACTGAGTCCGTTCATCTCTTGCATCTCACTTTACTGCGCCCGCTGGATTGCTGCGCACGCTGGGCTTCACTATCACAAATTCAACAAACTTTCATAATACTTGATTTCGATGCGGTTGCTTCAAGATTTTAAAAAGCACGTTGCACCTCGCTCTTACCCCTGCTGTTATTCTCGGTGAGGCCGCGAGGCCTATAAGAACAGCCGCTATATTAAATCGCAGTCATTCGGGAGCCGTCAATTTAAACTACTAAGACTAAGCAGAAGTTGCGGGCGCAGGCCGGTCCGGACTCGGTCAGGAGAGTAAGCACAGCATACGTAACTGCAGTGTGATATCCTTCGCGGGCAAGGCAAGCATGTCGTTGCATGCCATTGGCAGCAGCACTGACGTCGGACCACTACTCTCGTCCGCCGCTATCATGAGCACCGCAGCATTCAGTGACCGGTATGGCATCTCACCCAGTCTGGAGTCGTGTGCTTAGTGACTTCAGCACAAGCCCAGCTACCCTCTATGTAAGTCTCTCCTCCAGAATATTGCTCAAAACCAAACAGCCCGTTTCGACACAACTCGATCGTTCTGGCGCTTTCTAGATGACTAAACCGATGCTCGATCACCCGAGACATACCCGGGCTCATCACGGCCGATGTCGCGTACGTGTCCTTGTCCGAGACTACCATCGTCTTGAACACGATCATGGCGACCTCATCAACTGCAATGCCTATAGAACTGAATGTCTCACATCGTGGCACTTCTCATCGCCTCTCACTGCTTCCGAACGATACTATCACTGCCCTGCAAGCCCGACTAGAGGAACTAACGTCCGTGCCTTCATCGCTCCAGAAATTGTTATACAAAGGCAAGAAACCACACTTGCAAGATGACGACACCCTCTCGCAGGCCGGGTTGAGAGACGGAATTAAAGTCCAATTAATCGGTCCGACGGCTGAGGAGCTGGGTGGCATGCGTGCAGTTGAGGACGAACGTAATAGAAGAGAGCGTATTATGCGAGAACGAGCCGCAAAGGCATCCGTAAAGGTACGTCCACGTACCCGTGATGTACTCTCATAGTCGCTTCTGACCGATCTCCAGGTGCGGTCGATTGGCTCACCTAGGGCCGAGTCGAAATACAAATTCCATCGTATCGAGGCCCTTGACCATCTTCCAGATCCACCAGCTGCACGCACACTCCTCACTCGCCTTGCTAACGACCCTGCCATTCGTCATGTTATGCAGAAACATAGTCTTGCCGTTGGTGTTCTGACCGAGCTGGCGCCACATGAGCATCCCAACCTGCTCGGTCTGAACGTGAATGCGGGACAAGCAATCAAACTGAGACTGCGCACGGACAGATATGACGGATTCCGTTTATACGGAGACGTGAGGAAGGTTTTGTGCCATGAGCTTACTCATAATGTATGGGGCGATCATGACGACAACGTAAGCCTTGATATTGACTGCGAGTCTCCCAGTGGATCTGAACTATATTGTCGGTTTGATCTAGTTTAAAGAAATGAACTCTCGGCTGAATCGCGACGTACTCGAGTTCGAACGTTCACTAGCCGAGGGCACACACAGCTTTACGTCAGGCGAGGCGTACGAGCCATCATCTGAGCTCGAGGCTGAGGCAAACGCGCTCATTATGGGAGGCTCGCATGTCCTAGGAGGCTCGGGGCCTGCTTCCACAGATGAGTCTTCTGTCGAACGACGCACACGGATATTGGAAGCAACGATGAATAGGCTTCGGAAAGAAGAGGAAGAATTGGAAGGGCAGTGCGGTACATCCACGACGCATTGACTTCATAGACGAATGCTATCGGTCGGGCATCATGTAAAGTAGGATGTATTCAAACTCATGCACCCAGATACTTTATGTCAGCGTCTAGTCTCCGAAGGACAATCACGTTGAATGCAGCACCAGCTGGCCTGACACAAAGCTCGAGGTAAGTGGCACAACAAATTGCCAAGCCTTTGTCGCGATGATTGTGCTTTAGGCTTGAAGGCACGCGGCTGATTTGTATTGTCGTCTACGCGCTCCCGATGTGGCCCACTATATAAAGTTTGCATGCCCAGAGGGCATCGTGCACTTCGCGTTTGGATCGTTCAGTCGACCTGCCTGCGTTCGTCATTGGCTATCAAACCGACTGCATTTCTTCGTACAGCCTTGGAGTCAGTACCAGTCTCAGTGAGTAGTCGTGATAACGAGTGTTGTGGCCCGCTACTTGGGTTCAAGTACTAGGGCCTCCCTCATACATTCGGTGCTAACCGTTTCCCGGAATATGTTTCTACAACAGGCCCGAGCTTGATCTGCGGCGCGTCGCCGTCAAAGGCCGTGGATTAACACCCTCGGCAGCTTCTATTGTGAAAACATTGCCGTGCTCTTCTGCTGTTTACCCGGGAATGGCCACCGGTAGTGGTGGTTCGCTTTGTTGGAATTGTGCCTGAGGCACTGGGGGACCTGAAGGACCGACAGTATAAATACCCCCCTATCCCTCGCGGCACAAAACAGTCTCTCCCTTCCACTTGCCTGCGTCTTGCCCGTCATATCCCTATTCACAATGAGTGACCCAACCAAACTTGAAGAAACGTAGGTCATGACAAAGGTCGTCTACTTCATTACTGAAGCTCGTTGCCTGCGGCAGATACATCACCGACGCTGGGTTTGGTCACATTACATGGACTCCGTCGACCACGGTGGACAGCCTTTCGTTTGTCAAAGCATTGGAATTTCGCATGATAAGCGAAGTAGACATCAGAGGATGTGTGCATCGCAACCGATATACAGAACGCGACGATGAAGGCACGGACGAAACTGGCTTACCCGTACATACATGGCTCGACGCTCTCGTCAATGGCCTCCCAGCGCTCTTGGAAGATCATCGCTTCAACATCGAGAAGTTGACCCTGGACGACTTGGTCTGGGGCCGCATCGCGCCACCGACGCAAACATCTCTCTTATTCCACTTGCACAACATCACAGAACTGGTCCTCTCCAAAATGAGCTTTGAGAATGCGAACCAGCTTTTGACGATCCTGGGGTCGTTCCCTCGCCTCTCCACCTTGGAGATGGACAAGTGTTCAGGCCTTCTCGTCGAATCAGATATGCTGCAAATTGCTAGGGCTGTGCCCCTCAATTTGCGCCACCTTCGCTTGGATAGTCCGGACTCATCGTACGGGCCAGTTGTCCAATGGCTTGCCGACGGTGGAGTCAGTGTGACTATCAAGAAGGCGTTCTTGGTTTGGGAGGAAGTGGATATTCCCGCTCTTCTCAATTTCTTTAGGACCATCGCTTCCTCTCTGGAAACTTTGACGTACATGCAGCGTGCACCTAACAAGCTCCGTAAGTCCCTATCTGCTCTTGCGGTTCCAATCAGACGCTAACACCATTGACAGACATAGACGACGAGCCAATACAGATGAACCTTCTCGACGACGGCAACGGACCCACAAAGGTCGATGTAGCCGCGGCCCAAGAGTTGAAACGTCGCACACGCGAATGCGAGGCCGCAGCGGAGGCAAATAATCTCTTGGACAGGCACCCTATTCAAGCATGTGCCACCGCTCACCTGCATGTGCGGATCACCTGGTCCCGACTGGCTCCTATTGCGATCAAGCTCCTCTGTCAGCTGTCCTCTCAGGCCGAATGCGTCTCTCTACTGCTCGATTTCTCGCATTCGACGCCCGATGACGCGGAATGGGGCCTCGTCGGCGAGATGCTTCATGCACTGGCTACACGACTCATCGCCGGCAACAGATGCGCACTCCGATTGCGTATGTACCCCGCCGTCTTTGAGAAGCTGCCCCGGGTCGCCGCCGAAGGGACTGGCTGGGACTTTAGTCTCACCCATGACGAGTGGGATTACGATCCACATCGCTCAGATTCCATGTCTGCGTAGCTCCGTGGTGTATTCCGGATAGTGGCTAGTCCGCCGTTATGTGATCTCGCTGTAGGCTCTCACGATGTGGTTTAACTCGGCTGGGAGCCCAATACTATTATGTGTCACTGTCTACAGGTTGCGAGATTGAGTGGCGGTTGATGACAATCAGTCCTATCATCCATGTAAGCGCAGTCGCCCGCAACTAAGGGTGTGCCGCTGATAATTTGCAGTGCACGCCGGTCTCACACCGGATAGCGCGACCAGTTCAGCCTCGTGCTGCGTATCATTGCCACCTCGGGGCTGGTATATAACAGTGAGGATATGTGTTGGGTGTACTTTGAAATATCTCGAGCTTTCTCGTGTCCTGTCGAAAGCGTCCGAGCCGACCTGCATTTCCACCTACCATTATCAGTATGATCATCGAACATTACGACAGCAATTTCGGTACAGTGGAAAAGAGAGATCGAGGATCTATGTCTGCGTTCGACGAGGTCTGTTGTCTATGCTTGAGATCGTAGTTTTCGTACTGAGAGTCTGATAGGATGTGTATGTTTCTATGGATATATCACCGGCCTATTGCGACGCCACTTAGTAATGGCCCAGCTCCTGTGCTTGCTCAGACGGCTACGCGCCCTTTCACCTCAGTGATCCCATTCCGAATATCCGGACCGCCTCAATCAGACTCGGCGCAGCGTGTAAACAATATCTCGCTCTTCTCCAAGCACGACCCTATCAAAGGTACTTGTTGTCTGCGAAAGCGTGTCCACCTGTAACACATTCGCGTACTATGTAGGAACATACATAATCGATCCACTGCTACCCACGGTACCTATGAGTACCGGTCTCTTCTCTGGTGAACACAACGTCCGTAAGATAGGGCAGGAAGCGGCACGCGATACAAGAACGCCAGGAACGAGTTTCGACGGGGGCTCTGATAACGTGTCCGATGTCAACGCAGCATTCCGCACTCGTCGCAGCCCCATTACCCTCGATTTAGCCGTGGTTGGAGACAAGCCACAAGGGTCCGACAAGTCGAGAGCACGCATAATGGCGTCGGCTCGCCACGGGAACATCGCCGTAAATCTTGTGAGTATGCAAAGGTCCCGTGTCGATATTGCATTCTTATGGTATGCTGTCTTCAGTTTCAAATACAGCAGAGCCGGTGTGTGGACCTCAATCTGCCTTTCCGGCAAGGTTAGTGCGTTACCTGTGCATGGCGGGCCTAGTTACTAATATCAGTGATCAGGTAACATGATCGTCTTGCTTCCTCCTGATTTCGACGGTCCCATTACGATCCGACAGCGGCGGGGTCGCAGCGCAATCAGTTTTCTGCCCGCATTCGCTGAGCGCGCCCGTGTGTTGCGAGACTTCCGTCATCCTCTCCTCTGCTTCCGGCACAGCTTCGATCCCAAATCCAGGACACGACTCGTGCGTTTTGGGCACTCGATCAGGGAAAATCACGATCGGCTTGAGTGGGTACGATAAGCCAGAGGATCCTTCTGAGAGCGGCGGCTTCCTCCAGATACTCGGTGGCGCTGCCAAGGCGGGGTTTGAGATGCTCGAGGTCGCACTCATCGGGCGTCCGCTATAGACTACATGATGGCAGTGGCGGTCTTTTCTGTTTCGGGTTATTTCATTTAGTGAATCGATGCCATATTGCTCATAAATGGGCAGTTTGACGGCTCAGCTACGCATCAGTGTGGCAACCACGTACTCGCAGCTACGGCTGACTCTGAGATCTAGAAATACCACAGATGCTCAACGACAACTAGCACTACACTCGGGTGCCATGCCATTTCGAGCAAGGTACGTGACGAGGAGGCTCAGGTGGCATAGTTAGGCTTCCGGGTAGTGCATTTTTATGCTAGGCCGCGGCTGGGGCCTTCCGACAAAGTTGAGGGGCGAATGAAGGGTTGAGACTGAGACTGAAGGAGCTCAGAAGGCGACTATCATTACTTTTCCGACCTCTCCCGTGCGTCTGCACAAATGCAAGATATGAGACTGAACATTCACAGCAAGACTAGAGATTGTATGATAGATCTGACGTTGACCAGGCAACCTATGTGTTGAAAGGGGAGCCATGATTACTGCCTGCTCGATGAACTGACGTTCTCAAATGATCATTTGGAGACAGTAGTCATCAAGGTGAACAGCTAACGCCATCATGCTGGCAGCACTCACGGTATCTCCAGTTCAATCTATGAGACGAAGTAATGAGTATCGTCGAAGCCTTTTGCCCGTTCAATCGGAAGCGGCAGAACACCCACCTGAGACACCGCCTTGTCGACCTCAGCTGCATACAGGTCTACGAACGCTCGCATGTCCTGCCCTACCAATGGTGCGCAGACTCTACAGCTTGATGCTACTCTCACTGCTTCATCGACCCCTGCCTCGATCACAGCCTTCCCGCTGGGCGTTTCGTCCGTCACTTGTTGGATGCTTGATAGATGATCCCACCACCATTGCCTGGTATAGTGTATAGTCCGCATCAAATTGTTCTGAACTGTGATAGTGTCGCCCTCCGAGCAAGAGTGCTCCGGAACTCCAGGTCGTCGCGCGTTATTCCGTGAGCTGCTTAAGAATATCCATTGACGATTTGGTAGCCAATCGAGAATCTTGCCTGACGCAAGAGGCTCCGCTGCATCACTGCATCGCTTGCGATAGTCGAGCAGCCGACAATATGCGGCAGCCGTGATCTCCTCGAATTCTGGCACGCGCGCAGTCTGCACAGAGTGCGCCAAGGAACACCTGGCCGCGAAGCGAACTTCCTCGTTCAAACCCAGTACAAGCGCGAGGGCATAAATGCGCAATGGGACTTCGGCAGCGATTATCCGCATCTGACTCTTGACCACCTCCATAACGCTGTCCATGTCGTATTTTAGTACAGCTTCAAGGACAGGACGCAAAGTCTCGACGTCGCGGATCTCGACTTGCTGCACAGGATAGCAAATGCGCAGTATGATGTCTAGCGTCCGGCTATCTTCTGTCATAGGAATGACCGGCGGACCATTCTTGTAGTCGGTGTCCTCCAATTTGGGCGCGGAAGGCTGGGGCATATGGAACATGACATCGAAGAACGGGGATGCCTCTGCCAAGATGGCCTTCCGTACGTGGAAGTCGACGAGATCAGATGAGCGTAAAATTACATCTGCAGTCGGCTTATTGAAGGGCGGCGATGCGTCGCGGACTTTAAGCTCTGCGGACTCTGCGGAGGAATCGTCTACAGCAGACTTTGTCACTGATCATGATGCATAATATGTAAACGGTGGGCAACAGAGGACTGTGTGGAGTCGGGGACCTACTTTCCGCGATGACAGACCAGCGTGAGCTACGCTGTGAGCGGAGAGGAATGGCGTGGGGGATGCAATGATTCAGTCTTCAATTGTCTCGTTACGGGCTCAATACGGAACCCATGCCAATGCCTCATGTCACTCACCGTGCCAAAGTCCACAGTCTAGACCAGATGCTTCTCTGAGATAAGTAGGGAACGCTCGCACGTGTCCGTTATTATGGCACATCTATGAAGCGTCCAAAGCAGTGTAAATTGGAATCCGCTGAGCGTTTATCATGTTCAGCAGTCCCTGCAACTTGAACCATGTCTTGTATCCTGCGCAGCGCAGACTGAGTCCTTTGCGCATGCAGGGCCCGGATCTCAGCTCTTCCGTACGCCATAGATCGGCAGTTGGTAGGTCAGGTCGAAGGCTTTCATCCAGACCGCGGCCTCTGAGTATTTGTGCTGACCGGAAAGGAAACTAACTGGTACCAGCAGTGACTGCAGAACTGGCTTGTGCGATCTTCTAGCTCCGCGTCAATTGTTGCGTTTTTGCGTGATATATCTCGAGTCCAAGATCCCTTGAGGAGCAAGGAAGCCTGCATATCAGGTCTCGTCAATTTTCCGTACATGCAAGCCTTTAGGATATTGCTGGATAATGTCGTATGGGACGGGTAATCGAATATGAGCTACGACACCATGGACGAGACTAAAAATACGGTACCCCATGCTTGCACATGGCATCGTTTCAATGTATGCAAACGTCAGGATAGGTCGTCACTTACCGGTGATTCTGGGTACTTAACCGACTAATACCGAGAAAACAATCGTCCGACGCGAATTGTACGAAAGCACACAACAAAGACAGAAACACTGCAAAGATAGCGTGAAGCATATGAGGCTTATAGCATAAATGGAGGACACAACGGAGTGTGCCATGAATCTACAATACTACGAGCAACCAATAATCCCTTGAATGAACACAGATCACAGCAAACGCACCGCCAGTAACCAAGCCCTTCCCCCTGCCCCCCGAGGCTGTTACACCGAACGCGTATTAGTCAATGAGTAAAATAACACAGGTATCTACGTCGATTGACTCGTCAAGAACGCGACGAGACGCGCGGTCTGAATATTCCAAGAGTGTCGCCTAGCTGGAGGGTTGCGCCGGCGACGCCTTCCTATCGCCTGCGTCCTTCTCCTTCTGCGCGGACAGAGTGCTCGGGGCATGTGAATGCGTTTGTCGTTTTGCCCGTGCCGCACGCAGCTGATGGTGCTTCGACTTGCCCGAAGCCGCCTCCGCGACCATTCTGAGAACAAGAAGTCAGAATGATCCTATGACACTAATGTGATACGAACCGCTCGAGTTCTCTCCGTTCCTCGTCTGATTCGTCAGGATCAGTTGACTTGAAGACTGCGCCCATTAGAAGCAAGCCCTATAATTATCCACGATTCAATACTAGAAACCCACGAAGTCGTGCTGGCGTGAGTTTACCTTGGCTCTATTGTAGAGTACTTGATCTGAAGCCTCTGGATCTTTCAAAACATTATCCACTACCTGCGCAGGCATGATGTCAGAAGCGGATCGGTTCGGAGTGAACATACCACCTACTTCTCGAAGCACCTGAACAACTTCAAATCGCGTGCCTCGCCATGACGCGAGCATGATCTAATCGAAAGAAGCATGAATTGCGAACCTTCGCAACTAGTTCATCCATGCTTACCTTGCCTGTGACGTCCTCCTCCAGCGCGCGAAGCTCGTCCTCAGGGATCTCGCCCTTTGCTTGCAGCTTCTCCATTTCCTACGCTCACTGTTAGGTAATGTGTATGTGAAATAAACCTAGGTCCACACACTTGAATGACTTGCTGCACGCCAAGACTTCAGAAACATGAGAACAAACCCACGAGGAGGGCGAGATTCTTACTCACGCACTGCCAATAACACCCCAGGCGTCCTTCGCCATGGTGCCCTTCTCCTTCAGCCTCGAGAAGAATCCAGGGCTATCACGGACGTTTAAATAGCGCACTTGCGGGAAGATCACGCCCGCACTTACATCCCAAGGAACTTCTTCGATTTCAAGAAGGACGTCGCTTTCATCATATACACGTTGCCGATTGTGTGCAGAAGCTTGAAATTCCCTTCTTTAGTGGCCTCAGCCTGTGCATACGTATAGGACTCACCTCCACGCCGAAACTCTCCAGCTTCAGATCGTCTGCTTCTCGTCGCATCCTCGTTTCAAAATTCTTCGTTTCCGGGTCGTCCTTGTCCCCAGGATGCTTCGCCTCCACGAACGGCCGTAGCCGATCTTTCAGCTTCTCCGTCAGCACGCGCACGCGCTCCTCCATGTTCTTGCGCCGCTCCTCGTCCAGCTCCTGCAGCTTCTTCTTCTGCTCCAGTGTCAACTTCGAGCGCCTCTTCCCGTTCGTGTCTTTGTCCTGTGTGCGCGCCTGACTCGACGGGGATCCCTCTTTGTCCTTGGCGGTGACTGACGACAAGGATGCTGCACTCTTGGAGCCCGAGGCGGGCACCGCCGTGGCCGGGCGAGGTGGGGAGGCAGTGCCGTTACTCGCAGTGTGAGACGCCCTTTCGCTCGGCTCTGACGACGGCGTGGCGAGGGGGCTGATTTCAGTGTCAGCGGGTTTGGGAGAGTGCTCGAGAGCGGATTGGGGACTCTGTTCGGGTGGCGCACCCGGCCCTTCGTTGAGCTCTCGCTCCATGTCCGCCTTCTCCTCTTCTGTCATCATGGTTGTTGCGACGGAGGTCATCTCCTTCATCAAGGATATTTCGCCGATCTTGCGAACGTCCGGGGCGCGTGAGGCCAGACACGCAGGATAGAACGGCTGCAACTCACGTAGTCCTTGAACCGCTCCCCACCGAACACGTTCGCGAAGAACCCCGCAGCATCATCCACACCGACGCCTCCCTCTTTGTCGACCATTTTGGCGCCATTTCGATCATATACCGCTCTCAGATTCTGCAAGGTATATCCACTTAGAAGCGCAATGAAGGGAGGGAAGGAAGAACATACAGAATCTGACAGCACTTGATAGGCTTTGCTGTAGCGAGATTAGACCCTGAACAATTTCTGGTTGAATCGGCACGACCCACCTGATGTCCTTGAACTTCTCCTCTGCATCTGGAGACGGGTTCTTGTCTGGGTGATACTACATGTTGCAACCTCCTGAATGATTGACGGAGCCGTTGCGGTGTGTCATGCTCACCTTGATGGCTTGTTTGCGATATGCCTTCTTCAAATCTGCGTCATTGGCATCAGGGGACACCCCAAGCTGAGGCACAAACATAAAGTGATTCAGCTTCTGCGTAGTATCCAAGCAATCCCGGACATACCAGGTCGTAATATTCCGTTTCCACAGGAGCCATTGCGAGCCTGAAATGAGCGGGTGATAAATGTGCGGAGGTGAGATGCAGACGAGCGGCGGCGCAGAACTGCGCGATGACGGATTTGGTCGGCAATTACAGCCGATCTGATCAGTGTGAACCGGACTGCTTCTGACTCGCTCAGTTCGGCTGCCGCCGGAATGCTCCTGCCAGATGATGCATTTCCTTCCGTCGTAGGTCCCTGATAGCCAAGACGATGCATTGCAAATGGGTACAAACGGCAAATATGTAGAATGGACAAATGCGACAACAAGTGATTCTTGACACTACTACAAATATGCGATGGGACGTGAAATGACACTCAATATGATAGATGTAATGAATACGTATAATCGTCGTGGAATGGTTGAATGCCCCAATAGATGAATCTTCTTTGCAGTGTGAGGTCGTGCACAGACGAATCTATTTGTAGTGCAACGAGCAGATAAATAGGGCCATACATTGCAGCCCCTTGCCGCACAAGCATGATGCCTTCGTGTTGAAACTCGGATCTATCAAGCGCAGCTCATCACGACACCGCTTCGTGTTCGTCGACGGATGGCGAACTCGAGAAGCGTACTGTCTTGCGCGGGGAGAGTTCGGCTGAGAGCGAGTCGCCGTCAGAGGTCGACGTCGTTGACATCGTAGGGTTCGCCATTGAAGTCTTGCGACTGCTTTGTACGCGCAGTAACCGCGACATGCTCATCTGTAATCGCGCGGGAAGGAGAGTCATCGACCCGCTCCGATTTTGTCGTGCCTGGGGTGGGGGAACGGCCGCCGTAAGCGTGGAGCCCGTGAGGGACAGATCTGATGCGGTCGGGGTGAGCACCGCTGAGGACGCTGTGCTGCGCGGCGTTGTCGGCGTACCAGGTTTCTTGAGCGACGAGCGTTTTGGGGGTGGGGGGAGCATGCTAGCGGAAGCTGAGCCGCGTCTACGTTCGCCAGCCACCGCAAGTACTGGGAGGGGTTTCACAGGCGATGAAGAGCCATGCGAATGAAATGTTTCGTCTGAAGGATGTCGCCCGCGCGGCGGGTATGGCGGGGGGCTGTGTGGAGGGTGAAGGTGCGGCGTGCGCGATATGTGCAGGCCCATGGCTATTTGCTGGATCGTGGGACGCGGCGCATCCTGGATGCTGTATCGGGGCAATGCGGGGGGCCTGCTCTCGACAGCAGTCGAGTACATGCCCTGGCACGCTACGCGTCACACTCCAGAGATCCTGCATCGGAAGCATATCACTCACCATTGGACTGGCATCGCGTTTCCTGGGAGTGCTGAAGGACCGCCGCACAGAAGTCATGATCTTGGTGGCGGTCATGCGGGCGTGAGAGCCACTCGCGCCTGGGCTTTCTGTCAGGAGCTCCCCACCCCAAGGCTGCGCACGCTGCTCTGGGCGGACATTGGAAGTGGGGTATGATTCGGAGCGCGAGATGCTGCGCAGATCCACGATGGCTGTGGCAGACCTCCCGTGCCGACGACGTGGAGTTGGAGGAACGGCGCCGTTCATTTAGATTGCTGTGGGTAGTGGGCAGCGGGCCTGCGGGGAGATAGAGATGGGAGTAGGAGGACAACAGGGGATTGCCACGGCCGATGACGAGGTGAACCGGCGAACGGAGGACGTAAGGAAGCGGTCACGCGACGCGAGCAAGCCTCGAATGGGCACGAAACAAAACACACGTGGCGCCCACGCACCTCGATCACATCAATGTGGAGGCTTAACTAGGCAACTCTGCTAGAATGGTAAGCCAGTAGACTACTTTAAGTACTGCCACATCGATTTGCTCGGAGTGCTGATGTCTCCGTGGCTCAGTCTGAACTGCATGTAGCCTATCACCGACCGAGGAGAGCGACAGAAACTGTGCATGATAAATACATATATCAAGTACAGTGGGCTTTGTGCTGCAATCAACACTTCAGCTTGTGGTCGACTGCGAATGACTCCAGACACAATCATTTTCGAGTGAACAACATAAAGCGGATTCAGTGAGGGAGGAGGCATGGTATATCGCCTTCAACATGTTATGATGATCAGTTCATGATGCTGAATCAAACTATGTGCAGGAGCAGGCGTTACCCACACTCGGGACCTTACGGCGTTGCAGAGATAGAGGATAGTGATGCTCAGAATCTTCTCGGCCAAGATAGATAGTCGACCACATGTAACTTATCAGTACAAGGTCATGTTGAACAAACCCTCCCGTTTTAGCTATCTCCTTATCTTGACCGAAGCAGTCTATGAGGACCCACAGCAACAAACATGGTTAAAGAGACCACTGCCCTCTTGTACCGCAGTCTGTCGTCCTCTCATTATCACACCCACTCGGAGTGGAGTACATAGAAACCGTCCCCCTCCCCCAACAATCAGTATGTCGAGTTCGATACCGTTCATTGTAATGAGCGTGATGCTTATACATCAGTACTAGTGACGAAATACGGAAGAGACGATGTCAATGATGTCGGACCTACCCTTGATGCCCGCAACGCATCATCTCCGTTCGACAAGCCTACCGCGGACATCATTTTACGCTCGTCAGACCTCATCGACTTCTATGTGCGAAAGGCCATCCTTGCGGAGGCCTCTACGTCCTTTGATAGATTGTTTCGTTTGCCCCCGCCTTCTGGGGCCAATCATGGTCAGAGGGAACATAGGAACGGCATACCTGTCATCACCATGGACGAAGACAGCGAGACGTTAGACCTCTTGTTGCGTATATGCTACCCAGGTCGCACCCCGAGCATCATCATCGACAACCTGCATCGTCTCATGATTGCGGCAGCAAAACATTCAATGGATGCCGTTGTCGAAGTCGCCAAAGATCGCATGCACGCCCTTGCCACCGAGTCGCCGTTGCGCGTCTACGCCATTGCTCTGCTATGCGGTCTAAAGGAGGAAGCAAAGTTCGCGGCCAGGTGTTCTCTCGCACATTCTGTACGCCGCGTGTATGCACCAGAATTCGAAGAACTTACCGCGGGTGCATACTATCGTCTCTTGGATTACCACATGCGGTGTAGTGACGCGATAACGCCGCTTGTGGACGCTGTGGGCACTCCAAGCTATGGCAAGTCGATGGATCGTGCTTGGGTGTTCGTAGGCAACGCAAACCATCCCGGTTCAGCTTGCGCACGAACAAAGTCGTTCTGCATTATCGACGCGTCCGGAGGCCAGAAATCGCATCGTGCGACAGCGTGGTGGTGGAATCACTTGGCAAAGCTTAAACAAGCGACCGAAGGGAGACCTAGTGGACAAGCCGTCCTCGAGACTGGCGTGGACGATGTCGTAGAGGAAGCATCAGTTTGCAACATTTGCAGGGTATCGGTCGCTGCAGATATGAGAGCGTTCAACGAGTTTATTGCAGCCGAGATTGACGAGGCAACATCTCAGGTGTGTCCTGCGCGGTTTTGCCTCAGTACTGTTAGGACTGAACGCCTCGCTGACCACTTTCTCCAGCTTGAATTGGATATATTGGACCTGTAGTTGCGAAGGTCAGACTAGGATGGTTTGGAATTGGAAGGGCTGTACTTGAGTCTTGCGTATGAAGTATTGTTCGATTGTATTAATATCTCCTACTCTCGATTGCGACTGGATCTATAAACACGGACAACTAGCCTGCAAGGGTTCCAAGGGAGTACTTATCTCGGCGCATTATCTGCTCTCAGGAGACTGGAATATATCCCAACAAGGTTTGAGTCCGGCGTGATGTCGGAGATGCTGGATATGGCAATGGTCCGAGCTATAAGAACAGCTCATTCTTACCCTCAGAAGTGAGACATGTGTCTCCTACGCAGATGTCAGGTGCAGCATAGATGTAGGCAAGAATTGGCGAAGTTCGTTCACGTCGGCGCTCCGTCTCATCGGAGGCTCGTGGCACCCTTTTATATTCGGTAGCAGTCAGACAAATCCCTTGATCGTCCTGTCAGTCGACAGTCGTACTCAAGTCGATTCTATACTTCGCCCCAGTGGTGGTGTTGCTCCACTGTCAGCAAAATGTCTGTCGTCGATGTCCAAGCTGGTTGCTTTCGGAACCTGCTATCGTTCTCGTTTCGCAAGAAGCGCTCAGAGCGAGAGAAGAACGATGTCCCAACGAAGTCCGCGAGGCGGCCAACAGAGCTACCCGTCGTTCAAGTGCCCGAGGCCAAGCTAGAGGAGAGCGAGCGCCCCGGGTTATCCGTGAAAGAAGGGGAATTGGTGAGCAGCCATGCAAGTTGCGAAGTTCTGAAGAAACCAATAACTCGCCGACAGCCCCCTTATGCTAATGCCGGGTTTTTCTGCGCACATTCCAACGCTCAAGCGTATGCGGACCTTGTCAAACCTCCAGCATATAGCTCATGCGAATTGGGCGAATACTTCCGCCCTGAGGTTCTGGAAACCATCGAGGACACGCTCGAGAAGCTGAACCCTGCGCTCCGCGAGCTCAGCCTTGACATCCTCCACCACCCTGAGATCCAATGGGAGGAGAAGTGCGTTTGAATTGTCTCTCAGTCCTGCCAAATGCTTACAGGCGCGTGTATGCGCACGTTCTAGACGTACACATGATACCCTCACCGCATTCATGTCTTCACATGGCTTCGCGGTCACCCAGCACTATCTCGACCTACCTACCGCATGGCGCGCCGAGTTTACGCACACGTCCTCGAGCAATGCGGATGCGAAGCTACGTGTGATCGGTGTCAATTCGGAGATGGACGCGCTCCCGGGCATTGGGCACGCGTGTGGGCACAACCTCATAGCGATTGCGGGTGTGGGTGTCGCGCTCGCGATCAAGGCAGCGTTGGAGAAGCATAACGTACCAGGTAAAGTTGTTTTGCTCGGAACACCCGGTGAGTTCCTCTTCGTTAGAGCGCATAGGAGCATGCGCTGAGGACCGATCACTCAATAGCTGAGGAAGGAGGTGGCGGGAAGATCAATCTACTAGATGGTGGTGCATATGAGGAGATGGACGCATGTCTCATGTACGTCTGCGCTCGCCATCGGGTTATCTATTCAAGATAGATGTTCTGATAGACCAGTACTTTCGTAGGTGTCATCCATCCCCTGGACCACCAAATTACGTTTCCATCGGCCCTTCCCTTGCCTGCCAGCCACTCGAAATTGAATTCTTTGGTCACGGGTGAGTAGATATGCTAGGACAGTCTTAGCTCAATCCGTCTTGATTCCTGATTTGGCGAGCGTAGGGCACATGCAGCTTGGGCACCCTGGGAGGCACAGAATGCGCTCGACGCAGCGTTCCTGGCATATTCGAGTGTGTCTGTGCTCCGGCAACAGATCAAGCCTACGCACCGGGTGCACGGCATCGTCAGTGGGAAGGATTGGGCGCCGAATGGTGAGTACGCAACATCAATTCTATTTCACATCAGCCTTTGGAACGACGCTTACTACGCCAATGTCCATTCTCTTTCAGTGATTCCCGACTATGCTAAGATGCACTGGATTGTCCGGGCGCCCACTTGGGCTGAGCTTGTCGCACTGCGGGAGCGTGTCAAAGCCTGTTTCGAGTAAGCTATGAGTTTCTTCGGATGATGTTTATGCTCACACATTGCATTGTAGGGCTGCAGCACATGCCACGGGCTGCAAGCTTACCCTGAAGGCTGGTCCCGGGTATTATGACCTGAGACAGAACACGCCCCTGGGTGCGTTCGGTATTGTTTCGGTTTGCATGACACTCATGCAGCAAATGTTTGCGTCGAATGCAGGCGAGGAGTTTGCTAAGGTAGTGAAGGACTTCGGTGTCAATGCTCAATTTGATGAGGGTATGGCGGCTTCGACGGACTTTGTGCGTACCTTTCTATCCATAACGCCGATATGCCCGATGCTGAATTTGTACGACTTGATATAGGGCAACGTCACTTACGGTTAGCAATTTTCTCCCGTGTCCGGCTGAGGGCACGTACTGACCGCCGGGTAGCTCTGCCGTCTCTTCATCCCTGCCACACCATCCCCACTAAGCCGAACGGTGCGAACCACACTCCGCAGTTCACCGAAGCCGCGGGCACGCCGGAGGCACATGCGAAGACCATTACAGTTATGAAGGGTCTCGCTGCAACAGGCTTCCGCATACTAGCGGATGGCGAATTCACCGCACAGGTAAGGGTTGAAGTACTTAACATTTCAGTAGTCGCTAATAGACGTGATCTTTCCGTAACGTGTAGGTGAAGAAGGCCTGGGAGGAGCAGATGATCGAATGATATACACGTGCAGCGTCAGCGACTTGATAACCCTTGCACTATATGGAGCAGAAGGGATGCCCAAGATTTATTCTGAGGATTCTCGGAGGTGGTGGCGTCAAGGAATATCATACATACGTGCAGAGACGACGACACTTTGGCCGCGGAGGGATGATGCCATTCATTGTCCCTTGAAAAATCAAATGCAATTTCATTCGGGGCACGTAGGATTACGACATCTTGAGTCACGAAAGTTCTTCAATGAAAGCATAGTACAGCAGGAAGAGTGTTTTACTGTAGGTGCGACTATATTTTACATTTGGTGTTACAACTTGATGGTATCCATTAGTACACCGATGATGCTCCCGCCACCTGGTCAAACATTGTTCTGATGGAGTTCAATCTCTGATTAAATATCACACTTACGAACAGTACACTCACGGGAACGCTGGTGTGTTATCTGTCGACGGTAGGAAACCACCCAATTGCCAATCGTAGTCGGCCTGCGGCTGGTATATGTTGCCCGCGTCAGCAACGGGTGGGCTGTACGCGGCCTTCATGTTCCAGGGCATCTGCTCTGTATACCCGTTGGAAAAGTGCTGCAGGAACGTCGGCGTCGTCGGCGAGATGCTCGATTCGATGGATGACGGTGAATTCTGAGGGGTATAGTTTAATTGCTCCGTCTGTCCTGATGAGATCTCATGGGGTGCTCCGAGGAATGCGAAGGCTTGGTCCTCGGTCTGGTACATGGGCTGGTGGCCACTGAGGACTCCGGCCTCCCATGTTGTATGCTCATGTTGTACAGGAGCAGCCGCTTCGGCATACGAGGCCGGGTCTACCCAATGCTGGCCGCTGTATTGGTAATGGTGTACAGGCTGGACAACGAGTGGCTGCTCCATCTGAGGACAGACCGAGATCGGTACTTCAGATGAGCACGCGTGCTGTGCCGCTGACGAGCGTGATTCTGGTTCGTAAGGAGACGTGGCTGGTATCTCTGACGCTGCTGGGGGTGGTTTGCGCTTAGGTAGCGGTTTCCGTAGTCGCGTTGCATAGGGTTTCGCCAACTTTCTGAATGCCCGCTGCTGGGCTTCCTTGGCCTTCTTTGTCTTTTGCTTGTAGTACTGTAGACGCTTACTTTAGGTTACTCATCTTATATAGCTGGACAAGTACTAACATCGAGATATGTGTTCAGGTCATCATAGTCAGATCCTTCGCGGTTTCCCTCAAAGAAAACCCAGAACGTGCACCACCACCTGATACGATGGTCAGCCACGCGCACGTCGATGAGGTATTGACTGTGCTGACTCGTAAAGAAGACCCTGTGGCGTTAAGATGGGAGGTTTGTATCCTTTTGGAAGGCGAGCCTCCTTGAGGAGGGCATGCGCTGTGGCGACATATCCGCGCTTGGCAAGATATTCATATATGTATGCATTAAACCTATAGACAATGTGTAGGAGCAGTCAATGAGACTCATCGACATAAGGCGAGCATAACGGATCGTACATTACTTCGCCATCCCAAGGTGTTGATGGGCGTTCGGGCCACTCACAAGGGTCCAAACCTATATTTGTGGCCATTGTTGCCGAAGTCATGTGTAACGCGTGCCCGAGGCGTGTAGGTGTGATTGAAAGGCGAGTTCCTCAGCGATACTGGGGAAGTAGGTCAACTGGATCGAAGAAAGGAGGACAACCCAGAATGCGTGGTATGAAAGGACTTATTGGCTGCCACTCGGGTGCATGTCCGAAGTGAAAGATTCCAAACCGAACTTCCCGGACCCAGTGGCCATAAACCGTAACAGTCACGGACATTTGTTACGTTTCTTTTGCTAGTCAAGATCGTGCATCGGGAAGAGACAATGCAAAACGGGAACTGCCGCGTTCTAGAGCACAACACTTTCTCCGCGGCATCCCATGACTTCTCTCTGGAACAAGGGGCCAGACAACCCTGGCAACACTCGGGTTTTCTGGTCTCTAGCACTCTTGATTCTTGATCATCTTCAACGGACACAAACAGATACGGTGAGCCATCAAAGCAAGTGCAATAGAGGCTCGGGAGGAGGAACCTGCAATGCCTATGCAGCACGATAAAACAGCGAATAACGACCTAGCGCGAACCCGATTCAATGAAGTCATACGCAGCGAAGGCAAGACTCACAGATCAATAATTTGAGAGCAAATCAAGCCCGGTGGATGCTGATAAATGTCGGATCTGTGGGCTCGATCCAAGTGAGATGCTTGTTTCGAACGTCACCTCCGAGCTGCCACCCAGGATCCTTGTTCGTTATACGGGAAACATTGTATATTTCCATCTTTTATCTATCGAGTACTTGTCTAGTGTACTTTTTGTGGTGAAACCAAATACCGTGGAGTACGTGAAGAATACAAACATAGAGACCGACCTTGCATAACGATGTTTAATGATATATCGTTGGACAGATTGGCGGCCCGACACACACAAAAAATATTGAGCATTCAGAAGAATGTCTTTGTTTCTGGCCTGTGAGCACTGGACAACTCGAGGGTAAGTAGCTTGATGCTTAGTACCAGTAGGAGTACATTATTATGTTGCCGCCCCCACCACGTGACACGACACATAATACCTTCCCAATGAGGAAATTCCCGACACGCGTGTGGCGCATCCTTGTCCTGCGCGTCATTCGGTGGTCTTCAGCTTTATGCGCTGAGTCTCCCATACTTTACGACATTCTACGACCCCAATGCTCGACGGAACACGGTATGCTATCTACATTCTCACCGAGGAATGCTTGTTCATAAGTCTCTAGCCTCCGTCAATCGTGGTACGCATCGCTTGATGATGCACAGTCGCATTTCCGCCAACTGCTTTCTTCGTATTCTTCGCCGGAATGGAAGCGAATAGCAATTCCAAGTGATACAAGCACGAAGGGCAAAGCTCGTGCATCTACTGTACCGGAACTCGTGGACGTCATCCTACATCGCAAAGCAACTAAGACTGGCGAGAGTGTCTACAGAGCAATTCTCGATGTACCCGCGGCCGACACGTCCTTATCTCTTGATTGGTGGAAGGCTGTACTGGATACTCCAGAGCTGAGGAAGGAGTGGGATCCTGCGGTTGAAAGTACGCAAACAATTGAGATGCTTGATCCCACAACCAGAGTGTCGAAGGTCAACTTCACTCTTGGATGGCCCGCCAAGTATGTTCACCCATATTTACCTTCCTCCAAGGATATCTGACTCTCCGAACAAGCCCCAGGGATGCTGTGACCGTCTCACGCACATTTAACGATAATACCACTCTCATCTACATCTCGACGTCTCTTCCTCGCTCTCCTGATGAGCCTGCATTTCTGCGACCTTCCCCGCCGTACGTGCGCTCCGAGGTATCTTGTGAGAGACTTGTTCTTTTGTGATTTATCTCGTTTCTGACCTGTGCGGGTAGTATTCGCATGGTGTGTCCAGTATATTGGGGAGCAATCGTCGTCACCCAAGCACGGCCCGAGGCTACGTATTACGTGTTTCTGGCAACATAACCTCAAGGCACTCTGGACGTTCAATACAACTGCCAGCTTTGCTCAGCAACTTTGTTCGATGATGGTTGGGCTCTACAAGTGTGTGAGCCAGCGAGGTGCGCGCATACCACAGCTGGCAGGCTACGGAAACGGAGTATCGATCGAACGTATGCGCTTTGAGATTGACCGGGAAGCGCTCACGCTTGATTATTCAATCGTCCCGGAAGACGAGGATCATGCACCACACACGACAGAACAAGGCCTTGACGAGCTGCATGCAATTCGTGAATATAGACGACTCACACGCTCTATCGAGTGTGTTCTACCAGTATCAGTGGGTTGGGATATCCAGATTTCCACCAAGGCATCCTCGGAGCAAGTCGCGCAGCTCCCGTGGACGACGCATGTAACGAGAAGTGCGTTTGGGTCGCCAGGATCGAGTCCGACGTCCAGCGATGGTGACCAGGTGGTATTCGGTGTCAAACACTCATCGCTGCCCAACGACCACTCGGTCCTGAGAGTTCGAGTTATCATTGAGCTCTCCGGCCCAAGCGGTATCCGCCTCAATGGTATCCCACACCCAGTAGAGAAAGTGGAGGAGCGTGATCCTCTCTCACATTACATTTCCCAGCAGATGCTGCAGGACGCTTCCAGCACCGCGGACATGAGTTTCAATACTCAGTCTTCTCTGGGCACCATTGCGGAGAGCGCATCTCGATCATCCACGCTCCTCGAGCGACCAGTACTTACGCGACAGCAGACAGAGCGCACAGCAGCAGCTGAGAAGTCCATATTGTCGCGGGTGAAGCGCAATTACATCTATTTCTCGTCTCTTTTGCAGGAACCAGAAGCGAAGTGGAGACGAAGTGAGTGCAGCATTGCTGTAGTTCTCGTAATTGCATCCTCATTCGCCACCAGCCACCGAGGCGCGGGGCGTTTCCATAGCGCAGCTAGACTCCATCGACCCAACGCTGGTCGTGTATCGTGCGGAAGCGACCTTTGTTGGGCTGGGGTTGTGGGACCTGTACGCCGCCATTGTGACACCTGGCGCACGGGCGTACTGGGATCGACTGTACGACGACAGTATATTGCTTGAACATGTCAATGAACTGACGGAGCTATGGCACTTCAAGACGAAGCCTGCCTGGCCGGTCACGTACGTCATACTTAAGTGTTCTGCATGACACTGTCTGAGTGCTTGCGACTTAGTGGACGCGATGCGGTCGTGTTGAAGACAGTGTACAAGTCACCGTCTACGATACACGTCTTCGCGTTCTCTGCGGACGACCCAAACTTGTTTGCAAACATTCCATCACCGGACCCCAGTGTCATCCGGACACAAATCGATCTGCAGGGATGGGCGATTGAGGCGCTTTCCCCGACAACAACACAGCTCACGTTGCTTGAGCAGTCCGATCCAAAGGGATGGTCGAACAAGGCGTCAATACCCCAGCAGATGGTCACAGCAGTCGCAGGTGTTGGGGAGTTTGCTATCAAGTGTGGCGGTCCAACCATCGTCACACGCTTGGAGGGCGCGAAGATAACTCAGATGCGGTACGACCACGACCGAGGGAACTTCCGCGTAGAGTACGAGACGTGCTCAAGCCGCCGGTCTTCTCCTGTGCAGGGTAATGAAGAAACTACGCCAGTGTCTCCCACATCACCTGGCCTGCCTATCATCGAATGCGAACTGCGATGCGATCTGGACAACTGGGCATCATCTCTGGATATTGTTGTCGATCCACCGCCACACACAATCTCGTGTCTCCGCCGGCACCGCTTATCTTCTGGTGGTGGCGGACTTTGGATGACCATCACGCACGATGCGGTCTTTACGGGAGAAGAGCGTCTGCAGATCATCGTGAGGAGGGGGCCAATGGGAGTTCCGAAGGAGAAGGGGCTCGTGATGGTCAACGGTGCCAAGGTCGACGTGGATGTCGAGGATATGCCTGAGCGGGAGGTCAAGAACTTACAGAAGCAGAAACGCGTCAAACCCGTACGCGTACCCCTCGACCAGCCGCCTGTCCTAGGCGTCATCCGGCGGAGGAGGGCAGAGTGGAATGCTGATGCAGATACTGAGACAGGGGACAACGAGACGTCCAAGGCGTCGACTCCGGAGGCCGCGGTTCCGGCTACGCCTACGTTCACAACCTCGTTCAACAGGTGGATGAATTTCGCGATTGAGCAGGCTACTGTAACGACACAGCAGGCTGTCGCGGCGATCTCGCCTGCCATGGCCGGTGGTGCTGATGCTTCTCCGTCATCGTCGAAGCCGCCGATGCAATATGCGCTCGAGGCGCTTTCATATCTGCAGAGCATCCACCTCCATCCCAAGTCCGATGGCTGGACGTTGGTCAGCGAGAAAGACTTCCCTGTCCATCGCAAGCTCGACGCGGAGATATCGCCCATAATCCCCGTACACAGGGCCGAGAAGGTCATCGAGGGCGTCTCCGCGGAGGAGGTCGCGTCGGTCCTGACGAGCAACGACTGCCGCAAGCAGTGGGACACGCGCTTTGACTCTGCGCACGTCTTCGAGGTTTTTGGCGCCGAGGCTCACACCGAGTTCGTGGTCATGAAAGGCGGCTTCCCCTTCCGCGACAGAGGCTTCTACCTCGCATCCCTGCTGGCCAGGGAAACTGTGCCGCCGTCGCCGTCTCGCCGGAGCACGGGGGAATCGGAGCAGACTCAAGATACACGGGCAGCAATCTACTGCGTCTCTGCGTCGTTCTCTCCCGACTCTGTCGCATCATTCTCGCCCTCGAAGTACAATGCCTACTCCCTCCCGGTCGGCCGTGTCTTCGTTGATGGATGGATATTGGAGACACTGGATCCCTATGGTGCTGAGAACTATGCGATACCATCGACGAAATGTACCCGCGTCGTTGCTGTTGACTATGCCGGCTCGATTCCTGCTGCTGTCAACTCGATGATAAACGGGATGCTGCCGAAGTCCATCCTCGCTGTCGAAACTTATGTGAAGAACCTCTCGCCGCCTCCGTTTACCAGAATGCCCTCTGCTGGTGTAATGCTCTCACAAGCTAACGAAGACTCGTTGCAATTCAAGGCGTGGACTTTGAAGCGTCGGGACGCAAACCGGGTGTTGATCTCTACACGGTATAATCCAGGTGACAGGACGTACAAGAGTTCGATGCTCCTGAACAGCTCGACTGTATTATCACCCCGTCGGTCCGCTGCCAACGACAAGAATCCAAAAGCGCGCAGGATGACTATCATTTACTCGCAACCAAAATCCCCTGACGACAGCCAAAGAGAGGGCCGGAGTAGAGAGGCGTCCGTGCCACCGTTACCGTCACCCTCGAATGCAAGCACGTCACCAGAGTCCGGCCGCTCGCAATCCCGCGAGGGTACGCGCTCATCAACGATGTTCACGCCGAGAGGCGAGGTACGGCATCCAACGGATGTCCTCGTGTCGGAGTTGATCGTGGACTCGAAGCTCTATCCGGATGGGTACGACGTCCATGTCACATCACACATCGACAAATCGAAGACGCGGATATCGCTTTCTTCCCCCGTCGGCGAGGCGGCTCCGGAGCACGCGCTTCCCTTCTCGTGCGCCGCGTACACGCTGCCGCCGTCGCCGCTGCACTCTGCGGGCCTGAACACCGACCGCCCGCCGCGGCATTTGCTAAGACTCACGCTGCCCACGGCGCAGTATCAGGTCTCCACAATTCAGGACCCCTTGACAGGTGAAATACACAGCGCTCCGGCGAAGCCGCAATGGCTATTGGATATGGAAGAAGGCCGCGTCGTTCTAGGCGTCGAGATTAAGCCGTCGGCGCCGAGTGGGCGTCCTAGCAAGCGGACTACAATTAACGTCGATGGGAAGGCCGTGGTGGTTCTGAGCGAGAAGGAGTCTTTGACGAGTCTCGGGAGGGATGAATTATTGGATAGCAAGGCGTCCAAAATGGACTTGCTTTCAGGGTGGGTGGGAACCGCTCGAGATGACTGTCATATCATGTGGCAGCAGACTGATCCGGACACTGCAGGTTGTCCAGCGACAGCGATCACTTTCCGGACGAATTTCAAGTGCCCACTGCTGTTGCTGATGATCTGCTGGACGATTCGGCGCTCGCGGCGCCCTCCGTGCCTGTGTCCGAGACGACAAACACGGAGAACACTGCCGCGGCGCAGGAGGCCAGCACAGACACGGGCGATAGTGTGAGCGTCTGGTGCATTCTCGCTGTCAGATGACTGTCACTTAGAAGTTTTCGCCTCGCCAGGTTCCGCAAGTAGTTGTCTCTTCCCCCGAGACGCCAGCAGCTGACTCCGCAACGAGCGGGCTTCTGCGCTTCTTGAATGCCTACCCTAATCCACTGCTGCGCTTTGCAACTCAGTCGCGGCGATCAAGCTCGACTTCGACGCCAGTCCTGTCCGCGGAGCCGCTGCCCCGTCCGCCCGTCGAGGAGGGCCAAGCCAAAGACGTCCCCCCTGTCCCCGAGAGCCAGGGCGGACAGCTGAGCTTGGCACGGACGGCGGTCTCGCACAGGGCGTACCCTCTATCGACAGTCGTTATCATTGCGCTTATCGCGTTCCTGATGGGATCGTTTCTGCGCTCGTTGCTGTCTCCTGCAGACTTTATCTACGTGGTGTCGGACCGCAAGGATCTCGAGGAGATGAACGCGGGGTGGAGGGAGGTCAGGCGGCTGTTGGAGGTGAAGTACATCGTGGGCGGGTGGGATTTCCAGGTTGCTGTTGTGCGGCGACATTGAGAGCTGGAGGTATAATAGTATAGTGTAGTGCTAATATAATAATATGATGGTGTGCTTTCTTGCTATGGCGAGGAGAGCTGTGGCACGGGAACCGCAGACTGCCGCGCTGAGTTTGGTTGGTCCGCCCGATTCCCATCGGGGGCGTCCTCGCGCTTCGGGCTCTGCACTGCGCCAGCCTTCGACCCTCGCTCTTTCCCATCTCAGGCGATACCATCGGCTCTCCTCGTCGTCCTCGACGGCGACCACCCCCCTTTCTGCAGCTGCAAGCCACCAGCTCGCTCGCACACCACACCACCTCGCCATCCTTGCCTACCCCGTGTCATCGCCTCCCGTTCTCGTCCCGCCTCAAGTCTAGCTCAACCACTCTTCGGCACATCAGCCTTCCTTGTCGCCGTCTGGCCAGCAATATCCCCCTCTATCGGAGCCGTGCAAGTAGGATTGCGCGGGCTATCCTTCTCGCTCTCGCTCTGATCTCAGCTCGCTAAGCAGACACTATCTTCGCATCACATCTCGCCCGCAACGCCCGCAATGGCCTCCGGAGGAGATGGTCAGAGTCGGAGCGATGCACCACCATCACCTCCATTGTCGTGGGACGGTGACAGAATGTGCGTGCTCGCCACTTTTACTACAGTAAACTTTCTCTCACCCGTGACGACGGATAGGTTCAACATCTACATCTATGATTATTGCGCGAAGCGGGGATTCACAAAGACGGCGGATGCACTCATGCAAGAAGCAGATATACCGCACGACTCAACACCACCAATAAATGCGAAGCAGGGGCTGTTATTTGAGTGAGTTCTATCGATCGGTCTCTCATGCCCTGTTTCAATAACCTACTATACAAGATGGTGGAGCGTTTTTTGGGTATTATTCACTGCCAAGAGCAGTGGAACAGGGCCGGAAGACGCAATTTTGTATACGCAGGTGCGCCCGCGCCAAAGCGATATCGCGTTCCCGGATTGCACAGTAACGTCTACTTTTCAGCAACAATCACAACGACAGCAAGCAGCGCGAATGCATAGTCAGCAAGTGCCGCGAATGCCGAACGGCGCGATGCGACCTGGCCAGCACCCAGGAGGCGCCCCCATGCCCAACGGCATCACTCAGAATGGCGCTCCGCCAGCACCAGGATCAATACCGAATGGTACCCAGGGCGCGTCGTTTCCGGGAGGAGGGCAGCCGAACGGCGTCGCCGGACCTCCAGGTGCGCCGGGACAGGCACAGCCCCAGAACTTGCAGTTCCCGGGGCAGAGACCGGTGGGTACTCAGCACCGTGCTCCCAATGGTATAGTACATTACCAATCACCAACGATGGCCCATTCGCCACAGAACCCTGGCGCCGTCCCGCAGCAACAGAATGCGGGCCCTGGCTTAGGCCCGATGGGCAATACCCAGCCCTTGACGCAAATCCACTCGCGAGGCGGCATGCTTCCCCCAAACGGACCACAGAACCTGGGCCCTGTACAACACAACCAATACCAGCAACATGGGCGCTCGCCGAGTCAGCCAGGTTCCCCGGCGCAGAATAGCGTCATGCCATCGCCTAGCCCATCTCTGGCCTCGCGCCAGATACAAGGGGGTCTGATGCAACCCGCAGAACACGCATTCCAGAATGAGCTTCTGCGTCTGCCGTCCGATGTCATGCAGCGCCTGCGACAGGAAGCAGGAATTGGCGAAAAGGACCTGTTGTCTATGACAACTGACGAGAGGGTACGAGAATTATATATGAAGAGACTACTAGTGCTCACAACTTCTCGTAGCAACGCTTGGTCAATCTTGTCAAACAGCGGCAAATGCAATCGAAGCCGGGAGGGCCCGGGGCCCCTACACCAACCAACGCAGCCGCAGGCCCATCTGGAATTCACCAGATGCCGCCTCCGCATCAACAACGAAATCCTCCCCTCATGCCGCCCGGGCAGCAAGGAGGACCACAACCCTTACTGCAGTCGCAAGCGCAACAGCAGGCACAGGCGCAACAGGCGCAGGCGCAACAGCAGGCGCAACAACCGCGTGGTGCCAAGCGGAATAGTTCCTCGCCAGGCCAGGAGGTATTTGTCATGGATTTCCAGTCGCCAATGAGCTCCTTGCTGACACCTACGGTAGCAGGAGCGCTTGCCTAATACCGACACTTCACCGCACGAACGAAAACGGATGCGACGAACACCGACGAACACTGACCAGCCACCGTCCCAGGCGCCGCCGATGGTAGCGCTGGCACCTGGTCCTCCGTATTCACATCCTTCGCAACCAGGCGGCCCAGGCGGGCCGCCGATGCCAAACGGCATGATGCGGCCAATAGTAAGCTTTCCTGGACAGCCGGGTATGCATGGGATGAGCGGGAACCCGGGGTTGAACATGTCCATGGGACCATCAATGACTGGGCCACCAGGTGGGATGAGTCCGAGTATGATGCACCCAGGTCAGAACGGCTTGATGAACGTGAGCTTTACTTAACGTACTGTCGCGCTGGTTGCGGTACTGATGACGGGGCACGGCAGTACAAGCAATCGATGCAGAACATACACCGGAGCGCGATTCAACCTGGTAACGTGTACGCACAAGGCGTGCCGGGGGGGCCGGATGGCCAATTCAGCATGGACGGCGGTGCTCAGCGCCCACAAGGCGGACCGTTCCCTGGCGGACCAGGACCTGCAGGCCCAAATAGGATGGGACAGAACAAGACGAACATGCCGCCACCACCCTCCCCGAGCATGCTCTCTGCGAAGGCGAAGGAAGCCGCCGCCGCTTCACCATCAGCGCCGAACGGGCGTGTCGACGTATCGCCACAAAACATCGCCGCGGGTATCGGACAGCAGCCAGGCCCGAGCGGCCCCGCGCAAGGCCCGCCGCCCGTCAATGCCCCACCGACGCCGGGCTCTGGGAACCCTGGTCCTGGCCCGGGGATGGCGAATCCGGGCGTGACGGCGCCGTCGCCGTCGGACATGCTAAACAGCGGACCGCAGGACATGTTTGCGGATGGCTTCGGGCTGGGGATCGGCGACTTTGACCCGTCGATCTTCAGGGCGGAGGGCGCGGACCTCGACTTTGGCGATTGGTTCACCGCGGATGGCGGAGGACTTAGCATCGACAACTGATCGTCATGTGCGAGCGTCGTCCCCGCCGGTCGTTGTGCCTCAGGGTTCGTGCATGGAGTTTCTTGGACGATGGATGGGGCTGGATGGTTTGCTGTTCGTGGTTTCGCCGCCCTTTGCGCTTTCCTGTGCACCGCTGTTATCTTTTCGCCATACATACTTTGGATGTTGCTGATGCCGTTGGTGCTGCCGCCGCTGTGGCTGCAATATTTATGCCAAAAGCCCGCGCTGTTTGCCGGTACGTGCTTCCTGTTCCCTATGCACTCTACATTTTGCGTTCGTGTCCAACCTCGTCTTCTGCTGTCGTGCATCTTCTTTACTTTTTTCGTTTATTTCAGTGTGTTCTGTCGCCGTATATCGTAGCCACATCTCCACCCATGTGTTGTTCTAGTCTGTATTCTGGTAGTCTTGTGTCAGTCCTGGAAGGAATCATTGATGTCTGCTCTAGTCTTCGCCGGTCGGTCACATGCATGACCCCCTAAGTGCATCATTTGTCACTTGCTCGCAATTGCTGGAGCGTGAGAGCCGGATGTAGCACTGTCTCCTGTATACGTTCCGCATTCGCCGGAAGGCTGGATGAGTTGTGGGTGTCCCAGATCGGATCGTGGATCGATCTAGGAACGGAATGAAATGGTCACACTCAGCGACGCTTGGTCTGTTGTATCTTATGATGTTTGACGTGTACTATGCACTGCTAACATGGCAAGAAAGGCACTATATTGCTTAACAATTCTAATTTAACGGTAGTCTACGATCGGCGGTGTCGGGGTTTAAATAAAGAGCAACGAGCAACAATGAGCAGCATAGCAACAGACAATAGCAATACAAGTGTACAGCTTAGCAGTGATAACGATGGGGCGCACTTCCGGAGTGACTTATGACAGCGATGAGAGTACATTGAAGGTAGAAGAAAAGCTTTCAGGGCGATGAGATACTGCAATGCATCGTAACTGAGACATAACCCACCAAAATCAATGATTGGGGACAATCTCAAAGTAGGGCTGCACGCGGGATTTGGAGGCGTGCTTGATTTCAACGAGGAAGATGTCATTCAAGTTGATGCCATCCAATCCTCCAACTTTCCATTGGGCGTCGGCGACGGCCACATTCTCGTTGGCTTTACTCTCGTTGGCCTTGCAGGTGGAGGAGTAAGACGCGGATGAGGCGTTTACAACAGAACAAAATGACTCACCTGGATGATGAAGAGTCTCATCTCTTCTGCGACCATCTGTGCCAGCTCTCCCCTTGTGACGTGAGATTTGATTCGCTTCCACCTAAGTTGTCTGCTGGTATAGACGGGATATTTGCTCCACTAGCACACAGTGATCAGCACTCAGTCATACGGTCTGTCTGTAGACATACAGAGATGATGATCTGGATCTTTGGTGTCTTTTCCAATCCCGGGAAGGCCTGCAGATGCATATCGGGACGCTCCAGAAAATCCCTGTTGGAACAAGCAGACAGTGGCACACCGCGCACGCCGTTCGTACAGTACGTGATTGGTAACAGCGGCCGGAAATTGCCTTCTTTGGCGGTATATACTGTGTACGGCACTGAACTTCTCAGCGTCTAGGTGCAGGCCAAAAGTGAGCGCAGAGGGTTCTCGATAGCTGACAGAACATACCAAGGCGCCTGCGAGGGACGAGTTGCTGGTGCTCACGAGAGCGCACTCATTTTCTTCCTCTGGTATGTTGGGATGGTTGTCCCTCAGATGGTACATCTGCTCGCCATGCCCAGACATATTTTTTTCGCTTCTAAGATAGTAGTAGCAGTAGAGATGTGAGCGAGCGAATGCTTGTAAGCGAGCACGGCTTTAAATGAGAGGGGCGAGGCGGCAGTATTTAAACGTCGCCAGGGTCGATGTCAACAAGGCGTCTGCATCTGCGAGCAAACCCTTGTTAGGAGTGATAGGGGATTATCCAGAGGTTTACGAGATCGATGCGAGCGAGGAATAACACGATTTCCCAGTATCGCGGATACACGGAAGGTATTCAGATATTGTCCCTACCGAAACACGATCAGCACATATGAGGGAGGACTCGCATTGTACCTACCAATGCGATACCACGAAGGGTTGATTGCAGGTGCGGTGTTCTCATAGTGGAGAGTGGGTACTCATACATTCGTCCTGTCGCCCCATAGCTGCCAGAGACCTGCGAGGTAGACCGTTCGTGCATGACCACGCAAACCTGCAGTGCAATTGGGTACATAAGCGAAGCAACCGCGACTTAGATATCCATGACAAATTGCGACATAGCATATGCCCATCCAGCCGAAAGCGTGTCCGCTATCCAGAGATACTTGGCTAGCGGCGATATCAGCGAGAACATTGCATGACCATTTGAACCCGGGATAATCTGGTTGTGCATCTCGCGCTTTCGCGTTTGATGGTTAAAGTGATCAAATTGTCACGGGATGACCTGCGATAGAGCTGGAGGCGCTTGTGGCGCAAGAGTATTCTCTGGTGGTAACAAGATAAAGGACCAATGGGAGGATGAGACCAGGACCGAAGGCACGCACATTCTTTCCAGAGCCCATATATGCGCTTCACCCTATGAGCTGTTGTCTACGTAACGCTAAGTCCCCTCGGCTCCAGGCGATGAATGTTGGCGCCTAGTATGACATCTCGGTGATTCCTGCAGTCGGCGTAAACGGAGGGGATGCTTACCACACATCAATATACAGCCTGCACTGCTTTCTGGTCGTTCTGTATGGATAAACGCTGAGCGAATCGGTGGCTCAAAACTTGCTCAAACGAGCAGGCTCAATCGCTACGGTAAGTAGTGGTAGGCGACTCTATGCTGTACAATACCTGTTAATCGAGATTCGAGCAGGCCACACACCAATGGCCAAAGTGTTGATATACCAAAGTATTGATATACGAGAACACAAGCGGTAAATAGCTAACTCGCTCCGGTACGTAGTGATAGAGTCGGACGACTGAGGTTCACGACTCGGGCTCATTGCGAACTTTGAGTATTGGGAAAACACTAGAACATGAGGAGAAACACGACAAGTATAACACAATTTGAAGCAAGAGGATATGTTGAGCCGTTGCCGAGGTATTCTAGCCTTGATCAAGTTGAGCAATGGTTGTGTACTGCCAGTGGGGAATTGGAAGGCGGCCAGTAACTTTAGATCGAATCGGGATCATCCGTAGCCAGGTGACCTCTTCCCGCTACGCTTTGAAGCTCCGAGTACACCTCGCGTTTTCTCTTTGACACTGTCTCCCCCTTTCCTCAGGCTGTTAATTTTCCTCGTTTAGGCGCTTTTTATGTATATATACTTGTCGCGAGCATGCGCAGACCTCAGTTATCTCACACATCGCTCGCACTGACAGGTACTAAGTATGTGCACCGTCGTCAAAATGTTGTTGCGGGTTCCGAAAGCAGTCGCATATGCTGTGGACGGGAAGACAGTACTTTCATCTAGTATGAAGCTCGATTCTCTGGCTGGAATCCTCCACGCACTTCTACCAAGACTGAGCGATGAGCCATTGTCGTGGGCCCTATAGCTATCTGAGTTCTGAATACCTCCAACTCACAAAAACGACGAGATTGTTCCACGGCTTCCGCCTTGATGTAATTCGTCGAGAAAATCGCGGCAGCAGCATGGTCCACTCTGATTCCAGACCATTTGTAGCACTGACGTCCATCAAAAGTCAAGTACCAAACAATCAACATCTTGTTCTCAGAGGGGCCGCATATCCTGCAATCACGGTATGCAAGTCGTATTGTGCGAGACCGATGTTTCCTCAGCAAGCCCTCATACACACATGATGTGAATATATGGATATCAATCAAAATTCGTCGCCTGCAGGTCTCAATGAGGAGAATAGGTACGTTCAAAATTGCCGCTTTAATCTCGCTGGAAAACAAGCGACAAATAAGCGGCCAAAAGCAGCGAGCAAAATCTGAGCTCCCCTCCTCGAACAGCGACAAATATGCAACTGCTTGTCGCAAGCGTTCGCAGATTCTGGCTTACGGCATGTCACGCTTGCATGATTCGCCATTTTGATTGGCTGGTCAGCCCTTCGCAAGCCGAGAACGTGATCAGATCACGGCTGCATCACGCTTAGTCATTTGTGACGCTTCCAGCGACCTTTCAGCGACCTTCAGCCACATTTGGGCGCTCAAAACCAACGAAAAGTCGCTTCTTTTCCAGCGAGATTTAAGCGGCAATTTTGAATGCACCTAATGACCGTTTTCGATGACCACGCTACGATATCAAATCCCTATATCCGGTGTGTCAATCTAATCTTCGCATCATTCGCACGTTCTTTTCATTTGAACTTCACGACCACTTCAGTCTCACCTTCGCTTGGATATCTACGACCATCATTCAGCACGCCGTGCGTATCTCATCGTGCAACCGCGGCAGTTCTATGAAGTCCCTGGATATACCGACATCGTCAGGAGATTGCCCTTCCCATCGGTGCTTTGACACGGAGCGTGGTTCGAACGACTAATATCGGATATAAGTGTTCTCATTGCACTTCTGGTACATACTTTTGCGCTCCTTCTCTCGTGCTAATTCTGATTGGATATCCAAACTCTCGCGCTGAGGTCGAATATAATCATCCGTGATTCGGGGTCGTTCGTGTTGTCCGCCACAACTCAGAGAACGCTTTCCAGGTACTCCATCTCAAGCGTCTCCCTTCTGTAGCGCGACTCACATCATGATGAGCATATCAATCTCACTGAGAATGACCCATGCGGGCGAGATGATCTACTCGAGGCGTTTCCTTTCGACATCAATCACTACCTGCCGCATTCGGAGGGTATACTTCACAATTCAACAATTCTCGTAACGTTACCAGCGTCTGGCGTGCTTGTATCCCATTGGCTTAATACGAATATTCTCAAGTTCAAAAAATCTAATAGTTTATTTATATATCGTTCTCCTTATATCCTCAAGTGAAAAAAAAAGGCGACGTCTTCAAACTCGCTGGGATATCTATCGGCGCTTAAGTTGAACGTATTAGATATTATCTCGTCTAAATCTCAATCAGAGTCCATCGCACCCATCACAAGTTGAATACTACTACCAATATAAGATGATCCGCACGTCGCTCTCTCGTCACACCACCCCTCGCCTTTTTCTCCATCTCATTGCTTGACATACATCGTCATGAATGAAATTACTTGTTCCAATCTTCTTCGACTGCTCACGGCAAACCACGTCACCGTCGTCCTGATTGCGCACGACCATTGTAATGTTCTCTCTGCCTTTTGCATCAGCGACACGCATGCTGTCTTGTCGCCATTTACCAGGATCCCGACTAGCCAGGTGGTGTCGTCGATCCGAATGCACCAAGCAGTGTCCCCTTCATGGTCTTCGCCGAGTTTCAGGAGGTCGTCTCATGTCTTCCAAGAAATATACTTGCACATGAAGTTTTCCGTTATCGTGTCGCAGCTGCGTCTCCATAGGGTCTATAGGTGAGAGCCAACTTATCTGCGCGGCGTCGTAGGCTGGTCCATTCGAGACAAGTTCGCCGATATACAACAGGGCGTCGGATATCTGGCTATCCTAATACCGATGACAGCTCCTTAACATGCATTGGATCTTCGTAGGCGCTGTGTGCCGCGTTCAATAAGATTCAATCGCTGCATCGTGGCCGTGGCTGCAAGTCCCATAGCGTCTGCTATATGACATTGGATGTTGAGATGACTACCACTTCTTGACGTACTCTACAGGCCTTGATCAAATATATATGTACGCTCAAAAGCGATTCTATCCAGATATACAGGTGCCTTATCAGATAAGATGTTTCTGCAGAATGAACGCCGTTCAGTCATGAGAGGTGTGGGATTTATCTTTTTCTTAGATGCGCCAGGCCAGACGTCGGACTGTACAAGGATCTTTCCGCAGTAAGGTATCTTACAGGCCTGCAGACATCAAATTTAGGGAGATACCCGGCGACTCATAGGATCGGATACCCACCTATCACTGTGTCCACATTCCCCGTCTCAAAGTGCGACATTACTTCCCGTATTGCGGCATCTTCCTGGCTAGATGTGGGGATGCGCACTGGACACCTCTGGTACCATCTCTATCTTTGAAGGATATCGCCATGTTAGCAGCATGGCAAAGCGGCCCTCAGTCAAACACGCTTGTGGTTAAGATTCATGCAACCGCATAGGCACCATTGGCCACATGCATCCGATGTCAGTACTTATATAAAGCGTCGCAGTACCAAATACTCGAAATTGGTGAATGTCTCTTCTACAGCACGAGGGTCACGTCGCCCGCTCGTCTGCTCATCGTCCAGTAGTAACCGAGGAGCTGTGTGTGATAGTCATATCTGCTCAACCGCGTAAGTGCCCCTTTGCTGAACTATGGGACAAATAATAGCTCCGTTGTTGTAGTTGATGTTTAACGGACGCAACAATAGAATCTCGAACATTCGTCTGCCTCAGGAAGCCACGGACATGATCATCGATTGCCTCCGCGGGGATGAGGTAACCCTCAGAAGCTGCGCCGCAGTGTGTAAAGCGTTCTTCCTACGATCGCGCTACAACCTCTTCCAATCGATCCACATATCCACGCAGTCAGAGCTCATGCGACTGGCACGGCTTAGTCGAAATTGGCCCGAGCTGCTCCGCTGGTTTTGCCAGCTGCACATCTCTGACACGAGATGTCACGCTGAAGCCAGCAGGATAGCGCACAGTGCACCCCTCACCCTCATCCATCTCCTACCTCGAGTCAAAACCCTCACTTTAGAAAACCTCGAATGGCATGCGGCACCCCCTCATCCTAATTGTGGAATTCCGCAGTCCTACCACTTTTTTAAATCCGTCGCAGAGCTCACCCTTCGCTCTTGTACGTTCCAAAACATGGCGCAGTTGAAACAAATTATCCAATCATTTCCTGCTCTTTCCACACTCGATCTCTCTCGAGTATCTGTCTCGTCAGGACACCAGAGGCTGTCTGATGACTATGCGGGCTCAGCTCTCGCCAATTTGTCCATAACTGAATGCACGCCAGATACGTCTGAAGCCCTGCTGAGATGGCTCTCATCAGGGCGCTCTCGGAGGTCCTTGCGAACCTTGGTACTCAGGACTCCCGTGAGTTCACAACTGCTTGCGGATGTCCTGACGACATCGAATTCGCTGGATCGACTCACGCTCTCACCTCCTGCCGACGTGAATATGCTTCAGGGCGGACTTGGGTCGTTGGGGCGGTTGCGCGCCGCGGACCTTGCCCTTCCGTCTTGTAAACGGAGTAAATTGATTGTTTACTCTTAGCATGTCAAACAAGCGCTAATAGTACGTGTATGCATCAGATCGTTGTGGGGTCGCTAATTGTCTGGAGGAAGTTATAAAATTCTTTCGGAGATGCAGCTGGACACATGGCGAGCATCAAACGTTGTTTCGACATCCCTCCAGTCAGCCGCGCCGCAGGCCTTCTGTTGAGCTTGACTTGGTGGGACACAAAGAAAACGTATACGACGGCGAACGCCCCAGTCTACGACACGCAGTACGTGTATATTGCTGTTGCACTATTTCCAGTCGGTGCTGACTTGTGTACAACGGCTTAGAAATCCATCTCTACAGTTGATCCCGCTGCTGTGTGACATACAGGCTATATAAGCACTCGGTCACGCTAGGATGCTTCTCCATGCCATATGCGCCAGCTGACATCTTTCTATGTTGTATGTGCCATACTCGTGTCGTGTAGCCGTCTGCTGCTAATCTTTATGGTTAGCCGCGAGAAATATTCTGCAAAAGACTATCTAGTCTGGTTCCAGTCGTTCAGTCTACTTTTATGATACAAGATAACGTACGCCGCAAGGTGTTACAATCACTATACAGTATGCAAAAGTACCGATGACCGCTCGTGGATTTAACGACATCTACGACAAAAATATGTGTTCTGCGAGTGCATCGCGAATACCAGGAAATGGGATTGACTCCCCACATCGATAGGTTCGAATCAAGCGGAACATTGGGGGTCTGTCTGATTAGTATGTTAGATCAACGGTGCGAACGGCGACAGGGCGCGTTTGTCCACGAGCGTAGCGATGCCTGTAAGGGACAATCGCGTACGGTACGTACATTGCGCGGGTTCGTTATATACTACGATAGGGGCCTCTGGCCCCCGCGCCCGAGCTTTCGAGCTCGTTGCTGACCACGCGGATCGGCGTGTTCCAACATAGTAGTAGTACTGCAAAACTTACGAGACGTACCAAGGGGGACTTGGCAGCCTTCAATATTGAAAGACGGATATTATGAAAAAGCGAGATTGTTCGAATCGCGCACGTGCCGTACTATAAGGGCAGACATCAATGCACCATTAAATGTCTGACAGCTTCACGGTCTGGGTTACAGAGTCAGTGAACCGCCCTCGTATGCTGTTGAGACGCGTGCTTGTTAGTCTCCTGAGAGCAGAGTAGACAATTCCATCAACCTACGCCGGCTCCGGATACCCATTTCTGACGTCTGCTATCCAAAGCTATACAAAGCGCTGTCCTACGGTAAGGTCGGTATCGTTGGTCGATTGCCGTGTTCCCGCCACACGGCACATCACGCGGGTGTACACACACACACAAGTACGCGCATCCTGCGCCTCAGACCCCCAAAAACCGACCTCACGGTAACGGGACGCGGCGTTGGATCGACTAGCGCTTGTATCAATCACGGGCACGTTCGGGCGTTCTTTGTCCACCATGCACCATATCCACCTGCCTATCGCCGCCGCACAGGAACATGACCGTTCTGTACCACACAGTGCAGGATCTGTACCACATTCTTGTGCGACTCTCTGTGACAATCCAAATATACGCCGATATCTATGAGCAGGGGATATCACTCACCATCACTACGTGTATGTGTACTTGCGCAGCCGCATTCCAGGATGCTCTCTCTCTGTATAAACACTACCTTGAATACTAGAAGAGCTATCTACTTGCTCCCCTTATCTACCACCTCTCCGTCGTTATTCAGACTTTCAAGGCGACATACTGTGGTCTATCTGCCGTGCTCCTGAGCCCTAATCGTCACTGAGCAGACGATGGCTAATCAGCTTCAACAAGGACAGGCAAGTTCAGTAATTCCTCCTGGCATGGAAAGAGAGGACAGAATGTACACCGCCCTTTCGTCTGGTTTTTTTACAATCTCAAACATAAACTTCAATAGGCTCATTATATATATGCGCGATCTCTGTCTAAAGAGAAACTGGGGTGAGGCTGCAAAGGCGCTAACAGAAGCTGCCGGTCTGGATCCAACGAACGAAGCTCCCATCTCTAGTACGCGAGGTTTTCTGTGGGAGTGAGTCAGACGATTGTTACGTAGTGCTGCCATTAACTCTGTTTCTCGGTAGATGGTGGATCGTATTTTGGAAGACGCACAGTGCTGCAACAGAGCCAAGAGGCACAGATAGCCCGCAAACAGGTGCTCAGGTGAGTATCATGTCGCGACAGATAGAATGGCAAAAACGAATATTGCCTTAACAGAGTCCACCGGGAGTGCAGTCACAAACCACTCAGCCCTCTAGCGCGAGCAACTATGGCACCCACTCTCAGGTATCAGCCCCCCCGTGCAACCCCACCGCGAGCCCTCACTGCGATTCATCCCGGATTCCGGAGAGCACGGGAACAGGTACCTTACCGAGACCCTCGGCACCCATCTCGAGCGGACTTCCGACGTACCTGCCAGCACTTAACCATATCGGCGGGTCACAACATGGTACGGGTTCGCTCGACCATGGCAAGCGTAGGACTCCTCCCGTTCAGCATTCTTCCTCCGGCAAGCGCACGTGCACTTTTCCGCCGTATGCGGCGCCTGCCCCATGGGCAATGCCGCAAAGCTGGCAGCCGATCATTGCGCCAGGTTCTCAACCATTGTTGCAGCAGCCAGGAGCTTATGATACTCTCGCCCAACTTTCCCAAACCCAGGGTACGATTGACCCTAGCTTAATCATAAGCGATGAGCCATTCGACATCAATCCGGAATTCGCCGTCAATTCGGGAGCATGGCCCTTTCCCATGCCGCACGCATCTGGAGGCGGGCATTAAGCCCATGATTATGATTTACAGCGCAGTCAGCTCACAGTGGTCCTGTCCCGGTCACGATACTCTTCTTCCTTTCATTGGTTTCGGATCTGGTCCTGTACCTACAGCTAGTTTGATACGAACAGGACACCTGTTCTTATACACCGATAGTTACCCTTCTTTGTTTCGAGCTTTTCCATAGCATGGAAGATCTAGACGGTCTGTCGTGCTGCATCTCGAACTTTATATAATGTTCATTGATATGGCTGGTTTCAGGAGCCTAGGTCGTGAGCTCAGGGTGCCAGTGGAAAATGTCATTTCTGTGAAATCCGGTATTTCCCATTACACGGCCTGCGGACCCTCAGGATCCCAGTCCTCTCCAACCGGTGCGCTGCGAAGTGATGATGACAATGTGAGTGCCCAATTACCTCTATATAGAGACTGGAATACTGGCTAATTGTGCGTTATATAAGGCTGTGCTAAATAGCCTTAATTACTGTAACGTTCGCCGTGACGAGCTACGCAATCTAATACGTGATTCCCCGATTCACATCTACCTTATGCAAGAGACACTTGAAGCGAGTAGTTCTCGAAGCGTCGCCGGTACTGTCTGTCATGGGCAAATGGGTGAGCTCCCAATCATGTAGAACATCTCGAACAACACGAAGCCGGGTCTCGGCACGGATCCACCCTGACACTGGTCCCAACTGTGTTGAGTACAGGTTTATATTCAATTTGCGGTTCTTTGATTAATGTGGTCAAAGTCTAATCGCACTGTGAGAATAGATATCCACGGCTCGTATATCCGCAGCTCATATATCCAGATATGTTGATAACAACAACCTTGAACAACATTCTAACGTCACATGCGATACAAGAAGATCTCATGACATATCCAAATATCCAGCGTATCCATATGGTCCTGGAGACGCCCACCGTGACAGTCGAATAAAAGACCGCGCCGTGTCTATTGCAATATAGACGACCTGTGGGTTCAGTCTCCTTTGTGCTACGCTGTCTCCTTGGCACAGTATCCGCTCGGCACATTACAGCTGGCATAGAATCACAATGAATACGGCCTCTGCGTATCACGAGACACCCACACGTGTTTCGGAGCCAGATACATCCCACTTTGACAGTGCACATATACATAGAATGTACGACAAAATCCATAGTGTACTCACAACTAACCCATCATCAACAATCCAGGCTCAAAATCTATATCGTCGATTATTTGATGAAGAATGGTTTGAAAGAAGCTGCACAGAAGTTGGGGACGGACGCAGGCCTCTCCCAAAATGATCTGCCTCCGATTAATGGCAAGCAAGGATACCTGTACGAGTGAGTGATTATCATGCCCTCTGCCGTTTGTATACCTCTGAACGCGACGCATCACAGATGGTGGTCCATATTTGCGACTACAGAGCGCGCTTTGAGAACAGGACAAGGTCCGCCCGAGATCCTTCGGTACCTACAGGTGTTTGCGATTCCCCATCGGCCTTTGTATCAAGCTCTAACCCAGTCGTGGCAGGGAGAGCATCATGATGAAATCCGGTCTCACTGCGCTGAACAGCCTGCAACACGTCCCACTGATTCCCTCTCCACGCCGTCGTCCAACGAGAGCGAGATGGCAGTGGACCATCGCAGCACAAGTCCTAGGCTCACGAATGCAAAAATACAAGGCTTTGAGAGCGCTTCAAGATACGGAATGACTCTTTGTTCCAGCCCCACACACATTACCGACATCGTTGGTGTCGACCCCACACCGGTGTCGGCCACAACCAGGAACTCGACATCATATACGCAATCCTCCTCAGACAGTGCATCGTCATCTGTCCTGGCCAAACGCAAGTGTTCGCCTGTAGGCCGTGACCCTGCAACGTCACGCGTGCAAAGACAGCGTCTTAGCCCTCCTGCCCCTGAGGTTCTAAGTCAGCCAGTACTCGGGGGGGCACAAGATACATACTGGTTGTCGAACGATAGCGTTCACTTGGGCGGGTACATGTATGCTGGCGGAGGTCAAGACGTCGACATCGGGCAGAGAGTAGTATATCCGGAGGCACAGTATATTGGTCTAGAAGAACTGTATAATATTGGAATCGGCTCAGGTCACTCTTGCGTAAGTGCACATCTTGCCAATGATATTCACAAACTCACTAGAACTTCTAGTGACAACTGTCGGCCAGGAACACATGCGCAGACTATCTATCCTTACATATGAACCAGTAATAAAATCTTGTCAGACGAGTCAAAAGGAAGCACTCAGTAGCATTTTGGGGAATAGTGATTGCCGTACTGCTATCGAGTCCACTCGATACGCCAGAACTTGAATTCCCGTATCCACGCGCTTAAGCACACGCACACGTGATACTCATGATTTGTTCTTCTCATCATCTACACAAGTATTTGTGCTACGTATCCGCACCCTTGTGAAGGAATAATGGGATAGTTTGGGTTCCTCTTTCTCGGCGAGAGATCTACTAGCGCTTGGAAGTTGCGATCTGTCTTTGGATATCAACTTGCATACTCAATTTTGCTCGCCATCACATCGCTGCTTAACCTGTTTTGTGTTGCTTCACATTTTCCCTTGGCATCATGATATAAGGAGCTCAGCGGGGACCTCCTCGCTTTCTCGCTTCCCCCTTGTTCTGCGAGACGCGCATCCGACTGGCTGCCATCGGCACAAAATATCGAGTATGTCTCATCCTCGCGCTGCTTGAGACAACCCACGTATGATCGTACTGCCAAATACCATTGCAACGTTCTCTCCGCCGTTCGTATCATTGGAGCGTTTGTTACCCTCTTTCCGTTCACTGGCGGGGTTCCGGCTGGTCGGTTGGCTGTCAGTCGTAATGTGGTGTGTGCCATCTCAGTCGTGATCTTCGCCCGGTCTCAGGCTCTCTAGGGCACACTGTTTACCTGTGGAGTCCCTATCGTAGCACAACCGTATCTCATAAAGAGAGTTTCCGCAGTTGGGATCCCTGGACGGCATATCCGAGATCATCGGGATATCCGTGGCCTCGGATATCCTGAGATAGTTTCATATCTGTATATCTCCGACAATAATCACAGCTTGTCTTGTACCAGGAGTCGTAGATTCTCACAAGTGCTACACGTGTTCCAGATGCGACTAATGTATTCTAGCTGTTTTCTAAGGTCCGTATCTACTATGCGTTATACGCCGATATGATTGCCGATTTGTGAAGCTATATACAGCGTGGCGCCCACGACATAACACATACTGCATGTCCTGAGGTAAATATCCTTATATTCACGCGCTAATACATGCGCTTGCTTGTATCCGTATGGAGTCGTTGCGCTTCCCTCGCTGACTCGGATGACGACATAATAATAGGCTGTCGAACTCAATGAAGGTATTGTGCCTTCTCATGGAGGATGCCTTTGTCATATATGTACATTCCTATAATTAGCAGAGTAAGTCTGTTATCTTCGTTTGTCGAACGAGAAACTAATCCCGCATCCTCTATAAGACCTCTGCTCTCGTGAGAAAATAAGCAGGTCTGTGAACTCGGTAACAGTCAAGATACGAGCACAGCTGGGTGCTTTCACCACCGGATATCCATTTGCATCTCTGTTATTACCACTAGTCTCGTTTTGGTCTTTTCTGATACGAGTCATTGGCTCGACTAGATCCATGGGCATGACCGACATATCTCGCCTTCTCGTGGATCCCTGGGTGATATCACTTTACCAATCGTGTATGAAACTCTTGTCTATTCTCTTTGTCACCACATCAACATCGTGGACCGCATGGATGTGGCGTCACTGCGCTATGTATTTCGTCGCTGTATAAGACGATCGCGATTTACACTGAGAAACGGCCATCCTACTGCATATGGATTGAATTTAAATCCTGCTCCTCGTCCGGGCGTCATAAAGCACTTGGTATGTAAAGGCTGCAATCACTCAATTGTGTAAGCAACGCTTATTTGAAATAAGGATCAACTAATGGACAGCTTGCTGCAGTAGTGGATGGCTAATGGAGACATATTCAGACTTCCAAAGACCCGCCTGCATCCCGAAGTCATGGACACGATAATCGACTGTCTTCGCGGCGACAGGGAAACACTCCGGAGTTGTGCTGCAGCGTGCAAAGCGTTCTTTCGACGATCGCGCTACAACCTCTTCCAATCCATCCATCTGTCGACCCACTCAGAGCTCATGCGACTGGCGCGGCTCAGTCGCAAATACCCCAAGTTATTCCGCTTGTTTTGCGAGCTGCGCATCTCTGACACGCTAGATCCTTGTGGAGAGTGCACCATAGCGCAAAGTGCACCTCTCCTCCTCGCGCATCTGTTGCATCAAGTCAAATCTCTCACTCTGGAGGGTCTCGAATGGCATGCGGTACCTCCTCATCCTAACTGTGACATCCCGCTGTCTTACCACTTTTTCACATCCACCACCGCGCTATCCCTCAGCTCTTGTGTGTTTCAAAACCTAGCTCAGCTCGAGCAAATCATTCGTTCATTTCCTGCTCTTTCCCAGCTCGATCTTTCGGATTTGCTGATCTCATCAAAACGTCAGCGGATTCCCGATGACTCTTCAAGCACCGCCCTTACCCACCTATCCATCACAGATTGTACGCCAGATACGTCTGAAGCCCTTCTGAGATGGCTCTCTTCAGGGCGCTCACGGAGGTCCTTGCGAATATTGATACTCAGGACCTCCGTGAGTCCACAACTACTTGTGGACGCTCTGACAGCGTCGGATTCCCTCCATCAACTCACGCTTTCACCCCCTGCCAATGTTAATATGCTTCAGGGTAGTTTCGACTCGTTAGGGCAATTGCGTGCTGCAGACCTTGCTCTACCGTCGCGTAAGCAACGTAAATATACTGTTCGGTTCTGGTATGGAGGATCAATACTCAAAACATGTGAATGCGTCAGATCGTGTTGGGGTCGCCAATTGTCTGGAGGAAGTTATCAGATTCTTCCGGAGATGCAGCCGGACCCATGACAAGCACCGAACATTATGTCGGTATTCCTGCACCCAACCACGCTGTGCATATTCTCTTGACTTGGTGGGACACAAAGAAAGTATGCACGATGGAGAACTTTCTAATATATATCGAACCGTGAGTGTAGATTGCTCTCCTACTGCCTTCAGCATATGCTGAATTAAGCACAACGGGTCAGCAAACAATCATCTAGCAACCGCTGTTGATTCCAATGCCTATTAGTGTATTTGCGGGAAGTCTCGCAGTCATGGAAATATACTCTCACAGTGATATGTTCCCTGAAGTTCCCAAAATTCAAATTCTGGCCTTGATGCACGGATTGATCTGACTATTATAGAGTAGATTTTTATCACATATATGGCTACACACCGTAGTTGTATTCTTGCGCGCTTGTAAACACTACAGCCACCGTCCTTCAAGTTGTCGGTATACATCGTCCGCCGCCCGATCCATTTCAAGTGAAGGGCGCATGTCCGCTCTATACATTTCTTATATAAGTAGACGAAAACTTTAAGCTGCGGCGCTGAGTCGCCCTGAGGTAAAAGCAGCAGTTATGGTTCACAGATGATCGGAAAAGTGGGCCGCGTGCCGAATGATCCGTGATACATGACTGGCGTCTGTATACCAACCTGAACATGGATCTCGTCGAGAGTTCCGATATGCTACCTCGCGACTTGTTGGTGCACTGTATCATTCCAGCCGGCTCAATTACATATGACAGTAGCAGCGAATCGAGTACGGTTGGATGTTATAAGCAAACGGTACTTGAGTTCTGCTGATGTATTCTCCCAATCATTGGATCAAGATATCTAGCCTATGAACAGTTGCCCCTGCCAGTGCGGACTAGTGAGGACCATTTGCGACGAGAGTAGCAAGGCGCGGCTTAAGACCTCCTTGCATATTGATATCTAGGGTAGTGCGTGCCATGTGGTAAGCGTGTATCCCATGAATGCCTCAGGCCTGGGGTATCGTGGCATTAAGTGCCAATATTCATTCGTGGAAAGCAGCCTTTACACAAACTCCAGCTCGTAGGGAGGCAATGCATTCCGCGCAACCAGATACTATATGGACTTGGGGTAAATCGCCCATTCACCCGATGTCTCACCTTGGCAACGCGACGCCCTCCTGCTGTGAATAGGGCTAGATCCCACCAGCCGCAGAAGCAGCATCAAGTTCGCGGTTTTTAGCTCCAGCGCCTGCAACGCCATGAGACAAATATGTACCAATCACACTCGACCTCGAGCAGCCAGGCGTTCCCGGTAAGCGCCTTTGACCTACCTCTTGTTTTACGCGGAATTGATTCACGCTCGCCCACAGAGATGTTTTTTCAAACCGTCCCAGAGCGCACTATGAGGAGCTACTCGAGGCCCGGGTACATCCACATTGTGAGGAGTATAAACGCGCGGAATCTTTTAGGAGAGGTAAACACCGGCATGACGTAGGTGCGTTCGGAAGCGCCCGCCAATGCACCGCCGGCGGCAGTAGTACTACAAGATGGTTCCTATAGTGCGAGTCGGTGGGTCGAGACCGGCCTCTCCGATGCGGAGCAATTATAACACCGTCCTATCTTCGTGAGTTTCTACAAATTCAGGAAATGTATCAGATTCACGCAGGATAAGACTTATCTGTTCCGCTTTCCATCAAGCACTTTTCGTAAAAGGTTTCAATTGGGCCAGACCACTGAGGAAGCATGTGTGTACCATATCGTGGCTTGGGTGGACGGATAGACTTGTCAGCATGGTTAAACTCAATCTATAAACATAGACGTCCACGTGAAAGTCGATCCCGACGGATCACCCGCAAAAGATGTACAGGTACTCGCAGGTAGGTCTGTACCCTTTCGTACAAATACGGCCACGGCCCGCGTACTTCGAGACACCATAATAGGATGTGATCGTGCGCTCCTGCTCCTCGATTATGCCTGCAGTGATGCGCATCACGGTCTCAGAACCACCGTATCCATAATCCAACGCGCGCGCGCGCATGCTCAGCTGCCTTATCCATGCGGTTGATGCGGCGTGCTCTCAACCTCTTGGCAACCGTGTACGGTACACCCGCCTCCCAGTTGCTTTGACTACGCAAGGGCGGGGACTATCGGATGATCGGATAGGTACGCTGAAGGCGGCGAGCTAGTGGCGACCTCAGGCACTAGGACCATTCAAAATTGCCGCTTAAATCTCTCTGGAAATCAAGCGAGTTTTAAACGGCCAAAAGCAGCGAGCAGAATCTGAGCTCCCCTCCTCGAACAGCGACAAATAAGCGACTGCTTGTCGCAAGCGCTTACAGATTCTGTCACGCTTGCATCATTCGCCAACATGATTGGCTGATCAGCCTCTCGCGAGCCGAGAACGTGATCAAATCACGTCTGCATCACGCTTAGTCATGTGTGACGCTTCCAGCGACCTTTCAGCGACCTTCAGCCACATTTGGGCGCTCAAAACCAGCGAAAAGTCGCTTATTTTCCAGCGAGATTCAAGCGGCAATGTTGAACGGTCCTACTAATGGCATGGTGGAATGAGGATGAAGAATTGTGGCGCGTTCCTGGGACAGTCAGAGAGCCACTGTCCGACACTCGCCATATCTTCTGATGGTTCTGTCAGTGACATAAGAAATAATTGATGGCGAGGGTCCATGATTGCCCGCCAACAGCTAAGATCCTATTATATCTCCATTCACCGCTATATTTATATGGCGCAGCATATGAACGCACAGCCGTACCTACAGCCGTACCTCCTAAGTTTTCACTCCCCCCTCCCGACATCATGTCCTCTGAGAAGAGCCAAGCTACCGTGGCCGCAGCTGTCAGTCCAACTCCTGCGTGGAGGGGATACTGGAAGTTGACCCGACTGCACCTGTGGCCAGCCGGCACCATCCTTTTTTTCTGGCCTTGCAGTGCGTTTTCCTTCGCAACGTGAGCGCACTGTATTTTCAGACTTACCGGTTGTGCTGGCAGTATGGGGTATTACCATGACCGCGTATGCCCAGAGCCTCCCGCCCAAGATAATCGCCGTGCAGGGAGCTGTGTACCTCCTGGGCTGTACCATAAGACATAACGCGGCCTGCGTATGGAACGACATATGTGATCGCGACTTCGACCGTCAAGTTGGCGAGTGCTGCTCGTCCCCATGCCACAGGTTGTTTCTGGTTGTCTAACGTTGCATCCAGAACGCACGAAGATCCGGCCTATCGCGTCCGGAGCTATCTCGATACCGGCGGCACTGGGGTTCCTCGCCGCCCACCTCGTTGCATTCATTGGCATCCTGGCACTCGCTGGACCGGAAGCGTCAGCAACATAGCTAAAGACACCTGCACTCTCACTGACGCTCATGACAGGCTGAAAATAGGCCTTTTCGGCCTGTTCACCTTCGAGGCGATCTATCCGTTGTCGAAGAGATTCACGCACTGGCCACAAGCATGGCTAGGTAAGCCTTGTCTGTCTTCACGCGTGGAGGTTTCCTGAACATACAGTCTATAGGCTTTGACTGCGCATGGGGCTTCCCCGTGGTGTGGGTCTCGAACAACCCCAATGCGGATCTGAGGATCATTGCTGCGCTCGTCCTTGGTGTCGTCTGGTGAATTCTGATGAGATTAGTGGTACGAGTGGTGTTCTGATCGAGGCTCGTTCCGCAGCTGGACCATCCACTTCGATACCGTCTATGCGTGCCAAGACAAGGAGGATGACGTGAACGCTGGCGTACATTCATGCGCCCTCCTTTTCGGCGACTATCTCCGTCCGATCCTGTCGGTGTTCGCGGCCGGTTTCGTTGCCTCTCTTGCGTATGTCGGTGTCTTGAATGGTCAGGGCCCGCTGTATTTCGCTGTAACAGTCGGCGGAGCGGCCCTTCACATGCTTTGGCAACTGACGAGACCGGACATGGAAAAGGAGGGAGGAAAGATCTGGAGGGTACGTCCGATCTCTCGTTGTGATGCCATGTTCTGATACTGACGACGACGCAATCTAGTCGAACAACGATCTTGGTTACGTCATTTGGGGAGGTATGCTGCTCGACTATGCACACAAGCTGATGGTGGCTTGAAGTTCAGAGTCGTTGTCTCATATTGTGTGATTATACCCTTGGGCTCTGGAAGCCATGTTTCTGTACTGGAGATCTAGACTGAGCTTCGACTCCTGCGATAGAATAATTATCCTATTTCCGCGGAGATCAGTTAATCTTATCTTATCGGATAAGTCATCCGTGATCAAGCATCTGTATCCGCCGAGTGACTCGGAATTTGTTCTGTCGACAACTCGTCGAACTTGACTTTACGCGTCATCTTGTGCGCCGATGGCGCAAACAACCACAGGCAGGGTCCTCAGCATCCAGTCCCATGTCGCATTCGGCTATGTGGGAGGAAAAGCCGCAGTACTTCCTTTGCAGTGTCTGGGATACGACGTTGACGTGCGTAGTGACTCCGAAACACCCGGATATTCTCATCATGACGGGAGCAGCTTCTGCGATCTAGGTAGTCAACTCGGTGAACTTCTCTAACCATTCTGGTATGTTGGAAGTACATATCGGAGGCCACTTCTTGGGTTGCCTAAGATTGACCGTCTCCATAGGGTATGGCCGCTTCGGAGGCTCTAGAGCCACGGCCGAAGAGCTTTCCAAGATATTCGAACTCATGGACCAGAACGGCTTCCTATCTTCGGAGCGTCTGCTTACAGGTACGTGGTGTATGAACCTTCTGTTGGATGACAGGCCAAATATCAGCAGGATACATTCCGGGAGCGGAGGCACTATCTGCCGTCAAAGACCTCGCAGTAAAACTGCGCCAGAAGAATGCAGACCTCATATACCTGCTAGATCGTAAGCCTTCCCATCCATCTATCTAGTCTCTCTCTCAAGGTTACACAATGAAGCCGTTCTCGGTGACTCTGGCAGATTATATGTCGCGCCAGACACTATTCCTGTGTACAGAGACGCTTTGAGATATGCCACGATCATCACCCCCAACTGGTTCGAAGTGGAGTGAGTCGTTCCCCATGAGGCGTCGTGTGTCTACTCATTCTAACCCCCATCAGAGTCTTGACAGACGTGCGAATTCTAGACTTAGCGTCATTGCGCCGCGCACTTCAAGTTCTCCACGAGCAGTACAATGTCCCAAACGTAGTGATCAGCTCCATCCCGTTGCGGCCATGGCTCGCGGACGCACTGCCCGTGCTCATGCGGCCACACGCTTCGTCCAACGACCTCGACTTTCTCGTGTGCATTTCGTCCTCGCGAGGAAATGAGGGCGCGCAGCGTGCTGTACACGCACGGTGCATCCCTTGCCTCCCAGGCTATTTCTCTGGCGTAGGCGATCTCTTCTCCGCACTCGTGCTCGGCCACTTCAAGCCTGCGCATGCCCCACCGCAAGACAGGACAGAGACGCCGCTGTCCTACGCAGCATCACAGGCGCTGTCGAAGACGCACGCGATGTTGACGCTCACGCACGAACATGCGCTGACGTTGCCAGAGGAGGACAGGCTGCCGACAGACGAGGAGCTGGATGTGCGCGAGCCGGAGCGTAAGATCAGGCGTATGCGTGGACGAGAGTTGAGGCTTGTGCAGGGACAGGGCATCATCAGAGGCGAGGAGACGAACGAGTATAGACAGATGCTGCCGTGGACGACGTTTTGGGATGCTTAGACGTGAGAGGTAGATAGTGGACAGACTACGGTTGCATGCTAGGGTATCTTGTGGATATTGGTAGAAGTATATCGTGTGTAATCCTGAAAACGTCCGAAGTATTAGAATGTCATGCGGGTGTCTGTGTCTGTGTCCGTCGCCGTCGTCGCAGCCTCAGATAGAATTGAACAGCAGCATATCCTAATGCTCCCAGCGTCACACCTAGGATTGCGCCAAGGACTTCAGCCACGATATCGGCGGGCGTCTGCTTTTGGCTTTCCTCGATTACTGGGACAATAGTAATGGTCGGTGCGAACGAAGGGATGACTGTGGACGGCGGTAATGTAGTTGAGGGGAACGGATTCGTGCTACAGTTGGGGAGATCAACAATACAGTCGGAATTGTAGGATGGGGATGTCGCTCACTCATTATTGGGCGTTACGATCGTGATATTCGAGATATCAAGCCGTGTAGCGTGTGCTGTAGCGATATACGTAAGGCTTAGTGTCGTGACCAAGTCCTCTGGTAGGCCAATGACAGTGATCAAGCCGGCTGCGCTGTCTACCTCTCTCGTGATGGATATTGTGGGATCCTGCGTAGACAACGTGACATTGACGGTCGCGGTAGAGAGCGTCGACGTGCGGATATCCAAGCCAGTGCCTACGCCAGAGTTGACCGATCCCCTACGCAATCAGACATGACCGAAGCCGTCCGGCAAAACCACTGCACCTTACCTTGGAAATTGAGAAACAACTGTGGGATGAGGTCACCGCTGCCGACGGTCGGTCCGTTCGTCGAGGTGATATACGCGCCGGCGGTATCAGGGGAGGGTATCACCTGCCTTTGCGGACACAAGGGATGAGTATCGTGGCGTTGTAGTTTAGATTCTGATCTGGATCGAAGAGATCTGGGTGGCTGCTCACCATGCACCCGCACATGCCGCGGCCTGGCTGTTATTGCACGATGGTGGGCTGTAGACGATTTCCGACGCGGTAGACAACAGCGTGACATTGGCCTGCGCACACGCAGCAGCCAGCCAGGACGCCAGCAGGAGCGACCACCACTGGAAGGGGGGCCTGGTCAGCATGCGGGGCGTAGACGAGGACGGCCCGCGAAGGGTCCAGGCTAATATCCGAGTCCACGACGGCGTCCTGCAAGTGGTGAGAGGATCTTCTGCCGAATTGTGACCCCCCTGCATGCCATGGAAACGCGATGGTCGGATGGTCGGAAGTCGCCTCGAGTGACGCCGAGGAACTTCGCATCCTCACCCAGCCGGCGTGACGGGTTGCCTCAGCAGGCCAGCAAAGTTCAGCCCAGTCGGTCTAGCGTTCGGGCAGTGGGGGATCTTCAATGGGATGACGCGAGCCGTCCAACATGACAGATTGTCGCTGAACACAGGAACGCATTGAAGTCGTGGACATCTGACTGTTGCAGCGTTATGTGACTGCCTCATGCTGTCGGGTGGGAGACAGCTCTAAGGCCTGGACCTTTACGGCAGTTGTGCGGCCCAAGCTGCCTCGGGATCAGAGTTTATGATCAGGGAAAGAACCGGAAAAAATCGAGATTCAGTACTTATGTGCCCTTTAAACTCCCTTCGTGAGATGACAAGACCCCAATGTAACATCGTGCAACTGAAAGTGGGGGTGTGAATGTAGCGTTGTCATGTGCGTGAACTGCTGCGGCAGTTGGTAAACACATCCCCGGCGGCAGGTCCACAGCCATAAATGGTAACTGAGAACCCCAAATTGGGAGATCTGGCCAGCGAGGACGAACGCACACAGAAGTGTGCCATATTCTTCTGATGGTCAAAGTAGTCTAGCTACGGAAATTGAGCAGTATACGACTCAAAAGATGGCAAAATGAGAGTGCCATTGTCCAGATTTCGATGAAATGCGGCGTGTAACCTCGCGATAAGATGTCTTATAAATACATGCCAAGGGGTTACATAACGGATGATCATGAGGTCAACGGCTAATTATAACTGGAAATCACGGCGTGCAGTTGAGCTCACGGCTTGTCTTCCTCCTCGTCGTGTCTGGCGTCGCACACATCCCCCTTCCTGCGGGAAGCCTCACTTTCATTTCCCTTGTCTCTCGTTTATCAGACCGTGCATCACGAAATTCCGACAAAAATGTCCGACGCTGCTCACACTAACAGGATGGTCGCCCATCGCCGTCTAGCGGGCCGAGGGTTGATACCCAGTATCACTCAGGCCCTTCAGAGTCCCGCTCTTGATCTGGGACCCATTTCTCTACCTTCAAGTGAGTATCTTTGTATCGTTGGTAGTCTCCTTCACTTTGTGTTGTCAACATTGCACCATTTACCCACTGCGCGACCGATCTTCGTGGTGGGAGTGTAACGATGGCAGTGCAATATCTGCACCCCATGCACTCGTCCTCGTTGGCCTTCTACACTGTGCACATGCGCACGCTGGCATATGGTCACACAGCCGTGTCATTGCTGCAAAGTGAGCTATCGCCCCAGCGTAATTTGGGTTGTGACCAAGCCTGTGCAGTTGCCAGCCTAACAACTAAGTATGTGGACTGATTTTGTCCTAGCGCTGGCACGCAGGGATCTGTGAACGCCTGGGTGCATGGGGTGTACTTCCCTGGGATTGGCTTTGAGGAAGCCGAACATTTCACTGGAGCGCATCACGGGGCGATGCCCCCGCCAGCTACTTCTGCTACGTCTGACACAACGTTAAATCAACTCCTCAGTTGACGACATCGCCATCACTGTGACTGTAACATACTGTATCAGTCTGCATTGAGTAGTGTCAGGCCCTGAATGGCGCTGTTGTTTGTTTACCGGACGCCATGATGGCGTTGCTGCCATGTTCATCCTGGCACCAGGATAAACAGCTGATGAAATGCGCAGCTGTGCTCTATGGCTTCCATCGTCTTCTGCTGAAGTATGGGCGGATTTCTGTACACTTCAGAAAGTACCCAAATCGGTACAGGTACAAGGAGCAATACCTTTCGTGTACCTCACAACGTTGCTCAGGCGGGAGTTGTGTTAAAGACCACGAGCTTGCAGATAAAACGAACGGGCGATTGAAAGCTAATCTGACGTTCACACTGTTCTCCTTAAGTCACATAATCTGCCGTAGTCCTGCTTCGAATGCTGCTTCGAAGTATCTGTCGACAATAAACTCTAGTACCGATTCGAGTAACACGTTGCGCTCTATGTCTCGCCTTATCGTTCCATGTTATCCGGGCCTCCATACACGTTCTGCCAATTCTGACAAACACATTCTCGCTGTACAGTATCGCTTCCTTCCATAACATTGCCAAGTATTATTCCGAAGCCTACCGACAGTAGCAGTACAGAAGATCCGCACAGCAGCAGCTCGAAGTCATCTACCCGGGAATCCACGACGTCAACGTCTCAGCGCTCCTCGTCTACCAGTCACTCGTCTACCAGTCACTCGTCTACCAGTCACTCGTCTAGCACATCGTCTTCCTCGCCAGCAAAGGAGTCGTCGTCGTCTAGCTCGAGCTCCTCGTCGACCACTCATTCGTCATCGTCCTCGTCGTCCTCGTCGTCTTCCTCTAGTTCCCGCTCGTCTTCGAGCTCTAGCACGCTTCCTACTACCTCGGTTGTGTCAACACCGACGATATCTACGCCTCCTGTGCTTACGACTACGCTTGTGCCCACGACGTCGTATGTACCGACATATACTCCTATATCTTCTGTCACCGTCACTGGTGCAGCGGCCAGTCCGTCTTCGACCGGTTCGACTGGTACCGTGAGCACTGGTGCCGTGGTCGGTGGCATAGCCGCAGGGTTGGCCGGGTTAGCCACACTCCTGTTTGTTGGAATGTACTTATGGGTACGTCTTCTGTTCAGAACGAGATATAGAAGGTCTCAGTGATTCCTGCAGCGCCGCTCGCACAAGGAAGATGGCGGAGAGATCGATGACTTCAACGCCCGGGCATTCAAGGCACAGTCAGTCATTCTGCCAGATGAGGGAATGCCGTCTCGCTCGGGATCCACTTATCGTGGAGGGCACGGTGGCTATCGTTCGCCGTCGCCACCCATGATGGAGCAGAACATGGCGAATGTGCCGCCCTCCTTCGTCGGAGCGCCGCCTATGCACCAGGGTTACGACCCGCAGGCCGCTTACTATAACGACGGCTACAACAACGGGTATGACAGTGGATATAACACCAGTTATTACAATGGCTATCCTGCCCCGCCGTCGTTCGCCCCCGGTCAGTACATCGCAACGAACCAAGGTCAAGTCGCCCCGCCCTCTCCGGTCAATCCATTTGTCGCACCTTTCGGTCAGGTTCCTGTCGATGTCCCCATGGATGGGTCTCCGTATGACTATGCCTACCGCGCTCAGAGCCCGCCGCGAACACCGCCTGCGGCCCTCATTCCTGGTTCTCCGCACGTTACGCGCCAGCCTTCTATGGGTGCCGCACAGAGTCTCGCCCGTCAGCCGTCCGCTGCAGGGGCGCTCGGGCAGCCTGGTCTCTACAACCAGCCATCTGACATTGCCGCGCAGCTGCTGTCGCGCCGTCCGTCTGCTGGTGTAGCTCAATACCCCGGCCAACAGTCTCCTCGTACCCCCGCTCCCGAGGCAACAGTGGGCCCTGATCCGCACTACGTTGATCTCAACAGGTCCAGTGTTACCCCGTTCCAAGCTGCACAATACACGGAAATCTCGCGCCGCCTTAATATTGCTCCACCGAGCCCGATGTCGTCTCCCCATGAAATGAACTATCCTGCCACATCCTCTGGTTTGGGCCCTGTCATGGAGGATAGCGACTCAGGATCTCTTTCTCGTCAGGCATCCCTGCGCGATAAAGACCTGCCCTCGGAACCGCCTGCTTACTACGACCAGGAGGACGGTTCGCCCTTCAGCGACAGTGAAGAGGTGCAGGAAGTTACGCTCCACTCGCATAGCGCGATGTACGACTCCGCGTCCAAGCACGACTCGTTCGGTCCGCTCCCATTGCCCCGCTTTGACCAGCATGCTCGCGTACCGTCTACGCCGCCGATCCTCCCGGAGATCCACATCCAGCAGCGCGCGTTTTCACCCGTGTCTGCAGACTATCCCATCGCGCCGTCCTCCGCCAGGCCCTCGCCGCTGAGCTCGAGCTTCGGCCTCCCGTCGCCTCCGCCCCAGGCGCACGTCGCGTCGACGCCCACCAGTGCTTACCCGCCCAACATAGCCGCCGTCGCGAACAAGGCTACTCACGCGCCCGCGGGGCTCTATGCTGAGTCCGCGGTGAGGCGGCCTGACACGGTGTATACCCTCTACGACGACGACGACGCCTACGGTGGCATCTAGACGACGCGCATGCCAGCTCTCCAGCCTTCCTCTTGAATATCCAGGAGGGGCATGTCTCCAAGTTCCCCTTTTCTTCACCCAAGTGCAATATTGATGTTGTGTATTTGCTGTTCTGCTGTGAGGCACTGGTCCTGTCTTTCTGCGCGCAGCTGGGTTCGCGCCTGTTGTGGCGGGGGAGCAGAACTGGCGTCTGCATACACACTCCCTGCCTATTGCTCACATCTTTAGTGCTGTTATTGTCGCTCTGCGCTCGTTTGAAGCTCGGAACGTCTCGGTGCCACCCTATCGCTACATTATCTATTGATAACCTTTCGTGCTTCGACAACACTGTTTGCTAACCCCGCAGCTCATGTACCGATTTGCTCCTCTCATGGTTATGAGTAGATCCGCTGTTGTTTCTTACATCCAACGAAGCCCCCTTCGTCTATACCCTTGTGTCGTTTAGGTGTTGCTGGGAAGTTATTGGTCTGGTTGGTCCATGTTGTACCTAGTTAAGCAGAGTGAATAATAAAGAGGTATGCCATTGCTAGGCTGCTATCGTCACGATCGCCGGCCGCGCTGCCACATTCATGCGAGCCCTATCCGTCTGTTGCTAAGGATGGCTCACATATCTGTACCGTCCGCGCGCGACGCACGTCGACATCGACATCGGCGACCTCGCGTGCGGGGCGCGCGCATACGAGTTGAGGTCGTTGCCTGTGCTGAATTCATTTTCGCTGTCTCCGGGTTCTATTCCGGCAACAAATAGGCGGGTTATTATCTCGGTGGGCAGCGCGTCGACACGATGCTCTTCAGTGGATGGGATGGATGAATCCGATTTCGATGTACTTAGTGCCGTTTACCGGGTCTCGCAGTTTGGTCGTGAATGAGGGGGAGGAGGGCGTGTCCTCGCTGAGGATCTGGCTATTGACTGACATGTCGTATTGTATTTTTCTAGTAGGAGCGGTGGTAGCTCAGAATAAGAAGAAAGAGATAACTCAATCTGAGGGGCGCCAACATGGCATAGTGACATAACATGGCTGAAGGACAATGAGACAGACTGAGACAGTGTTCGGGTTTGTTCAATCAAGGCAGATACATTGGGATGACGCTCATCAGCAGGCGCACTTGACTGCAGTGGGCATGAGCCTTCCTAACTACATCTCGGGTTAATTACAACCTTTGGTTGTTACAGTTTGCCTAAACAATTTATACAGCGAATCCCTAACCACATCGTGTCAATAGTGCATTTCAACAATCATAGGTCGATCAACCCACCCCATTGACCATGATGTTCTGCCCGTTAACCCAGCTCGCCTGCGCGCTCGCCAGGAACGCAACAACCGGGCTGACCTCATCCGGAACGCCAATGCGCTTCCCCGGGTGTTGGTTCGCAACGAAGTTGATGATCTGCTCGGTCTTTCCCGCGCGGAACAGGTCTGTGTCTATCGGTCCGGGAGACACTGTGTTCACCGTGATCCCTCGCGCGCCGAGGTCCTTCGCGAGCACACGCGTCATTTGGTCGACCGCGCCCTTCGTGCTCACGTACAGCAGGTAGTTTGGCGGCACCGTCGAGGCGCGCGTGAGCGACGTGCTAAAGAGGACAACCCGCCCGCCTGTGCATGTATGCAATGTATGCACAGTCAGTCAGCACGAGGAGGACAGAAGACCAGCATGCGCGTACGTACCTTCCTTCATCAGCGGTGCCGCAGCCTTGACCGTGAACAACGGTGCCTTCACGTTCAGATTAAAATGCCGTTCGTACGCCTCTTCCGTCACCTCCGCGAGCGTGCCGTACCCCATGATCGCCGCATTCAGCACAAGGATGTCCAACCGCCCCCACACGTTGAAAGCCTCGTCTAGCAGGCGCTGCGTGTCCGCCGTCGCGCTCACATCCGCCTGCACTGCACGCGCCGTCCCCGCCCCTGCACTGTTGATCGCATCGACGACAGACGCAGCCGCGGCCGCGTCTGAGGCGTAATTAATGAGCACGTTCGCGCCGTCCGCGCCGAGCCTTCGCGCGATAGCAGCGCCGATGCCGCGTGAGGAGCCGGTGACAATGGCGACTTTGCCTGCGAGAGGAAGGGCCATAGTGGTAAGTGATGTCTGGGTCTTAAGTATACAAGGGAACTGGTTGATAATTGGTGGTTGCGTAGCAGAAGGCTTTATACGAGCGAAATCCGAGAGAAATTGCGCATCACTCTCAGGCTGAAGCCGGTGGTGACAAACGTGTCGTCTCAGCAAGAGTCAGTGTCCGCTGTTGGCACACGAGAGAAACTTGAACGGTACATTGTCCGAGACGCGCTCAACAAGAGGCGACTCGGGGTTCATGTGGGGCCAACTGGCGCCCTTGTACGTACTTGCGATCGTCCACCGCCATCAGAGCATTCGCATTGCATGCTACTCTGTATCGTTAAATGAAATTTAGTGTGTTAGCCGATTTACGACCCCACAGGAACTGACAGACGTTATGGTATTCCCCAGCAGAGCGGCATGTCATAAATTGTAGCTCGCGCAAGCTAGGGATGAATCGTGGCACCCGCATGGGCTCTGAGTGCGTCAGCAGAGAGCGCTTTGCGGACCGCCATTTCGGAGCGTTGCGGTATCCCAATCAATGATCTCATCAACAGTTCACTGCTAAGCCACCCATCAAGCTTTCAAGTCTAGATTGATACAATGTACGAGGATAACTTACGTAGGTATGCGGAGGTTCAAGAGCCCCATTGGCGCAAGCTCTTGTGTTTATAGGAAGTGGACATCCAGGCTCAGACTTCCAGAGTGCGTTACGGTCCTCACCGTTTAGCGGGAACAAATAAGAGCTGGAGCAGTATGGTCGACTATGCAAGCGGCATATCACGCAGATCGTGACAGAAAGTGTGCTTGTCCACCAACCAAGTTGACCGACTATAGGATACATCTCCCTCACATGTTGCATTTACATGAGTACATCAAGCGTTTGTACTACAGCGAGTTAGCGACCTACCGTGATTGCAGGTTCGGTCGCTGATGACATATTATGCGGCCCCTCTGAGGACAAGACGTTGATTGTTTGGTACTTGATTTGATGGCCGTAGGTGCTGCAAATAGTCTGGAATCAACGTGGAGCATGCTGCAGCCATGATTTTGCTCGACAAATTACATCAAGGCAGAGGCCGTGGGACGATCTCGTGGTTCTTATGAGTTGGGGATATTCAGGCTCACGACAGTGGCCCATCGCTCAGCCTTGGTAGAAGTGCGTGGGATATTCCAGCCAAAGACTCGAGCTTCGTACTGAATGCAAGTGTTGTCTTCCCGTCCGCAGCATGTGCAACTGTTTTCGGGACCCGCAACGACGTTTTGACGACGGTACACATACTGACTACGGTCTACCTGTCAGTGCGAGCGATGTGTGACAGCTGAGGTCTGCGCATGCTCGCGACACGTATACATGCATGAATAGAGGAAAATAGACAGCCCGAGGAAAGAGGGGGACATCGTCAACGAGACAACGTAGAGCGGAGAGGCGACTCGGAGCTTCAAAGCTGGCTATGATGATCCCGATTTCGATCTAAGGCTATTGGCCGCATTCCAATTCCCCACTAACCCTCATATGCATTGCTCAACTTGATCAAGACTAGAATATCTCGGCAACGGCTCAACGTATCCTCCTGCGTCTTATTGTGTTGTACATGTCGTGTTTCTCCTCAAGTCCTAGTGTTTTCCCAATACTCAAAGTTCGCAATGAACCCGAGTCGTGAACCTCAGTCGTCCGACTCTATCATTACGTACCGGAGCGAGTTGGCTATTTATCGCGTGTTCTCGTATAACATTAGCTTGGCTATCGGTGTGTGGCCCGCTCGCATCTCGATTTAACAGGTATTGTACAGTATAGAATTGTCTACCACTACTTACCGTAGTGATTGAGCCTGCTCGTTTAAGCAGGGTTTGAGCCCACCAATTCACGCAGTGTTATCCATATAGAACGTCCAAAAAGCAGTGCAAGCTGTACATTGATGTGTGGTAAGCATCCCCTCCGTTTACGCCGGCTGCAGGAATCACCGAGATGTCATACCAGGCGCCGCCATTCATCGCCTGGAAGCGATGGGACTTAGCGTTACGCAGACAACAACTCATAGGGATGCAGTGCATTGGGGCTCACACATCCTATATGGATTCCTCAAAACTCGCGGGTGCCTTCGATCCTGGTCTCATTCTCCCGTTGAACCTTTACCTTTGATGCCACCGGATCATAACCCCTCGTCTCTTGCCCCACAAGCGCCTCCAGGCCATCCTCTGTAACAATTTGATCACTTTAGCCGCCAAACGCGAAAGCCTGAGATGCACACCCCGACTATTCCGGATTCAAACGGCCATGCAATGTCCTCGCTGATATCGCCGCTAGCCAAGTATCTCTGGACGGCGGACACGGTTTCGACTGGATGGGCATATGCCATGTCGCAATTTGTCGTGGATATCCAAGTCGCGCTTGCCTCGCTTATGTATCCAGTCGCACTGCAGGTTTGCGTGGTCGTGCACGAACGGTCTACCTCGCAGGTCTCTGGCAGCTATGGGGCGACAGGGCGACAGGACGAATGCATGAGTACTCACTCTCTACCCTGAGCACACCGCAACTGCTATCAACTCTTCGAGGTATCGCACCAGTAGGTGAGATGCGAGTCCTCCCTCATATGTGCTGACCGTGTCTCGGTAGGAACAATATCTGAATACCTTCCGTATATCCGCGACTCTGGGAAATCGTGATATTCCTCGCGCGCGTCGGTCTCGTATACCTCTGGATAATCCTCTATCACTCATAACCAGGTTTTGCTCACAGATGCAGACGCGTTATTGACATTGACCTTGCGTATGAATACGCTGCGCCCGCCCCTCTCATTGAAAGCCGTGTTCGCTCACAAGCATTCGCTCGCTCACATCTCTACTGCTACTATCTAAGAAGCGGAGACAATATGTCTGAGCATGGCGAGCAGATGTACCGTCTGAGTGACAAGCATCCCAGTATACCAAAGGAAGAAGATAGGGACGCTTTCGTGAGCACCAGAAACTCGTCCCTCGCAAGTGCCTTGGTATGTTCTGTCAGCTATCGATACCCCCCTGCGCTCACTTTTGGCCTGCACTTAGACGCTAAGAAGCTCAGTGCCGTATACAGTACATACCGCCAAAGAAGGCCATTTCGCAAATTGTGCACGCTGTGCGCCTGCCGCTCGAGCAAGGAAATGGGAGACTTGTAGTGCAAATTCCACAGTACGTTCGTGCTTCAACCGCGTTGCGCGGGTGACGAATCCGGTTCAAATCTTCCGCGCTGTAGAATGCGTATGCCTTCTTGAGGTTCTCAGGGGTCCCAGCCTCGCCTTCCGCAAACGCTCGAGCCCCGCGTGCAGTAGCCAAGAGGAGACGCCCATCCTCTTCACAAGGTAAGACACAACAGGCTGCAGGCACTCCTCATTTAGCTCGAGCATGGCCACAAAAGGAGTAGTGTAGCAGCCGAGCGACATAGGGATCGGCAAGGGTTAGGGTAAGCACGGAGAGCATCAATGGGAAAGGTTCTTTTACACCTTTTACAAACTCACTTCATGCGAGCAGAGTCTTTATGTTCGTACTCAAACTGCGAACGCATGCGGCGAGCGACTGTCCGCTTGTACGTTGTCCGGAATGGATGACATACTACAGTAGGCCGTCGAATGCCCAGATTCATTGCAAGCAGCAAGGTATCGGAGAAAATAATTCACCGCGGGTCCGTACTCGCATAAATGTGGCCGCGGCCGCATTGATGCAATCAAGAATTCTACTCAATAGCCATTGTTAGGAATTCTACGCAGTAGCAGTTGTGGAGGAACTCAGAACCGAGATCCAATTGAAGAACATTCGACGGCGGAGAATCAGACAATCTAGTAATACGGTTGTCAGCCCATGATGTAAACCCATCGCATCACGATGTTGGTATATATTGATCACACCTTTTGGTCTTGGATTGTACATTTACAGCAAGAGTACCTCGGAAGACAGCCCAAAGTGGTGTTGAAATCCTTTCGGGCTCAGCGCTGCATGACAGTGTTGTGCGAGTCGTCGAATGATCGTGCGACTGTCGTTTAGTCGCATGATGTCAGTCGAAACGACTACAAACGACGACGACTGTTCCCACGGCGGCGACTATTCCCACGACCATTCAGTCACACCTGACATTAGAGGCGATGCGGGAATGGAGGGAGATTTGGCCACAAAATAATGTACACAACAGGATGTGATGTTAGCAAGATATGTAAATGAAAATACATGTATATCCTATTGGCAGAGACTCAGCACTCAGTCAATACTATCTTCTGTATTGAAGATGAGAAGTCGAGAAGCTCATACAACTCAACTTCATCCTGCAAATATGTCCAACCCTCTTTTCCATCCTTGCGGTGAAGTCGAATAGATCTCTCAATGACAGAGAGAGGCAGCCAAGTAAAGTCATTGGGCCCCCTCATCCCTTGATCCGATGCCTCTTTGGGACTCTTCGGGCGCCTGCGTACCAGAATTGCGCACGTGAATATCGGGCCGTGTCTGCGCAAGCCGTGGGAAAGGTCGGCGCGACTTTTCGACTGTCGTACAGTCGTCGATTAATCGCCCCAGTCGTGGGAACGACTGGGACGACTGGCAGACGACTGGCCCAACACTGCTGCATGAACTCCCCTCAACCGGAAACAGGCTATATATGTACTTTGTATATTCAAGTATATCAGAATGAAACATTGAGACGTAATTGGTTGACGATTCATCGTCAAGGGAATTGGGAGAGTAAATGAGACCCATTTGTCTTATTGTCACGAGGTTGCAAAGCCTCAGCATGGAAGCAACGGAGCAAATTTGGGCCCGTCGGTGACATTGAACGGCCTACACGAAACATTCTAGCGAACAAGCAATGATAGCCCCCATATGTCATTCAGGATGAATTGAAGATGGAGCAGAAGCTTCGGTTGGACACGGCAGCGGCACAGGTCTTGCCGCCCATCACGCTTAGTTCTCAAATACCTTTGCTGAGAGCTTTCCTTCAACGGGACACGGGCTCGATCTATAGGTTGATTAGCTTCTGGTTTCCCACCTCAATCTGTGTGTAGACTTTCCACGGGGGGATTCATCGTCATTGAAATTTCTACCATAGGGCTGTATCGAAACGAGTCACGGTGCTGGAGCCTAAAAGGGATTGCCCCAGCGTGCTGCCATCTGGGAAGTGGGAAACATATAAACTTCATTTGGAATAAACTAGCTCATGTATTTGATCGGAGAACACGTGTTGCCGGTGACTATGTCGCATCGCAAATTGTGGGTAGTGCCCCACAATTAGGACCCTTGTAATGTTTCACCTTATTCGTAATCCTGTTGCCAAAGGATTGATCGGGAGAGCCTACGAAACTCGCTGAAGCGAGTACTGAGATGGAATGTGACCTTGCGTTGATTTCTTGCTGTCAAGGACGGGCACGTAATCGGACGGACAAACAACCCGCAATTGCTGAGCGGAGGGTCTGGAAGTCATGAGTCCATTCAGAAAAGTAAACAAATTTTGTCACTGCTTCCATAAGGGAGGTCGAAGACAGCTCAGAACTGCATCCTAGTGGGGTTATTTATGACATGCGTACCTTCTGGAACATACACAATGAACCACGTTGCTAGACACCATGCTGCTAGACACCATGCTGCAAGAGTGTCATCTGGCTCTACGTTCCCCGCCTGTCAGAACAGTGCCCAAGTTGCAAGTAATTTCGACAATGAACACGTAGCGCCTGACATTCGTCTTTATACCGCTCGGGGTGAAGAAAGCCAGCATCGCCAGTGCCTGTATCGTGCCTGTTTCTGTGCATTCCGACTCATATCTGCAAGCTCTACCCTTAGCGATGTCCTCAAACAACGGTAAGCTCTGCCAAAAGATATGTTGTGAGCTATTCCGACTGGCCTTGATGATACAGAGACCCGCTCTGACTATACCGGAGCCGTGAAAGCGACTGGAGATGGCGAAGTACTTGGCGTGCTCCCGCAGTTGCCTCAACCCCGAGGTGAGTGTCGACATCCTTGTATTCCGCATGACCTATTGACGGTCGAAGTAGCGGATGTTGAGACCACTTACCTACTTCCGAAGTGGCTCTACATTCGTGACATCAGTGATCGATACCTGACCGTACGGCCTGGTCCTGTGTATGGCACCGCGACACTTCGCAGCGGCGACTACGACCGGAACTCGATTTTTCAAGCCGTTCAGAAGGGCAACGGATGGTGGCGAATTATAGGAAACAATGGGAACAGCCTCATGCGCTACTATTCCGGCTGGCTGAGCTGCGACGGAACAGAAGGAAATGGAACCCTCCTACTGCAGAAATTCATTACCAGCGCCGACGGTTCCATCTACCTGACCGACAACGCAGGCCCAGGAGGGATGTACTTGTCCGCCGACCTCGATAGCCATGGGCGCCCTCTCTACTACAACTATATCAAGGACAATTCCCGCTTTCGAATCATACAGGCCGCTGTCAAGAATGAGATCTACGACGTCAAATACGACATCTCTGGAGCCCAGGTCCGCGATGCACCTCCCTTAATCGTTCTCAGCACCTCCGTGCGTAATGACTCGGACGTTACCGTTACCCAGACGCTGTCATACCAGTACTCCAAGTCGGAGACTGGCACCTGGAATAACACCGCAGGAGTAACGCTCGGAGCATCGGCAACCTTCAAGGCCGGGGTGCCCTTCATTGCCAGTGTGGAATGGGAGATATCCGTCTCTGCGTCATACTCCCATGAGTGGGGTGGCTCTGTCGGGACGGAAAAGGTGGTATCGGAGTCGACCTCCGTGACTGTGCCCCCGCATCAGAAGGCACAAGCCACGATTGTCGTGAGGAACGCGCAGATCGATGTCGGATTCTCATACAGAGAGGAAATTTTATATGCAAACGGGGAGAAGGAGGACCTGCAGAAGCAGGGTGTGTACAGAAATGTGGACTCTTACCATGTCGATGTGCAGCTCACCAACTGGGAGCCCACGGATTGACCAGTGAGTTGTCCGCTTTCTCCGAGCTCCTCAGGCGCTCGTATTGACCTAGTGTTCATCTAGACGAAGGCCCGTAAGTACTGACTTCGCATTATAATTCTTCTCGAAATGAGTGTCCGATACTGTACGATTAGCACGTGAGCGTCGGGGAGATGTCCTATGCTTTGAATTTGATTGAACTGCGAATGCGATTGATCTGCTGGAGTAAACTCAGAAGGCCAGGAACCACTATCCTCTGTATGGATGTGCCGCACGCTACAAGCCTCTTCTCGCCTAAGGTAGGGATCGCAGGATCGCGTGTCACCGCGGGAAATTCAATTGACGATGAATAACCCTGTGAAGTTTCATCAATACAATTTGTTTCATAAGGGCAAGGTATGGAAGCAAGCAGATTCAACGAAGAAGAAAGGCCTTCACGTCTTCGTCCCCAGTATCAGAGGAGAGCATAGGAGAAGCATGAGGGTGGAGGGTGGGGGTTGGGTGGGGGTTGGGTGGGGGTTGGGTGGGGGTAGGCCACTAAATTGCTCGAAGATCATTGAACCGGAGTTACCAGTGGATGTCACAGCTCGTTTTGTGCAATGTTCACCGGAGGATGCATAAAAATGCCACAATATGGCGACATGCCCCGTACGACTGACCTGGTGATATAGCATGCAGTCACAATGTGCCAACGTATTTCCAGGTCCTCGTGCCGCAGATATTCGCGACATGGTGCGGCCTGGGTGTCGGAAAACAATGTACTACCTGCACAAATGGCATGACCGGCCGTCAAAATCATCGAAGAGCGTTTCATTTTAATGCTCTTGTGAGTGCAGCGTTGCCTTATCCCCGCGGAGGCAATCGTTGATCATGTCTCTGGCTCCCTGAGACAGACAGAATTTCGAGAGTTTGTAGGTGTGTCCATTGAACATCAACTACGGCAGCAAGTCGTACATTTAGTAGTGTTCCCTACTTCAAGCAAGCATTACTTACACGATTAAGGGGTCGCAGTTGTTTGCGATGTCTATCGGTCATAGTTCACGAACAAGACACACGTCAGCTATGAATCGATACGACGCGGGAGCGTTGCTCACGCAGGCACTGCGTTAGACTGAACGTGCCGATGGGGGTACAAGTTAGTAGACTCCTCAATGAGGCGGCCTCTTCGTATTTGTAGGGGTTAAAAATCAAATAAATGCGCAGTCGGTACAGCATGATGGCTGTGCCAGTACAAAGTTTATTCAATGTCTTCAGCCTTCCTCCATGGCTTCGACGCCGGCGTCCTTCCACCATGACACAGGCCCTAGCCCCTGCTCCGCTATCGAGCACTGCATATAGTTATAGCGCAATTTCTTCAGGTAAATAAGGCGAGGGTCTCACCGTGATCGAATACGGCGGTCTCCGCGCCTCGAGCTGCACCTGCTGCACGCCCTCCGTCGCCTTGGGCGGCCCGGGCTCGTCGTCGTAAAACTCGTCCGACTCCACGCGCACGCGAACGACTTCTCCCGCATCGACGTACATCCGGTCCGCGGTCGCAGAGTCGAGCAGCTCGTGCGAAGACTTTGCTTCGGAGCCGGGCAGCCAGAAATGCGCCCGCTCGTTTGGATCACTGAGACACGCGAGCTAGTCAGAAGGCGTTGGCGTAGGATATGCAGGCCGGGGCACGTACAATGCCGACGGTTCTGGCAGGTATATGAGAGGGATGTACATGTCGTCGAAGAAGCCGACCGATACTGCGAATAACCGTATCAGACGGCATAGTTTACAGTATGTGCTATACCCGTGCTGCTCACATCGTATGCCGTCTTCATCTGAAGACTTCACCTTCGCGAGAATCACCTCGGAGGCAAACGGTCTGAAGACCGTCATACGGAAAATGACTGGCAGCGTCTCTCAGCGACCTCGCGGCGTGCAACATTCCAGGCTGCGCACCTTTATACCACAAGAACCCGTCCCCATATCTCACCTTCCCTTCGCCCACCTCCGCGAGGTCAAACACGCATACACACAGCCCGACCTCGTGCAGGATGCGGTTCGCATACTTTTTGTTCAACTCGTTCGTGATCGCCTGTTCTGGAGGCACGTTGAACTGCGACGGGTGTACCGCGACAGTGTCCTGTCTCGACGGTAGGTGAGTGCGGGGGACTGGGAGGAGAGTCAGAAGCTATCAGGTACCTTGATGATGGACAGGACGAACATACTCGTCGTCACAATTACAGGATGTCCAGTTTTGCCTGCGAGTTTCCAATAAACGTGTGAAAACTGTGCGGGATGCGTGTATTCTCGATGCGAGCAAATAGACTGCAGAAGATAACAGGGAATAAAGTACGACAAGCAAGTGTTCAAACGGAAGTGGGAGGAAAATGCTATTGGAGCGCCCGCATGGCTTGCCGATTTCGAAATCACTCAAATTCAATTCCCTGAATCACTCCGGACAGTGGCAGCCACATGAATAAATTCCCAAAGACAAAGACAGCAGTTGCATGACTACTCAATCTACAGGCCTGAGAGTCGCTGCCCCGCACCATACCAGACACCATGGAACCCGACCGGGTACACATGCGGCATCTCAGCGCGCGCGATTTCCGTCATCTCCTTCGCTTCAATCACGACCATGCTGCTCCGCATCGTCGTCTCATCCAGCGTCACGCTCAGCAGCACACCGTCGTCCTCGTCCGTCCCGCCCGGGCGCGGCACGAAGATCGGCTCCGACGGCGTGCGCTGCGGCGCCCGCCACGCCTTGCTGCCCGCGCCCGCTGGCGCTGCCATGTCCAGCTTGATGAGCCCGTCCGCGAACGTGTGGTGCACCTTGGGGTCTTGGTTGGTAATTCCGTACGCGTACCGGTACGGCTTGTGGTACGACGCCGGCGCGACGACCGGCAGCTCGATGCTCTGCGACTGCGGGGTCGTGAACTCGACGATGGCATCGCGCGCGATGTCGGGCGACGGCGCGGAGGTAGGTGAAGGCAGGCGGAAACGCCTGGCGTAACCGACGGCCATGTGGTTCTGCGCGTTCAGGTCGCGCAGCTTGTCGAGATAGAGGTTCTGAAGGATGTTTGCGCTCTCATAGATGGCCATGTCGACGACGATGTCTCCTGTCTCAGGGTCGTCGAATGCGTTGAGATGATGGAAACAGAAGAATGTAGGGGTCTGGCAAGATATTGAGCCTTGGCCTTGACAAATGACTGTAAGGACGGCTTACCTTGTATCTGGCAACGATACCGCCATTCTCACGATCGACTACATAAAATTTGGCCTCGGTTTTAGGGTCCAACTCCGTTTCAATGGATTGGGTGTAGTTCTTGTTCGCGAGTATTGCTGCCCCAGATCTAAACCAACAAGTCAGAACACGTGAGGAGAAGCAGATGTTGAATACGCACTGCTTGAGGTGCGACCCCCATACGCAGAAGACGACATACCTCCCCGTCATCGTGATGGAGTGGATGTAGGCGGCGGGCGCGTCTTTGACTTGAGCTAAAATGACAGCCTTGCCGTCTGCGGTGCCTATCTTGAAGATGGTGTACGTGGGGTACTGACCGCCCAACTTGCCAACAAAGTTATAGAAATCACCCGTCTCTTGATCCCGACACCCATGCGCGGCAGACAGCGGGCCCTGAAGCCGCTCATCTAGGTCCTCGTACCTCGCATTGGCTACAGGATCCAGAGTGACAGGGTCGAGGAGCTGCAGATACACACTATCACTCTTCGCGACGATATACCGCGGGCGAGAGGACGTCCCATCGGCCTTGAGGTCGTACTTCTCCACGTCCCATCCAGGCATGTTAGGGCTTAGTGTGACAGACACGTTGGCTAACGGGTCGCGCACGCCGTTGATTCCCTGGTACGTCGTGAAGAACTTGCGAAACACGCCCTCGCACGGCTCCGGCAGCTGCCCGAAGCTTGTGCGCGGATACAATCCCGTGTCTGCCATAACCTGCTCGAGGTCCTCCGCGCCCTTACGCGAGCGGTACGTGACACGGGTGCCGCCAGGGTGAATCTCGAATGCGTGGTGCATCGCGATGCCATCAAACCAGTGGTGGATGTCGACTGTGCGCGATGGGTCGGCCGTCGTGGATACACGGTAAGTTCCCGGACCCGTGCGATAGAGCACGCCGCTGACCCAGGGCGGGATGGTGCCGTGGATCTCCAGGTCGATAGGGTCGCGCACTTCCGGTGCATTCTCGAAGGTGGCGGCGAAAGCTGGAGCCATGTTGCGAGTGAATTCAGAGAAAAGGGGGGTGGTGTGGAGGACTATGCGTTGAAGTGTGCGGTGAGGAGTATAGAAGTGGGCTTCTTCCACAGGCCTTATATACTCTTGGAGACCGTACGACATGGGCGTGATTGTACCGGGTAGAACAAGGCCTGTCGGCTCCCGGTGAGCGCATCACTAAGCAATGCACAGTCCATCAAAAATCTCCAGACAGGGACATTGCTGTACGTTACATACACGATAGTGTTCAGGTGCCCGTCTCAAACAGGGGGATGTGACGTACCATGTCCTCGAGAAGCAAACTCGCATCTGATATCCTTTCTCCCGCTTGAGAAGCAGGCTCGTATTCGTATCTTCCTGTTGCTCGAGAAGTAAAGGGCCGCAGTTGTCCAAGTGCGCTGTACATGTATACGCACAGCCATGCGAAGGAAAACAATGTGTGACGAACGCTATGCGTTGTGCCGTAATTAGAAGGAGACATGGCGGCTAGCAGCTCATTTATGACGTTCGAGACATATTGCCTGGGGGTGGTTGAAGGTAACATCCCTTGAAAACCCTCACTGTCGGTTGCGATGAGTACGGAAGCTTGCAGCGCCCTCGATAGACGCTATATGCGAGCGCGGCTGCCTACAAATCAAGGCGATCCTGATGGGGATAACTTGATATCACATTCCTGAAGGTTGTTGTCTGATCATCCAGAGTCTGAGCTGATATTTTCAAGAGAGGAAATCACGCCAGCTTGCGAGACGGGAGACGAGAGAGAGAGAAGGCGGAAGTGGGGAAGATACACATTCTGCGTTGATCTAATCTTATCTGTTAGAAATTTGATGATTTGCCTGCGACTTGCCGAGGTCGATCGTACCGTCTTGCTTACGGTCACCATCTCCGAGTCTGCTGGCCATCTTTCCTCAGACAAACCCAACTAGAAGTTTGCTGCCATGGCCGATGCACCACCACAACCTATAGCGAGTTCCTCCAAGAATGGCATCCTCCCAGCAAAGCCATGGCAGCACTTCGTAGCAGGCGGGTGAGCATTTCTTTCGATGCAGGTACTCTATGATATTCTGACGTAGAACAACGAGTGCAGACTCGGAGGCATGTGTGGTGCCATCGTCACTAGTCCTTTTGACGTCGTCAAAACGCGCTTGCAGTCTGACCTGTTCAAGGTCAAGCACACGTCGCTCGGTCTAGCTGGCAACGGTGTCGTTGTTGCGCCTCATAGGCCAAACCTCCTATGGCATTTTGTAGAGACAGGGCACATCATGCGGTGAGCATTCTCTTATTTTGGCTTACTGGACGTACTCAATGGCACTATGACGCTCAGCGACATTTACCGTGAAGAGTCCTTGCGTGCTCTCTTCAGGGGCCTCGGGCCGACGCTCGTCGGGGCCATTCCTGCCCGCTCGATCAATTTCTTCACGTATGGCAACGGAAAGCAGATCATTGCCAACCATTTCAACCACGGGCAGGAGAACTCGTGGGTGCATCTTTCCGCCGCGGCGTGCGCGGGCGTTGTCACTGGTACGATGACGAATCCGATCTGGGTCGTCAAGACGCGACTTCAGCTCAGCCAGTCATCTGGCGAGCGCGTGATGGGCGGGTCGTTGACAGTCATCAAAAAGATCCTGCGTGAGGAGGGCGTGCGCGGGTTCTATAAGGGTCTGAGCGCGAGCTATCTCGGCGTGACGGAGGGCACGATTCAGTGGACGCTGTACGAGCGGCTGAAACGGCTCACGGCGGATACGCAGAGCAAGAGCGGAGTTCAGGAATGGCTAGGCATGCTCGCGAGTGCGGGGACTGCAAAGTGCGTCGCGAGCCTGATTACATATCCACATGAGGTGCGTGTCTTGTTACTCTCTTGTACGCGAGGGCGCGCTGACGAAGATTCATTATGTGCACAGGTCCTACGGACACGATTGCGACAGCCACTCGTAAATGGCAAAGTGAAGTACACTGGCCTCCTGCAGACGTTGCGGCTCGTGATCGCAGAGGAGGGCACGCGTTCTCTATATGGCGGGCTCAGCGCCCACCTCATGCGAGTTATCCCGAATGCTGCTGTCATGTACTCCATATACGAGGCCATCCTGCGCTTCGCATGACCCTTCCGCCCGTTTTTATCTCTTCGCTATGCTTCATATGTATCATATATCCGTACATTATCCTTCGTTACATCGCATCGTAGAGATTACACCCCACTTAGGTTCACCAGTCAAAAGTAGCCCTTACTGGCATGCAGGATGTATGCCTATAATGGACGTCCATAACCACCGGATTCTTGCTCGTCAGTCCCTCCGTGTCACAGTCTCTTGTAAGTGCAGGGAGTAGACATTTCCTTCAAATGTCATCATTGCACCAGATATACTGGGCGCTGTGTATGCAAAGAGCACAACCTCTTCTCGCCTGTGAGAAGTATGATCGGGGCATCCATTGTCCTGTTTTACATGTACACAATCTTATTCGCGTCCGCTTTAGTTCTCCCCCCGCGCGAGCTTGTCCACAGCGCGTGCGCCCTGCTCGAACCACTCCTCCCGCGTTATCCAGAACTCCTCCCGGTTCTTCATGATGTCCGCGAGCACCGCACCGCCGAGGAACACCATGTGCTTCCGGCGCGGCGGGTCCTCGATGCGGATCTTGAATTTCTGCAGCGGCGGGCGTGTGATCAGCAAAGACGGCCCAGTCGTGACGACGGAGGGGAGAGGCGGTAGGACGCACGTTGAGTCGCGTGGGGTCGCCTTTGAGCACATTTGTGAGGTAGAGCTGCTTCATCTCCTTCTCCAGACGGCTAGGCAGGCCGGGGTACATGCTCGAACCGCCGGAGAGAACGATGTGCTTGTAGAGCTCGGCGCGGACGTCTGTAGCGGCGGCCTGGATTGTTTGGAAGAGCATCTCTGCGGGCGGGTGCCAAAAGATGAGTTCATGGCAGGCAGGAGGTAGGTGCGGGAAGCGTACCGGCAACGCCTGGCTGCTCGACGTCGACTAGATGTGGTTGGAACATGCATTCAGGGGCCTCGAATCGCTCCGAGCCGATTTTGATCACTCGGCCGTCTGGGAGCTGCTCTGTACAGTCAGAATGCGGGAAGCATACTTCGCAGTCTTGTAGTTATCTTACGGTATAGCTTTCCACCAGGACAGTCGTCTCTTCAGACAACCGTGTGTCGAGATCGAGATCATAGCTGCTCACTGGTGTTCAAGGACAGGTCCCGGGATTATTCCACCTGCTAAATACGCACCTGACATAACACAGCTTCTCCTTGATCTCGCGCACGGTCTCGAAATCTGCTGTCCGGTTGAAGGCGTATCCCCGCATGAGTAGCAGCTTGATCAGATAGCGCGTGACGTCGCGTCCAGCGATATCCAGTCGTCGTGTGAGATGTGGGAGAGAAAATCCGTCGTAAACGGGAACAATGTGCGTAACACCGTCGCCAGAATCCACAACGACACCTGTTGTAAGACCTATCCGCGGAGTATGGGTCATGTATCCAGGATGTGACCTCGGCGAGACATACCTTGCGCGTAGAGCGTCAATACCGCCTGAATGGCCACGTACACTCCGCCGAACCCGTACTCCTCGAACATGACCTGGCACATCCGCTGGCGGTTCGCCTTCGGGTTCATGGGCGGTTCCGTGAGGAGCACTTTGCGCCCCTGCGTGTTCACGCGCAGCTTCTCATCAAACGTGTAGTCCCAGAGGAGCTTCATATCCTCCCAGTTGCGCACAATACCGTGCTCCATGGGCTGGGTGACCTGTAAGTAGTTGCGGTTCTCCGCAGCTTCGTCACCGATCATAGTGTCCTTAATGACGGCGGAGCCGACGCGCTCCTCTGCACGCAGGATGGGACGGCCGACAATTGAGGGGAATACTAAGTAATAAATAACCGAGTTTAGCGTACGCCAGACTGCGTTGAATAGATATACGCACCATGCTCGGGGAAGTTGGAGCCTGCATAGCCCACTTTCACGAACTGCAGCACGGTCAATCGGCGCGTAACCATCAGGCCTCTCAGAATGACTTACACCAGTACCGTTGTCAACGACTAATGGCACTGAAGGATCCATGGCTGGTCGTGAATGAAGGACTGAAACAGGTTCGCGCACGAGCTAGAATAGGTGTCTTATGCGGTGAATGTCAATACCGACTCGATCCGGTCAGTTGATGGGCGCTTAAACGCAGTCACGGCCATCAATGAGACGCGCTCAGACGCGACCCAAGTCTCAAGCTTGCGCTTTCCCCATGGTCTTCAAAGCTAGCCCCATCTTTCAACGCGTATTCTCTCTTGAAGACTAGCGTCCAAAACATCATAGGATCTCCTCGGTTTTCGTCGACCTTAGGATGGCGCGCGGTGGCGGATCTCCCCTTCCAACCCCTCTGCCAAAAGTCTCCTTTGTGAAGGTGCAAGACGGCTACTCGTCGCGGCCCGCGGGTGTCCACGACAACATAGCGAAGGTGTATGGATGTGAGTGGAAACCATTCTACATATGAAGCTCTCAGCTATAATCCCCCAGACAATGATGGGTCCGACTTTGAGCGACCACAGCACTATCTTAGGTACATTGGTGAGCAACCTGAGCTCTATCCAGCCACTATCTCCGTTGCTCATCATCCGAGTACCTAGAACCACTAGAAAGCGAGCTCGCTGAGCAAGTGGAGTATGATATGGACGAGCAGGGTCAGTTCAACTACCGCCTATTGCTCCCGCCTCAATCTCATTGCGTCTCGGGGCGCGCAGATCAGGAGTGGCTTGATGCAGTGAATGCCGAGCGCAAGAAGCTGCAGCTCGATTCCGTCTCGTACGAGTTCTTCGAGATCGTTATGGACCGCCTGGAGAAGGAGTGGTTTGATCTGGTATGCATGCACGTTCTCTTGCCAGAATGATCACCAATGCCGAAAAGTGCTCTGCAGACCAAGAACGTACCAAAACCTGACATGGCATTACCTTCGGAAGATTCAACGTGTGCTATATGCGATGATTCAGAGGGCGAGAACACTAACGCCATTGTGTTCTGCGACGGGTGCAATCTTGCGGTCCATCAAGGTAGGTGTAATGAAACAACGTATATAACAGGGTTTGAATGCGCTGCAGACTGCTATGGTGTTCCCTATATTCCAGAAGGTCAATGGCTCTGCCGTAAATGCACCGTCTCTCCGGAGAATCCTGTGGTAAGAAGTGTATCCATGTTCTTATTTTGTGAACAAATGCGTGATTATTGTATGATCACAGTCATGCATTTTGTGCCCTAACGAAGGTGGCGCCTTCAAACAGACAGCGCATGGTGACTGGGTGCACTTGCTCTGTGCTATCTGGGTGCCGGAGACTCGCGTTGCAAATGACGTCTTCATGGAGCCCATCACAGGCATTGACAAGATATCCAAGCAACGCTGGAGACTAGTATGCACCCCGTCATTTCTGGCTCCTGCTTCGTACTGAGCATACCCTGGGCCCGTAGAAATGCTCTATCTGCGACGTCAGAGAGGGCGCTTGCGTTCAATGTACTAAGGCCTCCTGCTTCTTGGCGTTCCACGCAACATGTGCGCGTAAGGAGAAGCTCCTGATGCCCATGAAGGCCACGCAAGGTTCTGAGGCGCCGACGCTCGCGTGCTTCTGCGAGAAGCATCTCCCCGTACGTTCACTATGCGTAACACACTGTCACGCCTCTAATCTCAGAACCAGAAAGAACAGGCTGACATCCGCGACGCCGCGCTTGTAGCTGAGCGCGCTGCCGAAGGTGAGTGCGGTGACGAGAAGAACCCGAGCCCGAAGTCGTCCAAAACGGCACGCGCGTACGCCAAGACGTACAAGCCTGGACCGCCGCTCGTGCCCCACATCATCGTCGAGCGCATTTTGCAATATATCACGAGGCTGAAGCTGCGCGAGAAGCGCGAGTTCGTGCTGCTCGTGTGCAAATACTGGAGCCTGAAGCGCGAGGCACGCCGGGGCGCTGCGTTCTTGAAGCGCCTGCACTTGGAGCCATGGACGGCATCATCGACTGGGAGACAGCAGACGGAGGAGGAAAAGACAATCAAGCTGGAGGTATGTTAGGAAGAGAACAAACTGGAGATGACTGTGCTGACAGGTTACCTCGACGCAGTACTTGAAGCGCTTGAGGCAGGATCTCGACAGCATGCGGAAGATTGCTGCCCTGTGCCAGGATCGAGAGAACCAGAAGCTCGAGCGCGTCCATACAATCCAAGAAGTTCTGAATATCTTCTTGTTTAGACACGAATCCACGATGCGACTTGCGTTTGAGAGGATCAGAGGGTAAGCGCGTGATGCCGCTGCCATGCCGTATATCTAATAGTTCTCGTACAGTGCAGACAGACAGGGTGTCTTCCAAGATCCAGTGTCGAAGGCAGATGTTCCCGATTATTACGACATTATCCAGCGTCCCATGAGCTGGAGTGTCATAGATCGTAAGCTGGACGGGCACGAATATCTAGACCTCCGCGAGTTCAAGGTAGTTAGTTGCCTCTAGAGACACACGCTCATGCTCACTGTGGCTTTGCTAGGACGATGTTAACCTGGTCATATCGAACGCGATGACGTACAACAAGCCAACCACTCCGTTTTACAAGGTCGCCCAGAAGATCCAGACGACAGCTGAGCCCATACTCGCTGAACTGCATAAGCTCTCCTCTCGTCAGGCGCCCCATGACCAAGGTGTGGAGACGCAGGAAGTTTCCCTCTCGGAAATTGGTGACCTCGAGCCACCGCTCCCCATCATCGACATGCTCCTCTCCGACGAATCCTTCAAAGAAGACATCGACCTCATTCTCAACAAAGACCCACTAGCCTCGCTGTACAGTTACGAGCTACCCAAGATGAAGCCACCACCACCGCCACCACCGCCGCCGCCGCCCAAAATCAAGATCGACCGCAGAGCAGCGCTCGCACGCAAGCGACAGGAGCGTATGGACAAGGGGCCGGCTTTCCGGGCACCGCGAACGCGTCGCGCGGCCGCAGTGTACGCGCAATTCGAGGAAGAGGTGGGAGAGCAGACCCCAGCTGTCGGCACTGCTGAAACATCTGCTACTGTAACTATAACCCAACCGGAGGCGGGCCCTTCGAGTCAGCCCGCACGGGCAGAGGGCAGCACCCCGTCAAAGAGCGGAAGAAAGCCCAAACGCAGTATACAACCAGGTACACAAGTAGAGGCACCTCAGATGGTGGAGGGTTTGGACTCGCGGCAATCGTTCGCTATGTTCGACAAAGGTTGGATATTGTCGCCAGACACACGGCGTGGCAACAGGCCACGTCAGCCACCGCCCCCGACTCCGACTCCGAAGAAGAAGGGCAAAACAAGTAGGTCGAGTTCGCCGTGTATATTTTGTGCCTTCCTGATATTGGATAATTAGTCGTGGTTCGTGGCAAGTCACATTTGTCCGCTTTCAGCACGACCGCTGCCGAAAACGAAACTCTGCTAGCGGCAGCTCCCGGCGCACAGACGCTGCCAGAGCAGGTGGATACATCTATCGCGAAGCCGCATGAGCATGTTATCGCCGAGGCGGGCACATCCAGTGTGTCCGTCGAAGAGCCGCCTGATATTCACATCGAAGACGTATCCGCTGGCCCTGCACTCGAGACGTCTGACGAGCCGATGGACATCGACCAGCCAAGTGTAGAGCCGCCAGTTTCTGCTTCAGATATCAAAGAGGCACGGTTACCGGAAGAAGCGGAGTCACAGCAAGCAGAGACACAACCCGACGTGCAGACTGAGGTGCAACCCGAGGCACTCCCAGACATGCAGACTGAAGTTCAACCCGAGGCGCTCCCAGATGTGCCACCCGAGGCACTCCCAGAAGATGTGCAACCGTTAGACATGCAGGCAGAAACACAGTCAGAGGAGGCACAACCAGAAGCACAACCAGACGTACAAGCAGCTGCAGATCCTGCGGCGCTGCCAGACGTACCGCCCGACGCGCCAATGGACGTACAAGTAGAATTGCAGCCAGAAGTAAAAGCAGAGATACAGCCTGACGTACAGCCTGAAGCTCCCACCGATATGCAGCCGCAGGTAGAACGAGAGGTGTCCCCGCAAGCCCTGCCGGAAGCTCTGCCGCCGCCACAGCCGGAAGTCCAATCGTCGGCCCAACCGGAAGCACAACCACAGATGGCAGCACAGCCGCAACTGGACGCACCAGCGCAGCCCGAAATGCAGCTCGACGTCACACTCCAGGTCGAGTCTGAGGCATCCGTTGAACGTCCCGAACCTCAACCCACCGTCGTCGATGTGCCGGACACGCCCGCGGTCCGCCGCGAGAGACTCGCGCGTCGCAGATCGGACAAGCTGCGCCTGGGCTTGGAGCCCGCGCCACAGCCTGCCCCGGATGCTATTTCTCCTATCGTGTCAACCCTGCCCGATGGGCGCACAATCCGGCGGGAAGGCGACATCGTTGTCATTGAGGAGCTGGACACGCCAGCCATACGCCGACGGAAGCATTTGCTGCGCAAGATCGAGAGAGCGCGGTTGGAGGCTGAAGCAGCAGCAGCAGCTGCAGGGATCGACCCGCACGCGCCAGCGCAGCCCGGCGCTGGTGAACAATCAGTCGCTGGAGTTTTGCAGCCCAGCGAGCGTGCAATCGTGAGCCAATTTGCAGAGCTCGAGGACGTCGATATGGGCTCCGAGCTGTCGTCATTGAGCGACTTGAGCGACGAGGAGAGGGAAGCCCAGGAACCCATCACGCCACCGCCACCGCCACCACTACCACGGCCGATTCAGCCCATCCCGAGAAGACAGTCAACGGTTGTACCACTGGTAGGGAAAGGGCGGGAAGACGCAATCCTCGAGCGCGGGCTCATACAGCTCGAACCGGGTACAGTGCTGGAGGGGGGCACCCTCGGTGCGTGCTCATTCACTTTCAATGCGCCATTCATACTTATTTATTAATACGTGTAGTATGGGCAAAGATGGGTGAGTGCATCGTGGTGGGTTGGAAAACGAGATCGTGGACTGAGATCGGACTTAGATGCCTTTCCATGGTGGCCTGCTGTGATTTTCGAGTCGGACGATCCTTATGTCCCGCCTGAAGTCTTCCGATTCCATAAGGCACCACAGGGAGGCGATTTGACGCACCTCGTGCGATTCTTCGACAAGAGGAACTCATGGTACGACCATCTGCACGCATGAGAAGTTATACGTTACTGATCGCCGCTCGAAGGCAATGGGTCCCTCTTGAAAAACTGCGCATGCTGGGCGAGGACAATGGTGTGTAAGACGTGTATTCGTCGTCTTTCCAGCGTTGAAGGAATCTTGCAGAATTCGATGAGTTGATGTTGACGCACTCCAAGCTGCAAAAATTCAAGCATAAGAAGGTCTGCCAGGAATGTAGAGATGCTTACAGGTGTGTTTCATCGCATTAAGAATTTAGACATGCAATTGACAGCCTGCGTCAGGCGTGCGATGGCTGAGAAGGAGACCGACGGCGAAGGCGACCACGCTCCCGAGTCGGAGGATGATACCATGGCCATTGTGAACGAACCCCCCGCTATCACTGAACCCCCTGCAGAGGTGTCAACATCTGTAATGATACAAGATGACGGCCTTGGAGGAGATAGCCCGATGACGGAAGTCGAGTAGAGTAAGCGTTTCCAGCTCACTGTAGCGCTGTTGTTGTATTGTGTACTCATCTATTAGTTGAGAAATGATAAAATTATCTCTCAGAACGAGACCAACTTTGATGGTGGTCAAGCAATCGTGATTCTCGAGTACTTGAGTTACGAGTTGGCCGTAGACTCTGTGGTCTCATGGGTGCCATGAGGCGATCTGGAACCGGTGGACTAGCGCCAATGATCGATCACTGCGTAGTCGCCGAAAAAGTCGGATATCACTTTTGGACAGCATCTTCTATCCATCGTTATCTCTTAAAGAAGCTTGATGTGCTAGTACATATAACTGGATATCCTCCCGTCCGGCATTTATACTCCTGTCATGACCTCTCGAGTCGGACGTGCGCAACTTGCGCTCTCCTCTACTACCTCGCGCCTGAGACTCATCCAGTCTATTCTCGTCTTGTTGGCTGAACCCTTACAACGAGATCCCTGCAACGGGGCCAGCTGAAGAGAATTGGAGGTTGGGTTATTCATAATACTCGTAGAGAGAGGTCGCTCAATGATAGTAAAAATGATGCCAAGGTCACTGTCACCGCGTAGAGCTGTACCTCCTGGCGGCAGCATCGGCGTCAAGCCCTATAATGCTAGCCCAGAATGCGATTGTTTTCGTGCTCGCAAATCTTTGGCGGGAAAATAATCAAGAAGCCCAAGTGAGTATGCAGGTTTCTGACAACATGGGGTTTGCGGTAACTGGACCGGTCACTTTTTTCCTCCAGTTATTGTCATTTAATGACAGGGCCGGTCCGCATTTACGAATGCGCAAATCCATCTTGCCAATGCCGTGCCATACCGCTCCGCCGACAGATCGACCACGCAAGCGAAGATGCATGAAGTCACACTCATTCTCAGTTCTCGCCACTTCCTGTCCTCGCCTCCCACAAGAGCTAATCGATATGGTGATCGACATCATGCGTGACGATCCAGCCGCGTTGAAGGCATGCACTCTCATCTCTCGTGCTTGGACGAAACGCGCCCGTGACCTGCTGCTCGAGAGAGTCTATGTGCAGACGAATAGCTCTCTACAGCACCTCTCCGAATCCCTGCGGAAGCCCCGAAGACGAGTCTCCCTCGATGACACACGCGAGCTGCATGTTCACGACAACCACGAGAACCCATTTGCCCACATCGTTCCGCACTTCCTAGCACCCCACACAAGCAAGATCAGTACCCTGTGCCTCCACGATGTCAAATGGGACGGCCTCGAATCGCGCTTCCACCCTAGTTTCTTTGACTACCTCCCGCTCTTCACCTCCATCACGTGTCTTGCAGTGTCGTCTTGCACATTCCGCTCAGTATGCGACCTCGAACGCCTTCTTGCTGCTTTTCCGAAGCTGAACGATGTGAACCTTCGCGACATCGATTGCCACACTGTGGCGGATCCCAATGCGGGGTACAAAGTACCTTCTGGGAGCTATCGCCGCATCACTACCGTGTATTACAACTCTCTGACCCTACGGGATATGCCATCCAACGTAGTCGCCTCCTTGTGCGACTGGTTCACCGCTAGCCCAGCATCCGTAGACATGCGAAGCCTGACCATCGGTGGGATTCAAGGATCCGGGTGGGAGCATTCCTTGGACAATCTGCTCCCGCGACTGGAGCTATCCTTGCAGCATCTATGCATTCCATTCACTCAGAGAGGTCAGCCTAAAATTAGTCGATGAACCGCGAGACCGGTTTAACGATCAGCCTTGGACAGAGCACGTCACCTTGCACCTCAGCTCGAAGTTGGAGACGCTCGAACTAAGTTGTTGCTCGTTTGATGCACAAGATTGGAGCCACGCATGCACTAAACTCAACACGATACTTTTGGTGATAAGGCGAAGCAATGTCAAGACACTCCGATTGGAGTTGGCCGTCTCTCCGAGTACGAGAAGCCCTTGCGCGGGGGATATGTCTTTGGAAGACATCGCGGATGCTGACATGCGCGAAAACCGTGATATCGATAGGCAGTACGAAAGCGAAATATCGATCGAGCTCATGCGCCAATGCAGCGCCTTAACCGAGGAGCGCGCGAAGGAGTTTTTCCACCGTATGATGTTCACGCTGTGTGGTAATGACAAATGGAATGCACGAGGCGTCTTCCAATGTTCGCGACGCACGGGTCGTAACTCTTCTCGGATAGAGTTTTACAGGTACGGGCACTTTCATAACCAGTTCATCAGAGTTTCATCCTGACACGTCGTACTACAGAAGCTAGTTGAGTAATGCCAGTCCTCGCCTGTGGGGGAGGGGGAAGGCGGGCGATGGTCCCCCTATTTTTCCTGCCCCACACTTGCGTGGCCTGGCTATCCACCTGTATCCGTATTTTTGCAGATAATCTTAGTGTGCTTATTGACATAGGACCGCCTCCTGCTGTGCGTCTGACTTATCAGATCACCCCAGTTTCGAGTCGAAACGCTTCCTCATGCTATTATATGCGCATCCGTGAAGCAACGAGCTCAGAATTCATAGCACAAAACGCATGATCATAGTCGCGCTCATCGTATGCTTCACAATATTTTGGCACCGGCGTCGCCTACCAATTCGGTATTTATATTTAAGGGCCCAAGTGCTAGGAAGACAGCTCACGCCTCGACAGTGAGTTCGCCAAAGGATGGTACCAGCCCCTTCCACGCGATCAACTCGCAAGTTCGCCATGTCTATAGACGCAGGTCGAGCGGTGAGCCCAGTTGACCTTTCTATCCCACACAGTCGTTCAGGAGGGTGCTGGCATTAGTGAGTGGCCATACTATTATCCGTGCTCTTGTTGGCCTCTGGCTCAACAACTAACCCGTCACATAAACAGAAGTTACCGCGTATAGATGGCTATACCTCCGACCTCGCAAAGTCTATCCGTGAATAACGTCGGCCCGTGCGATGCAACGCATCGCATAATATTCCACTCGTCATCACCAGACAGCATGAACACCATAAGGTGGAAAAAGTTGGGATCCCCCATTTCGATGAAATGCGAGCGGAATGTCAGAGGACCACTCGGGTATGTCCAAGTACGCATCACTGTCTTGTATTGGCTGTCGCCGGCTTTTATGATGGATGTAGCTCGCGCAGTAAATCGAATCTGGTATACCCGGAGGCTGCGGACCATACATCATGATATCTTGATCAAGTACCAATCCAGCAACGCCAGTGAACAAGAACAGCTGTCAAACGAGCTACAAGGCGATGGATTCGTTGCACCTCTCGGTGATAAGAATACAGTACGGTGACTACGGTACCAAGTATGTACGGCGTGAATGCGCGAATTGGCACGAGTATGTCCAAATTGCGATCGATACCTCATCAAGATAGTCTCCCCAGGAACACACATCAATCCTTTCAAGCCTACTATATCCAGACGAGTAGAATGCAGTACTTGGCGCTGGATATACCGATTCAGTGTTGGGCCAGTCGTCTGCCAGTCGTCCCAGTCGTTCCCACGACTGGGGCGATTAATCGACGACTGTACGACAGTCGAAAAGTCGCCGCGACTTTCCCACGGCTTGCGCAGACACGGCCCAATATTCACGTGCGCAATTCTGACACGCAGGCGCCCGAAGAGTCCAAAGAGGCATCGTCGGATCAGGGCATGGACGAGGGGCCAATGACTTCACTTGGCTGCCTCTCCCTGTCACTGAGAGATCTATTCGACTTCAAGATCCCACAAGGATGGAAAACAGGCTCAGGCATATTTGCAGGATGAAGTTGAGCTTCATAAGCTTCTCGACTTCTCATCTTCGATGCACAAGATAGTCTGAACTGAGTGCTGAGTCTCTGCTCATAGAATTTATATGTATTCTCATTTACACATATTGCTAGCATCACATCCTGTTGCGTATGGTATTATTTTGTGGCCAAATCGCCTTCCCATTCCCGCATCACCTCTAGCGTCAGGTGTGGCTGAACGGTCGTGGGAATAGTCGCTGCCGTGGGAACAGTCGTCGTCGCTTGTAGTCGTTTCGACTGGCATCATGCGACTAAACGACAGTCGCGCGATCATTTGACGACTCGCACAACACTGTACCGATTAGTGTTGTCTTTCACGGTAATTATCAGAATCATCGCGCAAATTATGCCTAGATATCAAATACAATCTATTCAATTTCATCCTGATCGCCAGAGACAATTTTCAATAATGCCAACCCGGAGCATAGTACTAAGCACCTGAATTAAAATGCGCTGAAGTGGAATTTCGAATGCTATTATGAAGCTCCACATGCTCACCGGGGGTTGCTGATTGGCTGACCAACATTGGAACTATATTCGATGGATATCTATCCAACTACTTATCTGCATCAAAACGGGCGCTCTCTTTGTAGGCTGCCTACTAATGGATATCAGGGGTGCTAAATTTCAATATTGCCTCCGGTGTGACCCCACTCTAGAAGCTGCGAACATTGAGGATCGGAGGTAAGTGGTTGGTCCATACCGAATATGTTACTCATTTGTCATGATATCCGAGGGTCCGAAGACTTGGTACACTTCCGAGGACTATGTGTACAGTAAGCCTCCACAAACGCGCGGTGCAATATTTACTGGTCAGACACTATGGCCCGTAGCCGGAGATAGGAAAAGTTTTATATCCCGCTCAGGAGACTCATCCATATATTGTCAGGCAGCCATATTGAAGTAGCGCCTTGTGCATGAATAATATAAGGGTGAGCCATGGGCTGAGGCCTCCACTAGCTTATTGACGTTTCCGTGGCATTGTCGGTGCGTACGTCAACATTCTGTAACCCCTTATGTACGTGCATTGATTACACTACGCACAGGCCACAGCGGCAGCGCTACTAACGTGCCGAGGACAGACATTCTTCCCAAATGTCCAGGCAGATTTTTATACAGAGCGAAACGTCTCTGCGGCGTGTCTCAGAATATAGTCGTTTCTTCCTAGATGACTCAGAGTCTCGTGCACTCCATATTCACGACAATCGCAAAAGGCCATTCGCTCACTCGTCCCCCTTATTTCTGGCAGCCTACATCCGTCCACGAACTCTTTGCCTTCGCGGAGCGATATGGACCGGCCCTAAGTCACGCTTCCATCCTGACAGTTTCTTCGACTACCTCCCGCTCTTCGCATCCGTGACCTCTCTCTGGGTGTCTTCATGCACGTTCCGCTCAACACGCGACCTCGAACGCCTGCTTGCCGCGTTTCCTAAGCTCGATAATGTGGTTCTCCACAAAGTCGACTGTTTCGCCGCCATTAAGGAACCTTATGCAGGGTTTGTCGCTGAGCGTCAAATTGCTCACGATGACTATCGTCGTATTACAGCCATCTGTTACAACTCTTTGACGTTCTGGGACGTGCCGTCAGGAATCGTTGCGTCCCTCTTGAATTGGCTGGCTTCTGGCCCCGAGCGTATGACAATACAAAGCCTTACCATCGGTGGCATCGAAGTCCCTAGCTGGCAGCATTTCACGGAGACGTTACTCCCAAGGTTTAAACCGTCCTTGCAGAACCTGTGCCTGCCGTTCGCTCCAAAAGGTCAGTCATATTTCAATGGTGGCTCACAAGCTTGCTTGACGCCTAAATCTGCGACAGAGCACGTCAGGCTGATCTCCAACACCAAGTTGAAGGTGCTCGTGCTGAACTGTTGCATTTTCGGTGCAGAGGACTGGAGTCATGCCTGCCATGCAGTGGGCTCCTTCCTCTCAAAGATTCAGAAGAGCCAGCTTACGGCGCTACTGTTTGAGCTTGCCGACGCGACATCTCAGAGCGATGGCAATGACTGCTGCACAGGGGACGCATTTGTAGGGAACATGGCGACTGTAACCATGCGCGCAGACTGTAGTGCCGCTAAGTCACGCTTCCCTGCATGCTTGGGTGTGCTCGCTAATAGGTTACCTATCGAGCACGTGCGGCAGTGCCATGCCTTGAGCAACGCAGATGCCAGGAACTTTTTCCATCAACTAATGTTTGGCCTGTGCGGCGCTGATGGTTGGAACGCTTGTGGAGTTGTACGATGTTCCCCGTGCATGCCCCGGAAATCTTATGGGATCGAGTTCTCTAGGTACAGACATATCCTTTGTCAATTGGCCATATTCGTCCTCACATGTCACAACATAGATAAGAGACGAGTGGACACTGGATAGCGGTCGTCGCTCACGGTGGCACGACTAGTGCTTCTCCTCGGACCCAGTTATAACCACCATGGAAAAGGCATGATAATTCTGGCAGGAATAGAGACTGAAGGCAATATCAAATAACGGTGTGTAACATAGCTTGTAGCCAGTAAACACGTAAGGTACAGAACGAGCGGTGTAACTTGTTACCATGTGATCTACTGCCTTGAGTGTCGACTGTACTTCCAAAAAAAGGTAGCAAATGTGTCCCCGTTGCTATGCTTGATGCTTCTTCCCGTGAGGTTGTACTAATCTTGTGTCCGGCTTTATATTCTCCTATATAATTCCCCCACATACTCATTAGCCAAGTCATGCCCATTACTGCTTTATGATCGAAGCTCTTGCCATATTGAGGTGGATATTTTGAGGTGCGATAAAACGGCCTCCGTTCGCAACACGGCATGCACGCCGAGGAGAACTCTGACGAAACCAGAACACCGCTCTGGAATTTCAACCGCTTTTGAGGTAACCGATAAGCATTTATTTTTTGAGCCAATGAAGCATGATGTCGACATTGGGACTCGGGGCAGCAGACGCGCGTCGATTCATGTTGGGCTTCTTACTCCGACCGAAGGTACGCTGCATCAATCTCTATTGAAGACGTGCGGGTACCGTGGTAAGAGTAGAAGATAGATCGCGTAGTAACTGTATCGTATGTAGCCGTAATTACTAGTCAGATTATACGGTAGTCTATATTTCGTCCATTGAGTTAGACGCTACGTACAATTCACAACTATACTAGCATTTCTTATAGGTTTCTATCGTGCACCGATCCGTGTAAGATCACAGCAGCGTATCATACATACATTGCTAGGAGTTTACACGGACCGGCGCACTTCAATTGTTGTTCGAGAAAATGGTGACCTGATATGTGTACAGGGTTGCAACAGGCCGTACTTAGGTTGCATTCCAGGGGTCAGCGCCTCTCTCTCTCACAGGACACCAGTACGATATTCCTTCCCTGCCTTATCACGGCGTGACATGACCTCCGAATACGCGTTTCATGCACTTTGCGCTCAAGAGTCGGCCTCAGAAAGGTTTCTTGCTGCGTACGTGACCCTTCATGAAATCGATTTTCACGACGTCATAACTTCTAATGCAGGGGATGTCAGGCTCGCGGGGTACCAGACACTGTCCGGGAACTATTGGCGCACCTCTGTCGTCAATAGCAACTCCTTGACATTGAGGGATATCCTTGTCCGGAATGGCCGCCAGCGACGTTTTCTATTGCCCGGTGTTTGTATCGTGCGATGCTGAGAAATGGAGAGCTTGCGATATTCGCGGCGCACAAGCCAGAATTCATCGATCATCCCGGATCGAATTTGCAAGGTATAGGCATCTACACTAGAGTTTATCAGTAAAATAGCTCCTCACAGCGACAACATAGTAAATCAAAAAGGGTGGAGAGGGATAGCGAGCTGCTGTCTCTCCGTGTCACTGTAGCAGAATCGCACATGCTAGATAACATTGAGTAACTTACCGCGGTGATTCATCCTATTGCACGTTATCGCATATTCGCCGTTCACAAAGGCACAAAAGACGAGCCCAAGGGCCAGGGTTGAGAGGGAAGAGTCACATGCGCACGTATGCTAATCTCATGTTCTTGCTACGCGCTGCGCGAGATTACCAGACCTTGGTTTCAAGGTCATTCTCACCGAACATACATGTGTGTACATAGTGGAATGCCGAAGTCCCGACTTTCTGACCCACCATAAGTACAAGCCAAACGTGGCGCACCTGTATAGGACAGCGGAGTAGGACTAGCTCGGATAGCGAGCACTGTGCCTGTGAATATCATGCAGTAACATGCCATGTCCTTCGCAGTTATCTGGCCTCCTGGTATCGATGACCGTCAGATCGGCAACCATCATCGGCTCATAGAAGTCGCAAAGGATGAACTTACAGGTAACGGTGGTGTCACAACGCAAATAATACTTTCAAATTACCCCATACTTTCCGTCGCGATGAGCTTAGGGCGCGTTTCACATGCTCGCGACAGACTACGCAGAGCCCCGTATAGAAATGGTCAGGACAATCGGCCAGAATCTGTGCGGTCGGAATAGACGCCATGACACAGCGCATAAGCTGGTTCAACTCATCCCTGCATGACAGCAAATTGCGGCATCTAGTGCCGAAGTTCGCGTCTGGAGGTAGCAAGACCTCCGTGAAGGCGAGCGTCATGCTCAACTCCAGCTCCGACTTCCCGCGGAGCACGCGTGCGAGGTCTTCATCAGAAAGTTTCTCTGGAGGGGAGCAAGGCCCCCGCCTGATTCCGTAAACAAGCGGAGACATTGGAAGTTGGCCGGTACGGCGACAGTAATAGAATGCGACGGGAAGGATGCGATCTAGAGGCGAAGGCTCGATCCTGCGGGCAACGTTTATGACGAATATCGCTGTGCCGTCATCCATGGGATCCTCGTCGACGCGATAACGATTATGGTCCTCGAACTTGGTGCTATATATCTCTTCGAGGCGAACGATTGCTTCCTTCATGAGGGGCGGGATGTCATACTTATGAGACAGGGAGGCAATCGATGTTCCTATGCGAACCACCTCGTTCGCGCTTTGGGTTGCACAGGGCAAGAAGAAACTGGTGGCGTATATCACATAAATGAGAGTGCAGTCCTTACAATTGACGGAGGCTGCACTTACAACCTATTGTAGATCGCACGAAGTAAGTGCTCTAGCATGAAGGCATCATCTGCAAGCTCGACAGTAGGGCAGCCGTCCATATTCACGACGTCAGAGGACTGCGGGATGGAAAACATATCCCGGAAGACCGACGACTGTTGGGAGAGGATAGATCGATGGACGCGGAAAGCACGATCTTGGGCGATCAGCACAACACTGCCGTCGTCGTACCACAGATCGTCGACGCGTTGTGCATTGTCCATGTTTTCTATACGTAGGTGTTAGCAGCGAGTAGGAATGTAGTCTCGAGACACGACTCTGAATATTCTTACATACGCAGTTACTAGTCTACTATCTAACGCGGGCTCTCGTCGAGGAGGTTAGCGTTTCCGATCGCCGCTGGAAACTGCAGGAAGGCATCAGCGGAGTAGGAAAGTAATGATGGGGCTGGCGGTATCAATTGTCTGCATAGTGACATCTTCATTCTTCGTGCTTGCAGAGCCCGCCATTGAGAAATATAATACCCAGACTCTAGAAACAACGTACATGTGTGGGATGAAAGAGAAAGAGAAAACGCGGCAGGTCGGCGCCCTCCTCAGCTGCGCAAACAGCCGCTGGTCCGTGCGCACCCTCGCGCGCCCTATATAAGCCGCACTCAAACACCGTGAATCTTTACCACTCTGGCCTTTTGGCTTAGATCAAGTGTAGTATCTGTTCTTAATAGTTTAACCACTATTATGGAGGCACCGCCTCCATTATTGGTTATCCAATTTTTGCCGCCCTTGCCTTCGGGCTCTGCTTGCAACCCGGAGATTCGATGACTTTGCCACTGCAGTGCCGGCTTGTGTCGTCGGGGGATCTCGCTCTTTCTTTTTGTTGGCACTTTCTGTCGCAGCATTTGCTGTGATGCGGAGTGTTGGCAAATGGATTAAGCTTGTTTCTTAATTGCTTTTTGCTTGTGCTCAGAATATGTGGTATGTTTACAGATGACATGTTGCCTTGCTGCATTTTTACATTGGGTATTAGAGAACATTATATCACATTGAATGGGGATATTGAGATAGAGTGGAGAAGTAGTAAAACATATTCAGATTATGAGTCTGAGAAACACTGATCCAAATTAAAATATTTTCCAATGCGTGGATTGCTTGTGTATGGGTTGATATTCTGGACCCACCCATTGAGTGTCTGGTGCAGGCTGTGATGGCATTTCCCATCAGCCAATGTGGAATAAAATGAACCCTTCAGATGAGACATACTAGTCGAGGTTGTTCTGACATCTACAGCAGGGCCCTTTGGCCGGTGCAGTGGCCTGACCCTGAAATACTTGCAGATGAGTCATGCATGAGATGCGTTGCCTGAAGTGAACGTACATATGTCATGCCCGCCGGCCAGCCGTTGTAGTTCCCGAGCGTCAGGAGTACGTTCCCATTATTGTTCTTCAACACTGTGCTGAAGTATTTTGTCCCCGTCTTGATATTGTAGTCCTGCGCATACACAACATTCAGCATCGCTCGCGCTGAATGTGCAGACGAACTTACAACATCCTTACAGTTGCCATTCGGCGCGCTGCCACACTTGTCTTGCGTAAGTTGCATGAGTCCCTGCTCACCCGCGCCGCCGACCGTGTTCGCATTGCACGTGCTCTCCTGCATCGCAATAGCTGCGATGAGGATCGGGGGGACTGCACACCACCACACGCTCATGTCAGCCACGGTTACATAGGGACATAACTGTACACGAGCACTCACCACCATACTTGGTCGCGTACTTCTTGAACGTCGCAACGTACGCGCTGCACGCGGTGAACGGCGAGCCGGGCTCCAGTAGTGCAGCGTCCAGGTCCTTTGCGATAATATCGTTGGCCGTGACGAAAGGCGGTCGCCAGCCACCGTCGCCGACGCCGCAGTTGAGCCAGTCGATGTTGCCGTTTGGCCCGCTGATGGGTGTCACATTCGCTGGGATGTGCCGGTCAGTCAGTCGGCGTCGTGAGGGAAGGGGGGACGAGGGGCTTACGGGTCGCGCCGGTGGGTCCGCAGGCGGACTGAACATTTATAACGTTTGACGTGACATTGAGCACGAAGGACGGGATGCTCGCATCATTCAGGTTCTGCTCTGTCTGTGCGGGGTCAGGAAGGCGGACGGGGGGCGAGGCGGTGCGGAGGCGCACCTTGTCCTGGCGCTGTGCGCCGCAGCGGCCGTTTGCGCGGCGTGCAAGACGCGAGTGCTGGCTCTGCCGGTGCGTGCGGGAGTCGTCAAGGTGTGCATGACTCGCGCACACGCACTCAATGGCGAGGGCAAGTAGGAAGAAATGAGCGACGAGGTGCATTGGGCCTGGTGTGTGAAGTACGGACGCGGGGAACGAGGATGAACGGTCGGAAAGTTGAACATGACGCCGTCACACGTTCCATGCAGGTAAAGTGTCGATCGGCTCTGACATGACAGGCGATCCAGGCCTTGGAGTCTTGCCTGAGGACCGTCGCTCTAATGCACAGCTCAGTTTCAAGTTGATTGTGTGGTCTGCACGACGCTGCGGACCTCGTAGGTCGGCTCCTGGCGGCTAGTTTATGCAGATAGCAGACATTCTACCTTCGTTGTCTCGCATAAGCTTGGGATAAAGTGACTTGAACTTGAATGAACTTACAGGCAACATGGCTCGATCGATTGATCGAGTTCCAGCCTGAGGTTTATAGATGGCTTGCACACGGCGGAGATGGAAATCACTTGGCGGCGACGACAGCACATGAACGCAGCACGATGATATGCCGTTCGTTGAGCAGTGCGATACCTGAGAGGTAGAATTACGGGTTACAGGACGTAGTAGGGACCTGGCAGCGACTGCGACGCAGGACGACTCGGGGACAAACAAGATAGCCAAGCTCGGCGCTGGTGGTCGTCAACTCTTGTTGCAAATCGACGAGTTGAGAGGGACATGTACACAGCGATGAAGCTTTCGACCAGGCTGACAGTTGAGTCCATGCCGTGAAACCTGTTGAACTCGTTGTGTGCGTAATCGGACTTTCAGCGGGGATGAAGGACTCTGAAACTAACGGCTAATTTTGGTGAATTATGGCTATGCCGGTACTTTGCCGGGCCCAGCCAGGCCATGATTCCGAAGTCCCCATCAACCCCGCTTGCGCACAAATATTCTCGGGTAAGTCTATAGTAATCTCGGCGCCAATCATAATCGCGGGCCTTGAAATCTGGAACCTCGACATTGTGAAAAGAAATGTCCTAGTTGGAACCAATCGTTATCTTTCATGAGGAAACCTCGAGGGATACTCATATACTCGTTCGACACCTCCGGCAGTGGGATATTCCTTGCTTTTTAACGGTGTAAATCCACATGTTCTCCGCACGAGACAACACCCGACATTGCTCGCTTCTCCCGTTGATCGCTGGATATCTACCGTGCCTACAAGTTCATTTCTGCACTATGACGAATACTAGCCTGGGCCTCGGCGGTACAGGAACTCACGAAGGATGATCTTACGCCGTATGCACGACACGCTCGCATAGTAATATCCAGGATGGATATCTGCAAGTTCTGGAAGTCACTCAATGGTAGGTAGTAAGTGGGCATCGCACCAGTGCGTCGGAGGTGAGGAACTAGAGTATCCGTCACTGGTCACGCCATGAGGCGGTATCCTGAAGTAGGTTTACGCAGACTCTAGATTGCATGGATGCGGTGCCTTGCGGTGCAAGTTGCAGGTATATGCAGTCGCACAAAACTGTCCCCATACCTCTGGCCTTCCATGCGCAATCCTCTCCTCTAGACAGTCGAGCTGTCTGTTGATGTGACGCCCAATAATACTTAGCGCTTCCGGCTCTATCAGAGAGGGCGCGTTCGAGACCTTCCTTGGCGGCCGCTGAATGTCAATCAACCTTGATCGGACAAGTATTCTCTTTGCTGATTCCACGATGACCGATTATCCAAGGATGACAACATGGTAAAGTCAAGGGAGATATTGATTCACGCAGTAGATATCTGTCGCAGCAGCTCCATCCATGTATACACTGGTGTCGCCGGCTCAAAACGACCGTCCATGTATTCACTGGTGTCACCGGCCCAAGGAGTTCCGCCTGTAGTATGCCTCACAGATCTTCGGCATCCAAAAGGCCAGAGCTAGTCTGTGATTAGCTGGTAAGAGGGCCCTACCAGCATTTCCTCGCGTCGCACTAGTAAGCACAAGCTCATGCCTAACCCGATAATTGCATAGAAGGGGCAATATCTGACTATAACAACACGATGAAAGGTTGTGTATGCTGCTTCAAGGCCTGGCGTATCCCTCGATATTTGTCTATCCTCTCCGACAAACAGTTTGCTCTAACTCACAGACACATCGACAGCAACTGTTTATAAACATGCGTCGTGGGGTCGAAGGAAGTATGCCAACAATCTCCACCCGCCCTCACACAACTATCTCCACCTTCCTTCACACCACAATCGCCACCTGTCCTCACACGAATCCCTTGCGCCCAAATCGTTTATGTACAATGTCTTCTCCCGGCCAGCCTGAATATGACATTCGCAATAACCACCCGTGGTATCCTGATGCCCGAAGGGCTAGGGTGGCCGTCGACTCAGCGATTGGTGATGCTATGGTGAGCTTTATCAATACGCGTGATGAGAAGTGTATTCTGACAGTTGAGTGGCACCGACCCGCAGGCGCTGTGTAGAGAGAAGGTCCCCCAGGAACCATACAAGGGCCAGGAAACATCCTTTGTCTCGCGCAACGCATCGGCAGATTATCCGTCGACGGAAGGGGCGTTTGGGCTTGGTATTCCCCTCACTGAATGTCTCAAGCCTGCGGTCAAGAGCCGTCCCGACATGCAGGTCCAGGCGTTCCAAGAGCTTCCCCAGAAAACTACCAAGATTACGCTTCGCATCAATGTATTAAGTTCGACTATACCGTGGTAGTCCTGTGCTGACCCTCCTATGTAGTGGCCAGGTAAATACGAGGAGTACAGAAGCGGACAATACATCGTCAAGAACGCCAAAGGTATTATCAGCAAAGCAAAGTTGGCCGAAATTGTTGCTCTGGAAGTGCAGATGATCATCAGGGTTAGTCGCCTTTTGCTCTTGCGCTTATCTGTTGTAATCTCATTGGCTGGATGAAAGAACCAAAAGCTCGTGGTCAAAGATGGTGCCGTTGTCGACCCCGTATGGAAACTTGGGGATGACGGTATTCGTTTCGAGGAGATCTATCTCACCGAGATCAGGCATGTCTCGAAGGCGAGCCTGCAGCCCCATTTCGAAATCGTCCGTCGCACTTGATACACTGGTTTGCCTTTTATCCATTTTATGTGTTCGCGTCAACTGACATCAATCCTCACCGCCTATAGACCAATCGTGCTCATAGCCATCCGCAATGTGGATACACCGCTCCCTCGTCGCTACAGTCCGCTTTAAGGTTCTGATCCCACGCTGTGCTTGCGTTGGTCGCGTTCTCAGTCATATATCGCTCTCGTGTTGTGTAGTTTATTGAACATCAAAAGTGTATCAATACTAAATTATAGGTTATATGTACTTGAACGTCGCATATTACCGGCATCTTGCGCAGCTAGTCTAGTCTCAATAAGCGAGGCACTACATGTGTGGGAAAGATGGCTGTGTCTTCCCAACCTCCGCCAAATTTCCACAGCTCCGGATATCCATCCGCAACATTTAATTTCAGCTTTACCTTCCGATAAGGTTTACATTTCAAACGACGGTGTTGGCTTGTTAATAGATGGAGGTCAAAGACAAGTCATTCTCAGATTATCACGCGCGGAATATTGAGCCCTCAGAAGAATTCGCTATTTCGTCGAAAGTCGTCAACTAACATGATTATACTAATACTCCCGATGTGCATCTTGCACTGTGTCCCCTTAGTCGAGCTCGTCAAGCAGAGCACGAGCGATGGCCAAGTGCCGCCATCTTGAGCTGGGCAAAACGTATGGCTCAGGCTCGCGCCTATGGCTCTGCTTCCAGCTCTCGTACGCGCCGTGAACGGCTTCCGCGGCATTCGCCGCGTCGTTCACGATATGAATACCGTCCTCGATATCGGAAGCAACGCCGCGTCTGTGGCTTTGCTTCCAGCTCTCGTAGGCACCGTGGACTGCCTGCGCTGCATTCGCGGCGTCATTAACAATGTTAATGCCGTCCTCGATCTTGCTGGCGGTACCGCGCTTGTGGCTTTGTTTCCAGCTTTCGTACGCGTCGTGGATGTTGGTTACAGCATTGGCGGCATCACTCACGATGTTGATGCCCTTGTCGATATCGTCCACTTTGCCGCGGCTGTCATCATGTGTGAGCTATGAGCGCTTTATGAAGCAAGCGGGTGTACACATACGCCTGGTGTTCGACTGTGGGATGCGCGGCAGTGGGCTCAGGTAGAGCGTTGTGCTGCTCCGGGCGGTGTTCGGTCTCGTGCTGAGGTTGGGCCTCATGCTCCGCTGGGCGGCGCTCCGCCTCGTGATCAGGGTGTACCCTGTATCCCGCCGGGCGGCGTTCGTGTTCGTGGGCGTGGTGCGCCTTATAGCTCGTGCGGTGCTTGCGGCCGTGGCCCTTTGTGTGCCGGAAGTGACCCTTACGGCCGTAGCCGTGGACGCGCTCATGGTCGTGGTCGTGGACACGTTCATCCGCTCCGCCGTGGACACGCTCGTGCGCGTATGGGTGCGCACCAGCGGGCTGAGCTGGCTCAGGCTCATGGTACTCACGGTAAACTTTGTTGTGATACCAGAGAGTGTTGGGCTGCACAGGGGTCAAGTTAAGGAAATCGCGTTCGAACTCTCTGTAGGTATGAATGAGTTAGACCAGATGTGTGAATGGGAGGGAGGATGGCTCACCGTTTGCCGTTCTTAAAACTGTCGTATGCGCCTTTAACGGCTTCATACGCGTTGTAACCGTCCTTCGCGACGTCCCAGGCGGTACCAAGGGAGAATGCCTCACTGCCTTCAGGAGCAGCGGGAATGGGGGTTGCACTGAATGGTTCAATTAGCTTGGATTGCTTCCTGATTCAGGCTAGCGGTTGACTTACGCTGCAAGAGGGGCAGCGACGATGGCGGCGGTAGCAAGAACGGTGGAGGGACGCATCGTGAGATTAAAATGGGAAGAGACGGGTCGTAAAATGGGAGTAGGGAGTGTGTAAGAAGTCGTGAGACGTCGTGAAATAGCGAATTGAGGAAGAAAACAAGGCAAGCTGTAAGCCAAACGCTTTGGTGAGTGGCCATCCTATAACTGTGACTGCTGAATGCACTCACTATCCAGTACCTGAACCTGTAAAGCTTGGCTCGATCAGATCAACTGAGGGCTGAAGAATCCTGGCAGCAGTGTGGGCCCTTTTTATACTTTCTTTTGCGCCCCGGCGCGCGTAATTTTGCCCTGGCCATACGCCACATACTGTTCTAGCACGGGTGCTGGACGTGTCCTGTGCTGGTGGTGTTGATCATCAAGCGAGCGGCCGATGTGAATGCCGTCGAAGTTACTATCACAGTGCTGCGAACTGTCAGAGGCGTTGCGTGTGTCGTTGCAAATATCCATGAGTGCGCACCCTGATGGATTTAATTGAAGCGTATACTGCACTGTTCCTTCTGTCAGTTTCAACGAGCACCGTGACGCCATGAGTGAGTGCACGAGTGCCATTCACCTTGTTCGGGCTTAACACGCACACTCAGGTTACGCAGCCTGCGTCATGCTTCGCATGCGGCTCTTCAAAGGAAAGTGCCGAACATCACGAAGAATAGACAAGCCTGTGAACGGTTACACAATGATGGCAATTTGTATCGTTTCATTTGACAGAGGAGGCGTTGATGCGTTACGTTCGGACGTGAAACCGAAGTGGGCTTATACTATTGGATATCAGGACCAGGGACGCCAAAAGAGGTATGCCGCTGTCAAGCAGTTCAACCACACCACATGAATATCATCGTGACACTGACGGCGTATTGAACATTAATTTGACAACGATCGCAGTGGGCTCGCTCCTGTAGTGGCCCCTATGATCCGCGAGAATATACGTGGAGTTTATTCCACTAATTAGTTCTTGCAGTTGGGAGGTCCAGTCACGATAGTGAGGAGCGCTTGCCAGTGACAACTTGAACTTGGTGAGATCAAGATCGGACAATCGTCGGGGACACGATCAAGTGATCGCGTGTTATCAACTCAACCGTGACCGTCTTGGCACCGCGTGGACCGCCTCATTCAAATTATATGCTGTCTCTCGCCTCTGCGCGCTCATCAGCACAGCTACATGTATCGAAAGTTCGCATCAAAGTCTTCGTAAAATACGTCGACCACACATCAGACCGGTGAGCATTGTAACAGCTGTGTCACTGAGACGGCCCTCCATCACACAGGAGAGTACACACAGCTGAACTATGCTCGCTGTATGGTGCTGTAGAGCTCTATATTTTATTTCTTAGCCTGTGATATGGAGCTTCCAGTCAGCCGCACGGCATAGCTGTCACAACAGGTCAGCCATCGTGGTCAAATCTCTAATTCCTAGTGTCAGCTATGTTGTACCCCCCCGGCAAACATTGGCCAACAGTTTGCGTGCCAACTGCTGTCGATAGCGTGTCCTCACAGCGTGCTGCGTCACTCACATCATGCTCGGTAATTTCATCCACCGGAGGCTCACTTTGATGGGCGACGTCCAGGTCGTCACCACTACATTGGTTTTCTCCGCATTCGTGCATTCAACCTGTGCTGTGCTCCTCCAGCCGCGGGATACGGGGCAGCTGACTTCCAGGCCCTCCCCGCAGCCCTCCCTCGCAGACACTCTCGATGATGACGCGGTCGACGCGCTCCCCGCAGATCACTCATCCGCGCTCACTTATCTCGTCTCCTTCGGGATAATTTTGCTGGCCATCTTCCTCATCGTCTTCTTCGTCTTCGTGATGAAGCTCCGCAAGCGCAGGCGCGCATCCCGCGCAGTATGTCCGCGGCGGGCCTCCCAGGCCGAATTCCCCAAGGAGCGCGTTGGCGATTGCTATGGCGAGAAGAGGCTCAGCCGCATGAGCACTGCCACTACACTCACGCCTGTCCGGAATAGCATCCGGGCGGACGTGAGACGCCCCCCTGTCCTGCAACTACCCATGGACCTGCAGGCACATCACCGGCCCGAGTGCCACTGCCGCCACTGCCTCATCACATTCGATGGGATCGCCTTCCAGCGTGTCTCCATCACCCAACCTGGCTCGAGGATCCCTGTCGCTGGCTCTCCGCCCGGATACGCGAGCCCGAGCAGCAGCCGGGACGCGAATATCTCGCATGCGTCTCCTCCGCCGGTCGCAGACGAAAACCTCCCAGACGTAAGCATCAGCGTCAGCGTGCGTAGCACCCCTCCGCCCTCCCCACTGTCCCCGCGCCGCTACGAGTGGCAGCTCGTGCACGGCCCACGCGAGTCGCCCACCAGCCTCAGCGTGAGCGCGAGCGTTGCGCCCGTGGCGGCCACGAGAATCGGACCCGATCTCGCGCCGGCACGGATCTCCCAGCTGTCGCCCCTCTCAAGTTTAGCTACGTCGATATTCCGTGCGCTGGACAAGCCCGCCGCCCCTTCCGAGAGCGCAGCGTCTCTGGCACTCGATGTCAGCGCGCCAGCAATGGCGGACTCGCTAGAGCGGGATGCAGCTGCCATGATCGAGGTGAGCTACGTTGATCGGCACAATGCGATAGTGAGAAGCCAACCACACGTTGTCGCTCAGATCCATTCGTCTGCCCTCTCGATGCTGGAGAAGAATCTCGCGGACACTCACACCTGGATGTCGGACGCCGAATGGACAGACAACGGCTCTCCTGCCCAGTTGCTCTGTTCCGGAGACGAAGGGGGAGACCGGAAAGCAGCGGATTCTTACGAAGTGGAAAAATTAGTCCTTCCAAGCTCGAAATCACCTGCTCCAGCAGAGTCACTCGACGACGAAGCTCTTCGCTCCTTGACTTGATTCACACCGTGCTCGAGCTTCAAGCTTCTGATGAATTCATCATACATCGAGCTGCGGTACTTGCAGAAATTTTGGCATCTCATATACATGAAGTAGTCTTAGTCGAGAACAACGGTCCTCATAGACGAAATGTCCTACCATTGTCGAGGGCATTTGCAACTGATAGCAGGACGGTTGTCCAACGAGGACATGTTGTATCTACTGCGCGAATCCATCTTAATCAATCGGGCTCATAGACCGATCAAGGCCACCAAGTATAAAACTCCCAGGAGAATCCGTTCTGCATTCGTCAAAGTCGCGACTTACATGAAAATACAGTATGCCTTAAAACACTACACCCTTCAAATAAGCCCTATAGAGATAAGAAAACCCACTCAATCCAACTCGTTCAGCAGCGCGCGCGCAATCGCGCCGTGCCACTTGTAGCCAAGAGGTTGCTGGTACCCAAAGGCCTCTGGTGCGCGTCGGTGGCTCTGCTTCCAGCTCTCGTAAGCCGTGTGCACGGACTCGGCGGCGTTCGCCGCGTCGTTGACGATAGTGATACCCTCCTCGATGTCGCCCGCCCAGCCGCGCCTGTGGGACTGTTTCCAGCTCTCGTATGCGTTGTGTACGGCATCTACCGCATTCGCGCCGTCGTTGACGACATGGATGCCGTCTTCAACAGTGTTGACCCAGTTGCGGCTGCAGATGATCGCGAGTCAGTATGCAAAAGAAAAGAATAGCCAAGCGGGGCACATACGCCTTGTGCTGAGCGTAAGCCTGTGTAGCCTCCTGAGCATGCGCGGTAGGAACGGATGCCGAGTGCTCGACAGGAGCATGTGTCGCCTCGTGCGTCTGCTCGGCAGGGCGGTGCGTGCCTGATTCATGACCGGGCACGCGGGAGCTCGTGTGGTGTAGGCCGCCGTTGCGACCCTTGCCGCTCTTCCTGCCCTTGCGTCCGCGTCCCTTAGTGTGCCGGAAGCGGCCTTGACCGTGCCCGCGCTCGTGTGGATGAACGTCGGGGCTCAGGCCAGGTTGCGCGGGAGCGTGTTCGTGATCGATCTGGTTTTGGATCTCGCGTGCGAGCAGCTCCACAAACTCGGTGTCCCTGGATGCATCGGGATCAATGTCAGTGTTACTCTGATAATCATATCGCGATGGGACTGACCGCTTGTGGGAGCTCTTCCAGCTGTCGTATGCGCCTTTCAGGGCCTCGTACGCGTTGTAGCCGTCCTTCCCGATATCCCATACAGTGCCGAGCGAGATGGCCTCGCTGCCGGAGGGCTGAGGAACCTCGCGCTTGTGGTCATTCTTGTACGCATCGTACGCGCCCTTGACAGCCTCGTAGGCATTGTAACCGTCTTTTGCTACGTCCCAAGCGGTACCAAGAGAGAACGCCTCGCTACCATCAGAGGCGTATGCGGGAGCAGAGCTTGCACTGTAAATAGTTCTATGAGTGCATGTGAAGCGGATGATAAGATTAGGCGTACGCGGCGAAGGGGACGGCGGCGACCGTGGCAGCGGCGAGGACGTTGGAGGAGCGCATCGTAACAATAAGGATAGTTATGACAACAAGAGAAGAATAATGGCGGGTCGTTTGAGTCGTAAAGAGAGTATGGATGGAAGTCGTGACAGAGACGAATGCAGTGGATTCTAATGACACAAACCAAGCTATGAGAGCTTATTAGACAACGTGAGGCGGGTGAGGGGTATAAAACGCGACTCACTATCCAGTACTAGGCTTGAGAGGGCTCGACAGGTCAACTGAGGGCTGAGGGGCCTCGCTGCAACGTAGGCTCAATTTATACGACTTTCGGGACTTGCAAGCCCGTGTGGACATGCATCATAGTGCGGTCTCACCGCGGTGAGTATTGACACGCTTGCACCGCTTGCCCTTGTCCCGCGTGGTGCTGTCGTGATCTCCAGGGATTCTGCGTGAGATCGTACCGCTACTGTCAATGGCTGTGGCTGTCAGCGGAGTGTCAGCCACCTGATCAGCTGCGTCTGGATGTGGCGATGTCCAGCACCATCGCATCCGGCCGATCGAGACTAGAAGCGAGTGGCTATGATGGGCACGAGGTCCGAGGAAGGAGGGTATCGAAGTGAACATCAGATATAGCACAGACGACTTGACTTCCAGCCGAGGGAGAGATGACCACAGGGTTTTGGCATATGCACTTCAGGACGATCCGTGAGCAAATTACGGGCGTACTGGGAGTTGTAATCCACGCAGAGCAGATTTCCCACTGACAAAATTACGGAAGAATAGGGTACGTACTGGTCAAGTCCTTATCACGCTAATCCTGTCCATCATATCTTTCCAGGACAAGCGTGAGAGGAGGTGCTGCCAAAATTAGCCGGTCGTCCTTTGCAGATTTCCCCGGATCTGGGAGACGTGGTCATCACCACACTGCCGTACTTCTGCCTTGACACTTTCTGACGGTCAACACGAGATCATTGTTGAAGGCTCGCGATCACCTGACCGCGTCACGATTGGCCGTGCTGATCGAGACATCCAGCCTGCACTCATTTGCTCACCGCGGTCGCTACGGAGAATTACTTGGAATATGTGAATAGAGAATGGCCATCAGACCATGGATGCTGTGGACGGTTAACACGCCGTGTGTGAGAGCCTCTCTTCGTCGTTGGAGTAGGCACTCTGCACAGAGAGTGAATATAGACCAATTGCATCAAATGCAGAATCAGATGGCCTGCGACAGTGATGGTGACAAGTTAAATTTAGTATTTCCCATTGTACATGAACCACAGCGGTCCGCATCGAAAAGAGCGAATAGGACATACGTTAAACTCTAATCATCTGGATTTACCTCTTGTCAATTTGATGTGTTGTTCTCATGATATTCATGAGTGCGAATGTACGAGGCCCACTCAGGCAAATGACAGTAGCTGGAAAGGGCGTCCAACACTTGGTAGCGAACCAGCCGCTCGGTAACCGGCACATAAGCGATACGGATCCGCTGTCTGTCATTGTCCTGGCTCCGAGAATAAACTTGTGATGGGTGACATGAGGCTAAATATTCACTCACTAATAATAGCATGTGGAGGGTGCAAAGTGCACACGACGCGTACGCGTGCGGTGGCAGTTTTGCTGCGGCAGGTTACACGACAACCTGTAGACGCCCGGCGTTCAGTAGACAGATGATCTCAGATCGAGGCCTGAAACACTCGACTTGTAGGTTTAGCCCTTGTTTCAAGTTAAAATACATACTTTCATTGATATCGAGGCTGAGGTTTGAAACCCTAAATACCTTAGCCTTTTTAATGTTTTGGCGCTCCACTTTGAATATCGGTGTTCTAATAAAAAACCTCAGAGACTACAACTTTTGCCGATGCACATTCGATGCGCACTAAGCCCTGTCTCCATATCTATATTACAACAAGTTTTGGCTAAGCATCCGGAAGCATCTCTCGAGCTTCGACATACAAGCAGAGATTGAAATGGGCTCTCCATCTGCAAAGCTGCATTCCCCCTGGTAGAACAGCGGTTCTACGGTAGCCTCGGGTAGGATGCGCCATCTATAGCTGTCTCGCATAGGAGATCCATCCTATGCGAGACATCTGTAGGACGGGTGTATTTCTGCGAGCCTCTGTAGCCATCAACGTGATGGGTAGATAGGCAAAGCAATCCCCCGCCCGATTTGGCTGCTTATTCATCTTCACGCAGCGCAACATGTGATATTCGAATGAAAATAGATCAAATTATGATGTAGATTAGAGAGCGAGAACTATGCACAACCATAAAAATGTGCTCGAAACATACAGAATGAATGTATGTCGATGTATGGATTTACATAGAATGACCTACACTCCTCGGTGACGGTTTGGACAGTCCAGCGGGAATCTACTGCCTTGCCAAAGCTGGGAAGTAGGTGGCAGTTGCGGACAATGCGGCCAATGGTAATAACCTCACCGTAAGGCCTATGCATGCGTGAGGATGGGCTGACGACGTAGAGACCGGAGCTCGCGTCGACGCGCCCAAACGGAGTGAACCATTCGACGTAAACGAGAGGCTGGTCGGTATGTAGAGGATAATGGTGAGCCAGTGCGAAAATCACGCGGACGTGCGCAACACGAAGACCTGGATGCAGCCGTCAGCAAACAGCTAGTACATGGTAGCAGAGAAGACGCACCTTCAAGCGGTGTGCCAGCCGTGCGCTGGTTGATCTCTGCAGTGCGTACAAGTGCGAAGTCCAGGCGTGCCGGCTGAGCAGCCGTGCGCTCATGAGCCGGAATAGGCGGGGTGGCGCGGACAACGTTTTTGCGGTGACCATGACCAGCGCCAGCAATGGGCAGCAGGAAAAGTGCAAGGCGTGGATAGATGTCGAAGCCGTCAAATAGGCGTGGGGTATAGGCGATATTGCGAAGGCGGAGGAGTGCCTGTATGCTCGGGAGGAATTGAGACGCACCCTGCTGTTAACGACCAAGCGCGTCCGACCGATTCGCGTGTGCGCGCGCATGCATGATGCCGCGTTATCGCGTCAGGATCGGCGCGATGTTGATGCGCCCCTGGTGTCCCTGTACCTGTAACCTCATTCCCCTTTTCTTTGAACTTTCTCCCGAGATAGCAATCACTCACCTCGCGTAGCGACTGGCTATATACCCGGTGTTTCGTGGCACGGACTTCAGTTGTCGTTTGCACACCTACTGAAGTCCGATCGTTACCTCGTTAGATCTCTCGCTCACCTCTTTAAGACCTGCCGTTCGATGATATCTGCAGCAGGGATGCCTCGCAGTGTGGCGGGGTGCCTAGTAGGTACATTGTATCGCACTAGGAGAGCGGCTGCGCGAAGTTGCGAAGGACCAGCCTGGACAGCCATGTTGACTGCCATTATTGCCTCCGCAGTGTCATCTGCTTCATGTTCCGGGGTAACGTGCGCAGAATGTACCTCTGGAGAGCTCCCCCTGTTCCTGCACCAGTCTAGGTAGATCGTGAAGCGGTCTGTTGCCTCTTGCCGATGCAGCCAGACTACCATTTGCAACAGGTAGTCCTTCCGATTGCTCGTGCGGTATGCGTCCTTTGCATAGTTGATTGTCGCGACTTGAGGTCAAGCGACAGGGGAAAACCTAGGTGCTGGGGGCATTCAACTGGATCTCACTGAAGCGATGGTGAGCGGGGCTCAAACCTAAGGCTAGGGACAAGAAAATGTATTAGTTAGTAAGGTAAGAAAGAATACAAATTGTCGCGACTTGAGGTCAAGCGACAGGGGGAGACTTGAGAGCTGGGGGCGTCCGACTAAATCTCACCGAAGCGATGGTGAGCAGTGCTCAAACCTAAGGCTAGGGACAAGTAAGTTAGTATTTGAAAGGTAATGTCACGACTTGGTACGGCGCCTAGCCGTTTTTTAATTTTTTCCTTTTCGCGGGTTCGAACCCGCGACCTCTGTACTACTTGCCTGATACGGACGCATCATATCTACTGTACGATTAGATTAGATGGGGCGGCAGCGCACGGCACAGCTCGGGCTCCGCTTACACAGCCGCTCTGACTCACCGGCCCCCGGGGCCGCGTCGGCATGCTGTGCACAGACCAGCTGCGCACGGACCAACGCGCACAGCCTGCCCTAATCTCCCCATGTATATAAACCGGCCTCTGCTGCCCTAGGGACCTCAGTTTCGACCTCTTGTCCCTAGGTCAGTAAGCATCCCTTTGTATCACTTTCTTACTTATACTAACTAATACATTTACTTGTCCCTAGCCTTAGGTTTGAGCACTGCTCACCATCGCTTCGGTGAGAATCAGTCGAACGCCCCCAGCTCCTTTTAGGTTTTCCCCTGTCGCTAGACCTCAAGTCGCGACATTAGGTCGAAACTTCACAAAGCTGCCGGCGTTCCTCGGAACCCCACACACTCACTTTTCCTTTCCCATAGGTTGGGTGGTGCGCACCCCTACCGTACCCTACGATACGTAGATAGCATACGATACATCGCCAACACTTGAGAAATGAACTCTTCAGTACCTGCGCTTCAGTGAGCGGTACTTGTCCTCACGGACGCGTAGCCTTGGTTCCTGCTGCATAATAGTCAAAAGCAGTATTGGGCCCTACGTGAACTGCGAATCTCAGTGTCATCTCGGGCGCCGTAGGTGTAAGCTAGTATAGCACGGCCTTTCGTAGTACGCGCACCTCCCCTTCCTCCCCCCATCCAACGTGGCTGCCTGCCAAGGCCAAGTCCACACATTTGACTCACAGGACCTCATCGACATCTACATCCCAGACGGTCCTGAGACTATCATCTACCGTTGCGAGCAGCAACCGTGCCCGAACCGAACACCCCGATCGATCCCAGAAGACTACCCGCGCTACAAAGCGATCCGACGAGCGCAACACCCGCTCGGACCCCGAAGCACCCTAGCATCTCGATCGGCCTCGTGGCACTCTCGCCCTGTCTCCCCTAGCTCACGCCTCCCTCAAACTGTCGTCGCCGATCCAGGTCAAGCGCGAGGAGATCTCCCTCCAGACCCTGCGCCAGAGCCTGAGCCTGAGGAGGGTGAGGGTGAAGAAGGAGTCTCGGAGTCCGAGTCCGAGGATTCTGTTGGGTCCACCTCGCCGACAGTGCTCGCCCCCGCGTCAGCAGTCCCTGATGTACGTGACCCCCCCACTGAACTTCCTTCGGCGCCTTCACCGCTGACTCCGCCGAGAGGCCGCTCGAGCACTCGCTGTCGCGACTTAGGGTCAAGCGACAGAGGAAAACCAAACAAGGCGCTGGGGGCGTTCGACTTAGTTCTTACCGAAGCGATGGTGAGCTAGGCTCAAACCTAAGGCTAGGGACAAGTGAATGTATTAGTTAGTAAGGTAAGAAAGGAATACAAATGAGGGGTTACTGACCTAGGGACAAGAGGTCGAAACTGAGGTCCCTAGGGCAGCAGAGGCCGGCTTATATACATGGGGAGATTAGGGCAGGCTGTGCACGTTGGTCTGTGCGCAGCTGGTCTGTGTGCAGCATGCCGACGCGGCCCCGGGGGCCGGTGAGTCAGAGCGGCTGTGTCAGCGGGGCCCGAGCTGTGCCGTGCGCTGCCGCCCCATCTAATCTAATCGTACAGTAGATATGATGCGTCCGTATCAGGCAAGTAGTACAGAGGTCGCGGGTTCGAACCCGCGAAAAGGAAAAAATTAAAAAACGGCTAGACGCCGTACCAACTCGTGACATTACCCCCCCCTCAACGGCGCATGACCTCATGCGAGGCGCCCTTGCCCATCTCCCACCCGGAGCGGCATCGTGCTTCAGTCAGCGGCGAAGGCATTGGCTGGAAGTTGAGACCACCAAAGGTAGCAGCGTTGAGTTGACGAGGGGCGTTTGGATTCTTCCGGTGGAAGTCGGCTATGAGGGCCGGCGCATTGGCAACGTTGCGCGCCGGTTCCCATGACGTATGTGAGTCGTCATAACCCTTCCACTTGACGAGGTACTGTAGCTGACGCCTGAAGATTCTCAAATCCTTGATCTGCTCAACCTCGTACTCCTCGTCGCCCTCAACCTCGATCGCAGGCGGCTCCTCCGGCTCCCGGCCCGGGATATCGCTATGCGTGTACTTGCTAAGCAAGGAGACATGGAATACCGGGTGCACCGGCACCGATTTCGGCAGGACTAATTCATAATCCAAGTCTCCGAGCTTTCGCCGCACGGCATAAGGTCCGAGGCGCTTGGGACTGAGCTTCTTGCTCGGCTGTTTCAACTTAAGGTTCCGAGCATCAAGCCAGACCTTGTCCCCCGGCGCGAAGACCGGTGCCTCCTGCACGTGCTTGTCATAGTACACCTTCATGCGCTCGGCCGACAGCTCGAGCGCAGAGCGCGTATCGTCGCGAATCTCCTTCAGGATCTTGAGCCGATCAGCGGCTGCAGGCATTGCCGACATCGGATTGATCCGCTGATACGACCTACGAAACCCTAACCCCTAACCTGGGTGCGACCTAAAGGGACTAGAGAGACGGCTTATAGTCTAATGAGAGGGGAGTTAGCAGCAAGGTGTCCCGCGGTTCGAGTGAACACGAGAAACGCCCTTGGGAAAGGTTACGAACAAACGGGTAGGTACGAGGTGGCTTCGACACGTCGTCGAAGCTACTCGGAGGCTGTGGAAAGTTAGCGACGATCGAAGCTCGGCAGAGCTCTTCGACGTATCGTAGAAGGAAAGGAAACGACTCGAAGGGGGGGGGGACTTAGCTAGGACGCGGTTCGCAGTTTCTTCGACAATCGTCGAAGTCAAAGGGTTCGTCGAGACTGTATCGACGAGTAAACGCAGTGGACGAGGTTTCGAAGTTACGCAGCGAGGGACGAAGTGACGCAGTTGAAGGCTTAGACGCGGGGCGAACTCGACTTATGAGCTCTGAACTCGAGGGGGGGGACCGGATCTTGTATTTTTAGAGAGAAGTACGACAGATTTTATACTACACAGGACGCTACGACTATTCGAGAGTGGCATACGAGTACAAGGGGCTTTGCATTGTTCCTCAAGAACCTGCCTCACCGAGAGGCACATACCAAGTCCATCGGTAGAGTGACGTCATGCCGAACGCGGAGATGAAGAGTAACATATGGCCACTTCGGACCGGTAGCCGTCGTGAAGGCATGCCGCGAGGTTCGATACCTAATCGGGAAAGACCGGCTACTTCGGTGTGGCTTGGAGCGAAGCGCGCGCTTGGCCGAGCGGCGTCGAGTGGCCCTATTGT